GAAATCGACACAACAGTAATCGTGTTATCGTCATAAATGGAGATTCCTACCGCCACTTTATGTATATTCCAACGCAAAGCTTTAAGACGTTTTTAGCTTTTAATTAATAGCCTTTTAAATGTCTAAGTTAGGTGCACGAATTTATACCTCTGTGATAAATTCCCCGAGCTAATATAAAATCTGATTCACTAATCGTTCATATATAATTTTGGTGTTTGAACGCATATGCGAGGAGGTAGCTTTTCTTTTATAAACTTCCGCGAATCACCTTATATTTTAACACTATTGTCTATTAAGGTCCTAAATCGATATAGAAGTTTTAAAATTACAAATTGCAACACGAAGTAACCGTTATCGTCTCCGTTCGAACTTAAGGTCAAATTATTAGGTAGAGATTTTACTTAATAGCGTTAGTGGTCGTAGTTTTAAGTTTGGTATTTGGGATCGAAGTGCATTGGGAAGCCTTATTTTAGGTTTCGAGTAGAAAAGTAAATCTATTGAGTACGTATCACTAGATAGCTCAATTATTTCGAGTATTCGAACCCCGTTAAATCTGACCGCTTCAACTACCTACTAAACACGACGTACGTAGCGACAATCGTTAAAATTGAATCGAAATATCCGATAACCCGACCTCCTAAAACCTCAATTGACGCGCATACTCGGTCACTGCCCTTTAGTCAAAGGCGCACGCACTACAGGCTACAATTTGAAATTTTTCGTATAAACTCATATGCCGACATTTGTGAAGAGAATTTATTGCAAGTAGAAATACGATAGCGATCCGCCGCGTTTGGGAAGCAACTTGGTCTCTCCTCAATAATATTATAGCGACATGTTAAGTATGTACGACGTGCTATAGAAGCACTCTTAAATGTAATAGTTCCATTTACTTCTCCTATTTCCTTTGAAAGAATTTTAATTAGCAAAAGGCGAGCGAGGCAGGAGGGAAAAGAGAAGATTCGAGGAACGGACGTGCGTCATTATATTTGAAAGAGAAATGTTCGCTTGAGAAGCGTGTGGCAGACATTCGTTTTGCCTTTATTCATTTTTTTATCTTTCACTATAATCATCAATAAAAGGTCACTAGCAAATATATGTCGCTTCTATAAACTTTTCAACATTATAAAACCATGGAAAAACGTTGTAAGTAAACCACAAAGCTCACTACACACACAACAAACATGTATAATATTAAAGTCATGCAAAAATACCTTTTATATAACCACTATTTTTGTATACAATAATAAATATTTCCAGCTATATACACCGCTCTACGCTACTCAAACCTTGGACTGTGGTCTAATATTAGAATCTGAGGAAGCAAGTGTGACTACACTCCATACACGAAATCACACTGATCTCACATTAATTGACAGGGCTCCTATAAATTTTGGCAACATCGGGTCAAATCGTCATCGACGCTAAATATGGAGATCGGTGTATGGAGCTGGCAGCACGGATGTGTCGGGAGATAAAGTACACGATAATGAAGGAGTGAAAATATACACGCGCTCTACAAACCACTCGACATTGTTACCCTTTCAAATAGTAAACGTCTCCCATACAAAAGCCTCGACAGAAATAAACAACTATCAGTTCTAAAGGAGCAAAAGCTCTACGGTAACTAGTCGTAAGGGACGTCAGAATTGACTGTTACGTGTGCAACGGGCCCCACAATGTCCATTTAAACTATATATCAATTTAAGAATTTGCACTTTAAATACGATTTGTACATGTTACAGATATTGCTGTCACTTATGCCACGAGGACGATCTCGTCCTTGATCTAAATTTATCTAACGGCCAGTTCAATATTCTATCCGTAGACTGTTGCCGGCGGTACGTATTTTACATTAGCTCCATGATACTTCAAAATTCTATCTCTAGTCACGAAATCTACAGATAGATAGAATATTAAAACAGGTGTTTATAATCAATAACAATAAAACAAAACCAAACCATTTAATAATAAATATATCAATCAATTTGTACACTAATTTCTACCGAAAGAATAATTCGTAGATCGGTTAATACACGAATTATTTAGCAATTGTACATCGCTGAGGGTCATCTGATATGTTGTTACGGCACTTAATGAAAAATCCAATATCAAACTCCGTAACGCAGCTGTTTGAGGAACACGGGTATTGAAGAATCATGGTACAATATCGGCATGCCACAACACGAAAGAGGACATACACATATGGAAACAAAAAAAAAAGGGAAAACAAAATAAAACAAATAAAATAGCAGTGCATTTAATAATATAAAATAAAATAAAAAAACGACTGAGCATAATGAGGCGGACACCGAGGGACGCCCCGACGGGCGGACTTGTTCCGAGCCATTAGCTGACACAGATGCCCTACTAATGCTGTGACAGCTCCACTTCCGGGCTGTCGCAACTGACAGATGTCATCTGTCACCTGACATCTGTCATGGGAAACGTCCGCTGGCCGACTCGAAGACCGCGCGCCCGCCGGTCGAACCCGTTTGCATATTTTTTTTTTCATTCAACTCAAACTGTTAACATAACTTTGGTAAGATGGCTGGCGTTCGGATGTAAAAGAAAGGCGTTAGAGCGGGTGACAGATCGATATTAATAACAAATAAAATAATTGAACCGTGGAACAACAATCGATTAACTGCACCGTCGCTTGGAATAGAAGACGATTGTAGGAAGAAGCGAATGTTTTCACTTTGTAGTATATAATTATGCATATTGCTTACTAGGTCGCAATTGACTATATCAATAATTTTCGCTTTTATTACAAAAAATATAATAATTTGGTACACATTTAACAGATATCTCAATATATGGCAAGTTTATAAAACTATTTTTAAAGAAAGCAATCATTCCGTATGTACACAGTACACACTACAGGTCACACTAATATCCCTGTATTTAAAGAGAGTTCAGTTTCAGGGATAAAAAGTTTCCTTTACAATAGTTTAGTTATTGTTTATTGCGAAGAATCACAATGACTTGATGAAATAACAATGATACTCTCACATTCGATCCCTCGCTACGGTGCAGGATTCTAGTTAACAGGGTTCATAAGCAACAAGTTACCAAACTATGATCTTGCGCACCAACTGTAGGCAGGTGACGAGCGATGGCGAAGAAGAGGCGGAGCGACGCGTTTAACATATCACCAATTTCTTTGAACGGGTTGTCCTTTCCATTTTTATATTACACTCAAATTTTCTAATGCCAAATTTTGTTTATTGGCAATTTTATATTAGTTTCAGGCTTAGTGTACTGTCGCCATACTCTTTTTTATTGTGACTTCCTTTCAAAGACCATGTTGCTCTTTCAATTTCAAGAATCTTTTTTACAAACTTGCCAGTGCTCGACTGGAATTACACTGGAGGGTAAAGGGTGGTGATAAACTCACTGGCTCAGTTAAACGCTACTCACTTGAGCCATGAAGACCATTGTAATGGGAACATTTTGTTAAAATATTTAAAATTCTAAACAAATTGATAAAGGGCCAATCAGTAGCTTTTGCTGTTGCATGAATGTCTTGTTGAGGGAAGTACCAAGGATTCGGAGAATCATTGTGACATAGAAGTTATACTTTTGCATTCGTTTATTGAATGAGGTAAACAGAGCCCGTGTTTTTTTAACATTTGCAACACCTGTAATGCCCGACAGGAATCGTAACATGTCCATGGGTAGTTGTGAACACTTAACATCAGGTGTACCACTTACATGGAAAAATATATTGACAACATTTGACCAAAATACAATTACAAAGATAAAGCATTTAAAGTTGTAAGCCTGTAAGTTCACAAATAAATAATTAAATTAAAAAAAAAATTATTCTTTGATAGTGTTGATTGTTGTCACTAAACATTTTTTGTGTAATTATCGTTGAAATTTGGCGAGTTCTATCTTTTAAGAGCACCACAAATGCAGATTTCGCTACGAACGGGGGCCGCGCCCCTCCTATGCCATCGCGTCGGCATTGCAGCAGAGGTGCGGCAAAACCGAAATAACTAAGGAATAAGAGCACTCCGGATAGATCCACACTGGAGAACTTTGCCGTTTAAACTGATTGAATAATCAGCGAGCCTTCTACATCCCTTTGGGGTAGACGGACACCTAAATTACCCTGCACTGACATATCAAAATGTTACATTTGTTTAACATTAAGTATACTTGTAATGTCTAATGTATCTAGTACAATATGAGACATTTTCTTCATAGAGTTGAGAAGCACCAATTTAATACATTTTTTTTATTTTATAATTTTTTCAAGTGAGGAACAAAAATTTCCAGTGCATATACGACTTAAATGAGAATCTTATGCCTAAATTACAAGAATCGCCTGGTGTTTCTCCCCTCTATGATGACTGTGTGTTTATAAGACAGTAAATAGTTATTATAAATATAGATACTTTATTGTTACAATCATGGGGTGAAAAACTTACTAATTCAGTGAAAAGCGTATTTAGAACCTAATCATATATTGATATAAACTCTCTTTGTCAATGTTATAAGGACACTTTGTAGACAGTGATATCTTAAATCCTTTTGGGGTGTAAGTTGTGTTCCGACTAGCCCCATGCTCGTAGTGTGACCGCACCGGAGCGCAGATTAACAATAAAATGCACATAATATACCATACCGTATGGCTAACAACTAAAACGAGCTAAAATCAATAGTGATGGATACATTAAAAAAAAACACTAATTTACACGGGGAAGACCCGGCCCGCTTCTGTGGTCGGACGACCCGGGACGACGGTCGGCCGGAAGCTTGTAAGGTGTCCGACCGTCGACAGATGGTGGCCGTCCGTCCGGGGGCCTCGATGGTCGCCAGCGGGGGGCGATCCACGGGCCGTCGATAACGAGCCTACAACTATTTTTAGTACAAGCACAACACGTTACTGTTTAATGTGGACAGCGCCCTCTGTTAATCACTTAGCTAAGTCGGCCGCGGGCATCGCCCCTCACTAGCGGGAAGGGGAACGTAAAAGAAAATGGCACTCAGCGGCGGGCGGGGGCGGCTCGGGGGCGGAGTGAATCCTGAACGATTACATCGCACGAGCCGCGGTTTGCGCAACGAACGATACACGCGATAAAATCTAGACCCAAACGCGTGGGGATAGAGTCCACTTTCGCCCGCGAGCCCGCCCGCCGCCCGCGGCGCTTACTAAACCGACGAAACGATACAACTACAATTATGCTACAAGTAACAATAGGCAGAGGTGCGTTGCCGCATTGCAATTTGGACCCCAACGCCTGGGGTTAGGGTCGCGGATGGCTTGCTTCGCACGATGCCGTCTCCAGTGGGCCGTTCCGACGTTACTATTATACGCCTTACACACATACGGACACATCTCGCTCGATTACTTATAGGCAAACATATCATGATGTATTTAAGTCATGATAGAAATCTCTGAGCACGAGTTGGGCACTTTTGTATACGAGAGTGGAATTGACATTTTAGTTGTATAGTGCATTGTCCCAATAAGGATGGAAGTGACATTGTTGGAGGGTCTTTGATCGGCAGTAGAATTTTTAGGCGGTAAAGATGAAATTTTGACCTAGAAGTTTTGATTCAGTCTGGACTGTCTTGATGCTATCGTTGTTTTACAAGGAATACGATTACGTAATAATTTGTTTCATTGCTTGTCATCGACCAGCCTGTTGTCATGGAAACTGGTTAATAAAGACAGAAGAGGATGAGAACAATGTATAAATATGAATAAGGGTAGATTTATACTTTGAAAATAAGGTGCAAGACCTAGTTAGCGACGAAAAGTTGCAGAGTTGCTGAACTCAGTCCTATACAGCGTGTCTTCACAATCGCGACAATAAATGAAAACACATAGAGGATAACTTTTTAAAATTGTATTAAACATTTACATGCTTTAAACATCAATATTTACCGAGTTATAAAATTTTACAAAACGTATAAAACTGTAACGTAAAGTTCATTTGCAAAGGTCACAAAGCATATGAATGTATTTGAAAGAGACAAAACACACTTACGACGCTGTGACAACGAATGAAAAGATCTCTGAATGTATGAATCAGTCAGTTGTAGTTGTCCTATACAACGTTACAAATTTTGTTTCTTTTTTACTTAATTAGTTTGTTTGAAAAAAATTTTTAATAATGGATTTTTTTAACCTTAATATTTTTTATGATTATTGGCAAGTAGAGTTAGACGTGTGTTCATTTATCGTCGCGGTGATAACGACACGCTGTATATCATAAATTCCCACTTCGTTTATATCCTAACAAGGCGCGAATACTTAGACAATTATAAAGTCTTATTTTAAATATTTTATGAAACTTGAATCTGTTCTATTAAAATTTAGGGATAAGGTTACAGTATTAATAGATTAAAGTATATTCCTCAATATAAATGAAATACAGACATGACTGGTCAATTCTGTTCGTGGCTTGTGCGAGAGTATATATACGTATGTATGTAAAACCGTTAAAAGGGCAACCAAACAGTGAACATACGCCAGAGAAAACAGCACCGTATTACAACGGCGCAAGGTTCATTCTAGACACAACACGGGCGACTTCCCTAACAACCTACGAACGCCTACGACCGACGGACGATCCCCTATCGCACATTCAAAAACAATCCAATTACTCTACAATTTCATTTAAACATAAAAAAAAGAATTTCATTAACGACCTCCACTAGTTAGCCGACTTTGAAAAAAGGAAGCCATGAGAGGGCCAATCGCGTACGACCAAACCAGCTCCCGGCGAATTCCACTACGCGAACGCTTCCTTTGAACCGTGAAACGGGCAACAACACAAACAAGCGACATTTTCGAAAGGGAATATACACATTAATAATATACATAATAATTTTATCAACGAACAAACAAACGTGCACTCACAGTGGCCGCGGACTGGCGAACAGTAGTGGAAAAGGATAATAAATCTACCGAAAAACAAAACTCAACTACAGATTCCCTTAACTAAAACTAAATTAATGTACACGTTGAGAGTTAATAATTAAAAGTAATGTTAGAACGGGACAGGTAACTACACCGGGCGACGTCTCACTCTAGAGGCCCGACGATTCTTGAGCAATTGTGCGGGTGTCGTCGGGAAATGTACGGAGAGTTCCCTATTGCCGATGCGAATAAAGATCAATTTTGAACGGCCTACCTGATGTTGGAGCACGTGATTTCAGTGTAACTGGATCGCAAAATTACTCGAGCGAATTCGGGCCATGCTGCGTTGCCATTAACGTTCAGAGTCCCACAGCGGGGCTTTGCGGGGAAGCGCATTAGTGACAGTGATATGCGAATCCAAACCTTATAAGTAAGCGTTAAGTCTATTCCACGGTAGTCCTTAAGCGTGCGCGAACGAGCGGACAGTTCACGGGAGTTTGCGTCTTAAACCAACTGAGAACAGGGCCGAAATCGGCGCAGCCGCTCAAGGACCGCCAGATCGTCGCGCTCCGAAGCGGAGGATCACGTGTCCCGGCACTTTGCACTAAGTGAGAGACGAACACGGCCCCCAGAAGGCGCTCGGGGCGAATCCATCCTGGCCGAAGGACCGATTCTCGATGAGCACCGTACTCCGAACGGCAAACGGCAACAGTCCGGCAGCGAGCCGAGTCGGCGGCCGCGCCGTTCCCGCCTCAGGAGCGGAGGCCACAAGGGCGGGAATCGCTCGCGCGCAGTCACTCGGCGCCGTTGAAGTACTCCGACGCGTTTCCCCGGCATATCGGACACGTTCTGTTGGACTGGAAGGAGAAAAAATAAATATAACAGTAAAATGGTGACAGTCCTCGCTGATAAAAGAACGGGCAGGTCCGTCCGGGGAATCCACGACCACACAGAAGACGTGCAAGTGTCATACTACTGAGTTTCGTATGGTGACTCAGGTAGCCCAGGCCCACTTCATCAATAGATCACTTCATCTTCAACTGCAACTCTGCGAGTGCTGCAAATGTTATTCGGCAGCGGTTTAACGTCAGGTGAACCATCAGCTCGTTTGCCACCTTCTCACATAAAAAAAATGATGTCTGAAAAATAAATTCAGTCTCGCACTAAAATGCAAATAACACATCCAACAATTATAACAAAATATTGATTATCAAAAAAAAGTACAAGAACGAAATGAAATTACGAAATAACCACGCATTCACCAGCTCACTCCCCAAGTAAAGCATGTATAGAGAAGTTTTACTTCAAAACGTGGACAGTAAATCAGTTGTCTAGGAACACACATTTTACATAGTCTTCAATTGATCTAACAGTCGTAATTGTTGTGAATGTAAAGAACTTGTTGAGCATGCACATGGAATTTGAATTAATGTGAATTTTGTGTAGAAAGTGCGTCTGTCTGTATGTGCACGCGTGTGTGCCAATGCCAACGTGGACCACTCACCCGCAGCCATTTGTCGACGCACTTCGCGTGGAACTCGTGCGCGCAGGGCAACACCCGCAGCGTTTGCCGCGCCTCGAACTCGCACATACAAACCACGCACGAAGTCTGCTCGCCTGAGAAACGTTAAATCCAACTTCGTGTTGACAATTCGTTACTTAGTTTGCTTTCAATTGTGTGCCGGATTTTACTTAACACTGAAACGCTATCACGTCGAAGAATGCTTAGATCATGGGAATTATAATGAAGGAGAAAGCGATTGGAAAGTTCGCGCTGACTCTTCGTTTCTAGCCGTTTGGTCTGTAAAATGATCCAACGACATACCATTATTAATTTTTTTTTAATAGGGCAAATAAATGTACTCCTTAATGGCCCCTTAAAAGCTATTTTGTTTGGATATTCGTTTTTATTCGTTCCAAATCCAGTATACGATTCCTGGTGAATTTAAAGCTTAATTAGAAACGATTTCATAACATTTATTTAAATAAAGCTGAAACAGTAAAATAAATAGTAAAGGGTATGGCCACGTAACAGCTTCTCCTGTCGCACGAACTGGCGCTACCATCCGTAGAAAAACCACGGCCTCATAAAAGACCGGCAGTAGCGGCAGTATCATATCGCGTTTCGTCAATGGGATAACCGGAGCTAGCATCACCTTAACAAGAGGTGAAAGTGGAGCGACCAAAAGGAGTGGGATTGTGGTGGCGTGGCCTTTTTTTTTGTTTTGGTATCGGGGGGCAATCTTTAAAAGATAGCCTGTCATGATATGACAGGGACGCCACGGAGAAGGGTAAACCTTCCCCGATTCCCTCCCCGCACGAGAACACTTCGTGCTGCTGCCAATCCGTGTCCCCTTTTAGTCGCCTCTTACGACAGGGGATACCTTAGCTCTATTCTAGCCGAGTGTGCGAGCTTTAGTGGGGCGGCCTACCGTGGCGCGTCTGCTCCGAGTACTTGTAGGTGGGCAGCTGGTCGATCTCGTGGCGCGCGAGGCCGCGGGGCTTCGCCTCGCCGAGGCGCTCCGCGAGCGAGAGCAGCGCCTCGTAGTTCTCGGGCTCCGGCTCGGCGCTCTCCTCGCGCGCCTCCGCGTACGGCGACAGCGGGAACATCGCCAGCAGGTTCAGGAACACCTGCCCGCGGCACAGGTGCACACTCGAACGGCTTCATTCGACACAGGAGCATTGCGGTCGCACGGTTCGATTGACAAAGTAGAGTGCCGGATCGGAGAAGAAAAGCCGCTGATCCGAAACGAACTGTGGGGCCACGCTATAGGTTTAACTGTTGCACGAATGCGCAGGTCCGTCCGGGTAAGTACCACGACCTCACAGAAGACCGGCGTAAAGTAGAAGTGTTACGCTTCAGCGTTTCATCTGGTGGGTGAGGTAGCCCTTCGGGTGTTGCAAATGTCCATAGGCAGCGATTATCACTTAACATAGGGTGAATCGCCAGCTCGCTTGTCATCTTCTTACTGAAAAACATACACACATGCGTACAACTGTGCCCTTGTGTCTGTGTGTCGTTGTGATTCTGCCCGTGTGTCCGTCACAGCGAGATACAAACTCCTATTGCCGATACTCCTGATACTCGGACGTTCAATCAATCATGCTATCTTGTTTGTTACCTTGACTTGTATGACGTATTATATAATTTCGTAACAGTTGGCAGTCGTGTGAACGGGAAGGCCGATGGAAATTATGTCGGATTGAATGGCTAGCACCGAAGCATTACAACTTTCACCCAAGTTTCGTACCAAACTGTTCAGTCCAAATTTCCTAAAAGCGAAACATACCCACAACCGTCACTTTATACGATGAAGGACCCCTTTTTTCCGTGGGGAAATCCTGCATAGGATATCTACCAAGAAGGGGTAGATATTTTATGTCGGATTCCTACCGACTAAAAACCCACGTTAATCATCTTTAATCCCGATGTGGGGTCACGGGAACTCCAACAGGAATGCAACCGCTGCCCCTCTGACTCACCAAGTAGCCCAGGATCGGGGATATACTCGCCACCCCAAGTACGTGCGCGAAGATGAAGATCATGATCGCCCGCAGCCCCAAGAACGCATTCAGTTACGATGAAGGACCCAACACAAGTCAACCGAGAACCCAACACAAGTCGAGCCGACTCCTTATTCTTAATGCTAACATAGTCCCTGACGATTGCGATGCTTCGAACCTCGGACCGGTACCCGTACCTGGTAGGTCGGCGGCGGCGGCGGCAGGGGCAGCGGCGGCGCCACGTGCAGCTGCGCCTGGACGTGCGGAAGGGCCGCCCCCACCAGGCCCCCACCACCCTGAGGGGGAACAGGCACGGCTCGGTTACAGACACCTTCGTGCATTGGATTGGCGTCGCCCGTTTTACTTGCAGATTGTGTGTTTTTTTTTTTAATTTCCGTAAAAGCAATTACGGCTGTCCACGATTAAGTGGAATTTATGCTGATGTAGTGCTTTAGTTTCCTTTTTGTAGCAAAAGCTTTTAAGTGACTGTCATAGTAAAAATTACAACCTGGATTATTTTGTGCAATCGGAGGGTAGTTTTATGAAAAAGTACCGTTTTCAGAGAATGTATGTTTTTTTTTTTCACCGACTTCAAAATAGAAGGAGGTTTTTAACCGACTTGAAGAAAGAAGGTTTCTCAATTCGACCGTATATAATTTGATTTTTTCATGTGTGTTCGCGGATAACTTCGTCGTTTATGAACCGATTTTGGTGATTCTTTTTTTGTTGGAAAGGAGATATCCCAAGGGTGGTATTATGATAAGGAGACTCGCATCTGATGATGGCATCATAGAGAAATCGAAAGCAACCCTCAAATGTTATAGGTATTAGCAATGTTTTTTAGTTTTCGGTTTGAAGTCGGTTTTTTTGTTATTTATTTTATAGTGCTAATCTCTGCACTTAAGATTAAACGTTAAAATTTGTAGAATAAAGGAACGACGTCTTTCGCCGCTGTGGGAATTATCACACAAGACAAAGGAAATCAAAGTGATATGGTCGAAAAAGAAATTGGGTATATAAGATATCCAACTTCCTTTCTTACCGTACGTGTATTTGTCGTGTTTCTTTCTTTCTCCTGTTCTTATCCTGTTAAATTGGGGTCGGCATTACATTGTCGATCAAGTTTTGTTAATGGTATTTGCAAAGATTTCACGACCGGCCGTCTGGCCTTGAGAAGGACACCCGAACAATTATCCGACGCTCACACGAATACTAGTCCCGTGTGGGAATCGAACCGACTACCCTCGGCGCCGGAGCCAGTGGTTCAGCACCATCGCCACCGAATCATCGGGCACGTCTCGTGATACTCGACGCTGAGAGGGGGGTCTCTGCCCACCTGGGCGTGTATGTGGTGCACCGGGTGGGGGGGCCACCGCGCCGCCGCCCTCACGTAGGGCCGAGCCGCGCGCGACGCCGCGCCCACCACGCCCACGCCCACGCCCACGCCACCCACGCCGCCGCCGGGCCCAGCGCCCACGCCGCCCCCGCTGCGTCTCTGTTGAGGCACAGTCGCAAGTGTACGATGCTACACCTTCCTGATATCATCATCGAAACTGACAAATTTCGGAAACTTTTTAGGGTACCGTACCCAGAGGGTAAAACGAGAAAGGTACTAAAACTCCGCTGTATGCCTGTCTGTCCGTCTGTCACCGGGCTGAATCTGATGAACAGTGATAGACAGTTGAAATTTTCACAGATGATGTGATTCTGAGTTTCTGAGATTCCGCTATAACAACAAATACTAATAAACAAAAAAAAAATCTTTAAGTGGGGCTCCCATACCGCAGACATAATTTTTTGTCGGATTCATAGATAATGTTACAGTACCTATCGCGTGCGAGTCCGACTCGCACTTGGCTGGTTTTTCTATAGTACTGTTTTATAATGCTGTTTAAGCACCTATACTATGTGTTTGCAGTGGGAAACTGATTAAAATTGCATGTTGTTCTTTACCTAAGTTTTTATTGACTATTTTAGAAACATGTAATTTTTAAAGATAGACCTTAATAATTAAATAAATTTCTATGAACACCGTACCGTCAAGTTACTGTTCTCAAATAATAAAAATACTCAAGCTTTTGCATCTCTCTCAGATTTTGAAATGTTTTTGGTTACGAAATGATCGTGTGTAATTTGTGTGTCTAACATAAAAGTTAGTTTTTGGTCTAAGAGAATATCAAACGAGAGTGATCCATTTGTTGGGTGTGAACCCTCGAAAGGTTGCATTTTAAATGTGGATTCTTAGATATCTATAGGAGAAAAGTTTTAAAACAAAAATTAACTCACGTGGTGGTGATGTGATAGAGCATGTCTCGCGTGATGTGGTGCCATCAGCTCAAGTGGGGTACCACGAGCCTGAAACATTTTAAATAAAACACAACATTAACATACCATTCACCTAAATAGCATCTATTAAGTGAAATTGTTATTCAGATGAATGGTCGACAGAATACTTCGAGCTTTGTTGAAGAAGACGAACGACAGAAGAGTTCGAGCTTGAGACGTGTCGTTTGACAAAGATATTCTTCCTCATCTTTGAAGAATACCTAATGTTCAAGTACGAGATACCAATGCCACCAAAATGATTCCACCGGCATTCGGGCATACCTCTGCGGCGAGCAGCAGAGGCGCGTGGTGGAGATCGGGCGCTGGCTGAAGCGGCGAGAGGCCGCCGTCACCGCCGCCCATCACGTCCAGCCGCCCGCCCTCCGCGCGCTGGAGAAGCACCACGATTATTGGGACCCTGAACCGTATCCAACGCAACCCAGCAGTCAGAACAGCTGGTCTCGATTACGCGTAAAGCAAAGGAATGGGAACGATCTGTAAGTGTTCATCTGTTGACGGTGATTTAGAGGCAAGTGTCTGTGTGTGGCCTTTTAGTAAGTTCGGTCGATAAAAGCACGCAATTGGTATAGTACCTGTACCTCAACTGGAGATAAAATGTTTCTCTCTCTATTGCTAAGATTTATACGACAGTCATAACCTTTAAAATAACATTTATCACACTGAATTATGCTCCATAAATGTCACCCATCATGACGACGTGTCTAAATCGAACAGTCGAATCTCAGCTCCCGTGTTCGAAAGATTACCACGATACACGATTACACATTACGAGGTAACAAACATAAAAAAAATACAGTCGAATCGAGAACCTCCCCGTTTTTTAAAGTCGGTTGATAAAAACAATGATTGAATAACAATTATCGGAAGTGTATCTATAGTTTGACCGTGTATCGTACCTGCGATCCGGCCAGGTAGTGCGCGTGGGGCGGCGAGGCGAAGGGCGCGCGGGGGGGCGGGGGCGGCGCGAAGCCCCCGTGGTACGGCAGCCCCGCGTACACGCCGCCCATCTGCGGCACGCAAGCTGTAGCCCGGCCGCGGGGGGGAAGCGCGGCGGGGCGGGAGCGACACTACTAGGGCCTAGCATCCGGCCCGAAGGACCAATCGACCGATCGCGGCGTTCTGTGCGGACTTTGTCGGATTTCGATGCGAAATCTTGGTGATTGTTTGGAAATACAGAAACATTTCGGCCACAGTCACTTCGGAGACAAGGAGTGGCTCATCTTGCTTTTTTTATTTGTTTAATGTAGTGTCGCCCTCATCGCCCCTCCGTCAAATGTTTCTTAACGAGATCGAATGCAACGAGATACGGTCATAATTATTACATGACATTTTCCATTCACCCTGGTTAATTCGAAACTAACTGTCTACGTTGTATTCGATCTTAGAATAGGAAAATATTAAAATTTATATATTTTTTTACAAACAAAACACCGTGTACCAAAACACAAAATTAGCATTGATGGCGCCTTTGTACAGACAAGTTATTTTAAGCGTTCAAGATTTCTGTATTTTTGTAGTAATCAAAGGAACGTAGCGTTTATATTAGAAGGAAAGAAAAAAAAAACTATTGCTTGCGTAGTGTTAAATTTTGCAGCAGCGTATAAAATCCAAAACGAATGAAATAAAAAAAAACTATTTCTAGAACAATCACCCGTTAAATTAATAAAAAAATATCGTGAAGCAATAAATTAAACGTATATGCATTACATATCGACATACATACAAGATATAGCTCATTCCTAAATGGAGAAATAAACGTACACTATAGCGGCATTCAAGACGAAATGGGAAAAACAAAATATCCAATACACATATACATATAATTAATAAATACTGCTGTATAAGAACTGTTGCAGATTCGTGGGCCGTAAAGTTGTGTGTGATAATAATATAAAAATACTTTACATCTAAACATCGTATGCAGAGAAGAAACGATAGAAAAAAAAACTGGCACTAGGCGCACAGGGCCACGTGTTAACACCGGCACCCAAAGAACGGACACGTAGTGAGGTGAGAGATATGAGAGTACAAAAAAAAAGTTATTCACGTCCACATCAAGAGCTCAAGGTAACAACAGCCAAGACTAATGAAAGCGATCAGCTAAATTCTTTCATCGCGATCGCAACCTCTACGAAGTACCAGAAGCTGAAGTTGCTAGCGGCGAAGTCTGGAGGTGGGGGCTGTTGGGAACGCTCGAGTGCGACGAGTTACCCCCTCCCATGACCATCCCCTCTTTCTCTTCCCCCTGCCCTCCCATTGTTCATCTCGAGCGTTCCGACGGCCGATTCGCCACTTGTATCACTTACCACGGGGCACATTCACAGGGACACCGTAAAAGTGGGAATCGATGCATGCGCTATGTAAACAAAATTACGGAAATTGTGGCTTGTGTGAGATTAGCTGTATTAGTCGGCGGGAAGGGAATAGAGATAGACGATTGCGAACGATCTGATCACTAGTTTCTGCCTCGGATAAAAATAAGGTTTATGTACAGGAACAGGTTTAGTTCGTGTTGCATGCGGCTGACGTGGTACCTACCCGGTTTAGTTAAAACGTGTGGGTACATAGTAAGGGTAAGTGAAATACAAGGGTACATTGGAAGTGTGAGAAGGACGAGCAGTCGTAAACTGAATGGTATAGTTTAAATCAGTTCGTAGTCAAGAAAATATCACCCTCAACTCAACTCTTGGCGAAAAGTCGAAGATTGTGCCACCCCAGCAGCGTGTGAGTTAAGTACCTAGGATTTCAGCAAGCGTTGTGCAGATCGGAGTCTATGTGTTACATAAAATAATTAGGTAATAGATGTAAATATATAAAGGTATCATTTTGATGCACACGAATCTATGCAGCCTACCGTCACCCGGCTAAAACACAATGCGTCTAGTATGGTCGCTGTCGACGCAATCCAACGCCTGGCAAATTTGTCATAACAGGCGCATTGCAAACTACGACGGACAAATATTACTTCCCCGGAATTCCTCGTCTATTATTGTACCATGAAGGGCGTTCTGGAGTTTCGGTGATAGAGATAAGTAAATGTGTGCTCGCAGTTCGCAGTGCGCCGGTTTCTTCTGGGGCACAGTCACACGAGCCAAGCTTATTTAAAATCACTAGCATAACAGGTGCTCATAGAGTAGCGGAGGTGTTTCTGAGGTCGCACAGAACTAAGGGGGTGTCACGCCACTGCAATAAAGCGCTATCCGGGCTGGAGCTTGGCGCTTATCCGTTGGCACTTGTCGGTCAATGGGACAATACTAATCATCCTCAATTGGGGTTAAGCCCCAATCCATTGCAGCTTCTGTGCAGATAGGAAGTGCTCAAGCAAGCGGCCCCCGGACAACGTAATTCAGCGACCGATGGGATTTTTTTAACAATATTAGTGAGCCCGCCTCCCTCGGCTATGTCAAAACACTCGCAATGCGAACGATGCTCGAATATCAGGCGAATTTTTCGTGAACTCTGACGATGGTCATAAATGAATTAGCCGGAAAAAAATAACGTTTTGCGTTCACAATAGAACGGAAAAGGCATTGCAAATAGATTGTATTAACTAATGCTAATTGTTTTTATTTCTCTTTGAATTCCCAATATTTAAGACCGTATTTATAATAAGAAAACTGTTTCAATTTTTTCATGTGTTCGACTCGTGTCACAGTTACATAAGTTTAGTTCCCTCAAATGGGCCCTTTTATTTATTTATCTGCTTTCCACCGCTTAATCTATTCGAGACCATTGTTCATGTTCCAAGAGTTTGCAATGCCAACAGTTGAAATAAGCAACCATCGAGCGACCATTTCGAGCAGCGTCCGGTACATATGATAACAGACCTTATTGTGAACGAGCTTTGGATGCTATTCATAAAACTACCACGGCACCCAGCCGCAAGCTGACATGATACAAGCGACATACATACATTGTTAAAAAAGATTAATTCTATGAACCTTCTCGCCGAGTTACATTACAACGCAAGGTATAATCTGGGCATGCATATCACCACGTAAAGTGTAACGAGCTAGATCATGACGGTCGCCACGGACCGCCGATGATAGTTGAGGCATGCAAACAAATCACCAACAAATGTGCAGGGTAATGGTAACTTAAAAAACGCCAAACAAGATATTTTGCCACTACCCAACTCAGTATATCGGAATTAGAGCCTTATAATATCCAGTCAAAAACATTTGAATGGTGTACGTTTCAAACACCATTCAAACATCAGTGGTTAGGATCCGTTTACGTGCCACATAAAACAACGATTGTAAATAACAAGTACGGTTAGCCTATGCCTGCAGATATTGCTAATGAAGTTATAAACAGAAGCGCGGGTGACAGACGAGTGTAGTTGATAGGCCAACGCGTGCCGCAGCACCGCGACCGGTAGGTGAAGCGACGAACACTACAGTTCATAACAAACAGTTACCACCAACAGATACGCCTAAAGATAAACAAGTAGAGGAGAGTGAAAGCGAACTCGCGGGTCGGAATGAGGTAGGGGTCAAGATCTAAGATTTCGGTGAGATAGTAGACGGTTTCCAAAGTGCAGCTACAAACATTCAAAACGCGCCGCGGAAGACGGCTTTACGTTAGATCGGCGAGGCATCGGAACCCAGTGCAGTTTCACAGTCACACTTGATTTAGACAGGTTTCAACTTAGGTCATAGCAAAACTTGGTCCAGTCTCATGAACTGAAACGTATTCAAGTTACAATTTGTATAAGAACAGGACCGATGGCGCACCGATTGCTGACGCGCTCGTGACGTTCGATTTTAAACACTAAAAAACAGCAATTGTTCAGCGCAAGTAACAAATCTAGACTTCAAGGCAACCACTGGTAAAACAAATGAACTAAGCACGCACCAAACACCTGAAGCTAATCTGGACGAGGACGGAGGCCGAATGGGGCGGAGCTCATGGCGCGAGCCTCACATTTCACGACTATCGGTTGATCTTTTCACAATATATATTCGTCATGTATGTTTTCAATTCCAAAGACATTCTAATACCTTTAAGGTAGCAGTCGTATTCTTTTCATTTCTGAATGTTATAAAGAGATACATTATCTATAAGTTTTTATGTCTTCAGTTCACAATCTAATTTAAAGTCTGCCTAACTCACAGATTTCACTCTACAGAAATCAGTGATAAAGCAACCTCTGTCGGAGGAATGTGAGCCTTGCGCGTAAGCGTTCTGCCCCCATCGGGACCAAGTGTCAGTTACAGCCGCACGGCCAGCAAACCACAAGATTAATTACTGGTGACCCTTTATTGTAGCATTCACTGTCGACATTGAGAGTGCACGAAAGTGCCCGAAAACGAGCAGAGAGACGAAATCAAGCGCCAAGGTCTAAAAGACGCGACGTAAGGACGCGTTGTGCGTGTGTGTATAACTTTTTTTTTTCGCGAACTAAATAGAATTCATCGTATTATCGGGACATACACACACGTGCGTCGTTGCGTCGATTCCGATTTACCACCACATAGAAGAATCGAGACGAACTCTCGCTCGGTACGGCTGCGCCTTCGCTCAGATGCTGCTAGGAGAGATGCGTGTTGTTTCTCTCACTCATCTATTGCTCGAGCTTGCTTTCATTTACATTTGTTTTGAATACTTTTTATTTGTTATACGGTAAGATATATATTGGTATTAATTCCTTCACCAGTTGATAAGGTTATTTTCTAAATTCCACGGAAGACAAACTCGACCGACACAAAACCAGCCTGATGCATCATTAACGAGGCAGAGAAAAGCAAGCGCGAGCGAACTGGTCTGAGCGAACCGAGCCCCGCTCGGGGCGGGTTTGATGGTGGTGGTAGTGGTGGTGCGTGCGGGCGGTACCTGGTGGTAGCGCAGCGGCAGAGAGGGCAGCACGGCGGCGCCCCACAGCTCACCGCCCACTGCACCCACGCCCGCCACCTGCACCGCTCCGCTTTGTACCACACGCGGCGCGACTGTAGCCCACCCGGTTTCACCCATCCCGTACGCCCCCTTAACACCTTCTCGTATGAACTTCGACGAGGCAAAGGTCGCGCGATAACAGCCGTCGGACCGGCGGTACAGTCGCACCGCGTTAACTTAGCTTGGGGCATCGCGGAACAACGCAGGGAGACGTGACCTCCTCCCCATCCAAGTACAGCGGTATCTCGTTTCTTATAGTTAGACGTGGACCGACAAAAGTGTGTACCGCGGACGACGAACATTTGCATGCTATGCCCAGATTGACAGAACATAATGAATCGACCTCCCGGAAGTTTGCACCGGCCATCGCCACGAATCGACGAGGAATCGTCTGGGCTGATTTCATATCGAACTAATTAGACAAAAGGAAGGATGTTTTCCTCGTCAATCCGTAAGCGACGAGAGTAACTCGTAATTCTAAGACCTTAACATATTTTACATACAAGAATATGTCTTATATACTAAACTATCATGAATGACGGGAATTTTAGATAAACTTGATCGTCGCTAGGAATTCGCATTGTATGGCACGTGTGTTATGTGTTATAAATGTAATTATGTTAACGTAATTCGTGTAAATAATACGTGTATGGTGTCATTTGTATAATAAAATACAAATGTTTGTTGACAAAAGTGATAGTCTGTATATATATATATTGCCTCCGGAAAAAAACTTATTGAAAGTTCTTTATCCAATAAAAGATTTGATGATCTGATAAATAGTTTAGGACAAATAATAACAAAATAATATAAAAAATAATAATAATTGAAGTTGCTGCAGTTATTGATCCTGGGCTATTTCATTTCCCGTGCAACTAAATTGCGTAAATAATTCGGATTATCCGAATTTTTCTTCAATTTGATTTTAGGTTCCGAAATATTTAAAGCCTATATAAATATTTCGAAAGAGGCGACTCAAATGCGGGTAAGATGATTTTATCTTATCTAAAACAATGCTGCAAAACTAAAAAAATATTTATTCCCTACTTAAATTCATGTTCATTAATAATTAATATATTGGATAATCAAAAACATTAAATAGTCAACAGGAAAGGATATGCACTTAATACTATCTGTTTGCTGTGTAATCAAGTTAGGAAAATACCATGGTATGGATATTTTTTTGCAGACTGGAGCTGATGTGGTGTCGCCGGGTCTATGGATTGTTTACGATAAAAAAATATTCACGGTATATTACTTAAAAACCGAAGGACCTGCCCAGAGCAGCTGTTAGGGAGAGACGGGAAGGAGAAAACTCAACTTTCATTGCATATTTCTCCAACGGTATTGGTATTGCAATATACGTGAACAGCACTTGAACGTAGATGAAAGATTGTTTCTCTCTCTCACTTAATGGAAGACCATCCTCAGAACAAATAATATTTAGAATCCAGATTGTATGTATGCATGTTCCGTAGCCGCATATTCATTTTGAAAAACTATTTGACCATTCCCGAGTCCAAATGGCATTCTCGACTAGTAATGACAAAATCGTATCTCACATCTATATAGGCACTAGGCTGACTAAACAGTTTAAATTTATTCAACGACAAAGCTTCAAGACGCAAATGCCTCTGGTTCTGTCTACTTTTTCTTCATTACCCAAACTGCGGCATCACAGATTCGTCTCGAGATAATAAAATGAATTGGTGAATTTTCTCTGTTGAAGATTTTAAAGGTAAAAATTCGATTTTCGTATTATAAAGTGATTGCATCATTAAATGCTTTTAATACTGCTATTCTTTGTTTTTTGGTATCATACTTTGTTAAACAACGTTATCGTAAATCCCGTTGAGGATCAAATAAAAACGCAACGTTGTTTTAATGGAATCGCTCCATTTCTCCAATGATATAAGAATCGTTAGCGCTAAAATGGGAACGCACGAAAGCTAGAACAAAAACACGTGGTAGGCACGTTAGATATCGCCGGGATCTCGTTTTGGACAACAAACGACAATTTATCTTAACAGGTAACTTCAAAAGCAATTTGAAGAAGAAACTTCGATGTAAATTCTTCAGTTTCGATGTTTCCATTGGAAAGTTTACAGTGTACAGTTCGTGCGTTCCCATTAGGAATGTGCGCGCGCCGGGTTCCGTACCTGCGTGCGCTGCGCGTGGTCCCGGTGCGCGTGGGCGGCGTGTGCGTGCGCGTGGGCGTGGGCGTGGGCGTGGGGCCAGCCCACGCCGCCGCCGAGCGCGCCCAGCCGCGCGCCCCGCAGCGACATCTAGCGGACAACACTCCGGGCTCACACTACCTAACTCTCAGGCCCGGCGGACTAGGCTATCGCCAAGTTAACTGCTTCGGCGTCCGCTAGTCGGGGGTTCGACCCACAAGTATTTAGATGACACGCAGATAAGAATTCCAGTTTCGGGTCCAGTTTGTCCGATTACGATAATCATTACTTGTACTTAGCGCGAAAACAACATATTGATCAATGAAACTTTCTGAAATATTTCATTATAAATTTAAACTTCTCACATTTGGAATAATTAGCAGCAATCTTGGCGACCTATCAGATTTTATCAACATTTCAGACCTAGTTCTGCATTCGCCCTTCACTGAATTGATGAGTTAGAAGAGTACCATCATATCAATTATTACCTATATTGCTGAAGTGGTGCATGAAAGGTAGACGATAATAAAAGAGACATAAGAAAGCAATAGTGACACTAAAGTTAAGTTTGAAACATAGTCCCTCCCTATGATATTATACCGTCTGATGCATCGACCTATAACATTAACTAAAAAGTTCTTGTGCCAACGCATCTGCATTTCAAAACTTAGTCGATTTGATTGAATTGTGATTAATTCTAACTATTGGAACATATTTAAGTCTTTATATGACACAGGTCATAATATAAAATACTAGGCTTTTCTAACCAACATTATTGTGTATTCTATTACTCTAGAATATATACCAATTTTGCTCGTTAAGTTTGTTAATTTTATGAATTGAATTACATGAAATCAATTTTACTTGCTCCTTTCCTTCTTTATTCATCTAAAGAATTATATTAATTAAGCCCTTCGGTCTTGTAAACGCCGCATATATTTTCTACGCTCAAACAATACAATTGTTAATGATTGAACCATGTTTAGTAAATCTAGAAAAATCAAAAGTTTATTAAATAAGGTTTTCTTGTAATATGCATTATATGAAAAGTAATTATTGACTCATTTTAACCTAATATAATGCTTGTTAGTCTATCTATTGCTTTTCCATATACACTTTCGTCTGTACACACGTCAGTTTGTACGTTTGTAGCCATTCTATATACATGCTTTTCATATACTGGCCTTGTCTTTGAGTATGTCTATATCTCGATATGTTAGTATGTATGTATTGAATGCATTTCCGTCCTTATTGTTGTCTGTTCGTACGGATGTCTGTCCGTATGCTCACCTGGTTGATGTCGAGCAGCAGGGGCGCGTGGTGCGCGTGTTGGGCGTGCGCCACGTGGGGCGGCGCGTGCTGCTCCAGCAGGCGCTCGTGCGCCCACACGCCGCCTCCGCCGCTCACATAGCGCATCCGTCGTCTGTCGGGGGTTCGGTGCAAATTGTACCTTATAGAAAAGGCCGCAAGGTCCGAAATGCTTCGACTTGTGATCTTCTCTTGTGATGTTATTACATCAGCTGTGTATTTTTTTTCAACGACTTTTCGTGGAGTTGCAGGACCAATTTTAACAATTATAATTATTATTATTCGTTTAGCACGTTTCCAGTGTGAAAGCGTGATCTAGAAGACGACGGCTTAATGTCCGAGAAGTCGTGTATGTAAATACCCCCGAACCGCGCAAATGAAATTTTTAGTACCGACTTATCACGTGTTCAGCGGGAAGGAAAACACTGTGAGGAAAACCTGAATATATTCGAAAATATATTTATCAGGTCTTTACCCAGCAATGGGACATAAATGTAAGCAAGTGTAGCACTCAGCGAGTCGAAAGCTTAATGCTATTCTAACCATATGGTAACCTGCTATTTACAGAGCGACTAATTGACATTTTCTATCAAGTAACTCGTGGTTCTATATTCGTCATCAGCCACGGACAGCTCTAAGACCTAAAATTAGTATACGTTCTCTCTCCACTGAGAGGATAATAATTGTATTGGCAAATTAATACTGCTGTTAATACTGCGGAGCATGTATACAATAGACGCTAATGGTATACTCACGGCGGTTGGTAGGGCAGCCTCGGTGTCCGTCGCTCGACCACGGGCGCCGCCACTGAGACGTTACTTTCGCCTGCAAAGTGCAAAGGAGAATCCATTAACGTTCCTCCTTCATATTCACCACGCACGTGGTGTTGGTGACACATACAAATGGTACAGAGAAAAAAATAATTTCTGTGTGATTATAACCTATAGTACTAAATGTCTTATGCCCTGGGTACATGGAAGACGCAGATTGTAAATGATTAGATAAGCATGGACTAGCTGCATGCTAGACTTGCACTAGCATCGGGCAGCATTTACTTAGTTGAATGTTTACATTACATTTTACGGTGGTAGGGCGACGCAGCAGCCTCGGCTGTTGCACGAATGGGCAGGGCCCGGGTAAGTACCACGACCTCACAGAAGACCAGCGTAAAGTGGAAGTACGACAAATACTTTCACGTTTCGTCTGGTAAGTGAGGTGGCCGGAGCCCAATTTTCAAAAGGTTGGCAACGCATCTGTAACCCTCGGGTGTAGCAGATGTCCATGGGCGGCTGTATTCACTCACCATCAGGTAAACCGTCTACTCGTTTGGCAACTTTGTACATTAAAAATAATAATTTTACAGTTGGATACAAACTTATAAGCGATTGTATAAATATCTGCCAACTACTGCATTGATGAAAGCTTTCAATGAGACGTACTACGTCTTATCAGAAGTGCTAAAGTAGAGGTATCTTTACCGTATCTATTCTGTTGAATGAGATACTCGGGGTAAATCTTAATAAATTTGGCAAGGTACATGCAATAGATTAAGTCTGTAGTATGTCCATAGCTGGCAGTAATAACTAAATATCAGGGATTTTCTTGAATTACCACTTGAATTGACACTTTCAAATGTAATAACATATCTATGCATACAATATTAAATGATACGATTAGGAATGATCACTCAAAGACCAGAGATGGCGATCAGGCCGAAATTCATAAGCTCTGTTGTTGAAGTCAATATGTCATTTCATTGGGGAGCTCACAGTCTAATGGTGTAAGAACATTCTTCTATTTATACTATAGCCCGCGTTTACTAAGAGGTTGTTTAAAATGCGCAAAAACGTTGTTCACAAAATACGTCGAGATCGCCGAGGCAATCGGCTGTTTAGTTTCTTGACAAAAACTTCTTGACGCGAAACCGGAAGATGTGGGTTCGATTCCCCAAGCGGCGAAAAACTTGTCATCCATTTTTTTCTACACATTTGAAGAGATTCACATGAATAAGGTGACCAATGGGGATGACGAATTGGCCCGCGACCTACCCATCCACTCATCCAATTTCAAATTAAATGTGGTCACAGTCTTAAAAGAGTGTATTCTGCACCTATCACTCCATCACAACACACAACATTCTCTAGTCCCAAAATAAGCAACGCTTGTACTATGGGTACTAGAAAACTGATAAACCTACTTAAACATACTTTTCTTTTGTAAATAAATACATATTATACATATATAAACACCCAGACACGGGAAAAACACGATGTTCATCACACGCTATTTTTCCAGTAGTGGAGATCGAACCCACACCCTCTGGCGCAGGAGGCAGGGTCACTACTCCCCACGCCAATCGGGTCGTCGATTCAGGTAACAATGGTAACCAGGATAGCAGTACCTGATGAGAGGTGTCGCGAGATCCTCCTGCGCTTCCTGCTGGGGCTGTCGCCGGCTTTGCTGGACAGCTCGCCGTCCGAAGAGCCGGCGCTCACCAGGGACTCCACGCCGCCCTCCAGCGGGTTCGTGTCCTGGAGACGCCGGATTGCAGAGCGTAAGCCATTATCAACGTTGCTAGAAAACTATCGTGAGATCGTGTGAGATCTTGGAGATTCGATGTAGGGGTTACGCGGGATGAGGAATTCTTCTAGCTTTAGTATGGAGCCTTTTATACAGGCTCGCCGCCTATGTAGCGATAAGAGCAAACTACATGTAAATAGTTAAGTGTTAAATCCAGACTATAGATCTTCAGACTTAGTAAGATCTCATACAAAAGATCCAGTATTTTTATTCGAGATCTAACCAAGCATCTGTTTTCAAGAATCTTTTTCCACTAACTGGTCTTCTCGTTGACGATAAAGGCAAGCCCAACCTTATACAAACTTGAAAGGTCAGACGGCATAATAATGGACCAATTAACAAACGTATAAAGACAATATTTTTCAGACAGCTGGTTGTAAAAAGCCGTTACATAATCCTTTAGGAAATTAATACAACCATAGATTTTCATAATACATGAACTAGGCGTCAAGACCAGCCTGATATCGCCTAAGAAACCAATCACACAACGTCTATTAAGACGTAAATGCTTACGTGCTCTCCGCGGGGAATGTTCCTATATGGGGTTCCCCTAACCGCAAGCGTCGTCACGGGTATTCTTCTCGGCAACGTTTGTCTCATAACCTTACTACACGAAATTCCGGTCCCTCACAGCTGGTTTTATTACAACTTCTAGATAACGCGCGCCGGATGCCGCCACGAATGTCTTCAGACCGTGAGCTTTTAGGGGTATAGAAATCGAATCCGCGACCTTTCCACCTCGCCCTTCTTTCAGGCCTCGAAGGCGAGCCGTGGCACTGACAAAGCTTTCTCCCAACCGCCAGAGTACTCCAACTCCGGGCACAAAGGGCCACCGACGGGGCTTCCCGAACTTCGACGTTTGAGCAAATTTCCCTGTGAAGTTTTTCCGGCGCGCGTGCCAGAGGTTTCGCCCCATTCTTACTTTGCAATCGACGAAAAGTTTACAGATTTATTGTAACCGAGTTATATCATCTCGACGAAATTACCTCTATAGAGCCGATAAGTGCCAGGTGAGAACTAAATATTTTCAAACGATTGCTGTTACTAAATTACTATTTTGGTCAAATGCGATATCTGCCAATACACACGGGAGTCGAATGGCGATGGTGCCCTAATACCCTCTAACCGGAAAATGGATATATGTAATGTGGGCGCGGCCAGTCACTCACATCAGTCGCTTACCAGCCGTAGGCGGGTGAGGACGTTTTTTGCTTTACGCCACGTTACACCCTTTTTTTTGGTATCGGGGAGGAAATCTTCAAAACATACCACCCTATCTCTTGGGGGTGACAGAGTATTATGGGGCTCCTAACTTTACCACCTCGTTGGCCACCCTCAGTGCGTTCAATACAATGGGCTCCGGGATCTCCGAAAGTATCCACCGGCGCCCCTCTGTACTCCGTGTAGACACGCATCGGGGAATAAGACTCCACAAATCTTTCAGTCGCTTTTTACGACAGGCAGGGGTTACCTTAGCCCTATTCTGAGCCCATGACTACAAGGGCAGACGCATACGGCTTACCTGCCCGGGTGTCGGAATTTGTGTGTTACTTTCTTACATAACTCAGATATTTCAATTAACGGTTATCTCCCACTTAATTGAGTTGAGTCAGACATGGAGTTACTCTCTGTAAGTGCTGTTGCGACAGAGATAACGCATACGAAGCCTAAAAGAAATTAGCTGATTGTCTCTTTTCAAAAGTCGATGTACAATAGTCATCGCAGAGTTTTGTCATTGTTTCGTATTTTTTATATATATATACTAGCGGACCCGATAGAAGTTGTCTTGTACACTAGTACGTCTTAAATCCGACAACAACTTATAAATAAAAAAACACTATCGAATCCACTTGAATACACACTTAGAAGAATTATATAATAATAACACGAATGAATTACAAATTATAAAGATACTTTTTTGGTGTTGCGTTGTGGTCTCCGAGAACTGCCGGTGAGACAGTCACGGTGGGGCTACTCACCATGTGGTGGTGGTGGACCGGGTGCAGGTGGGTTGGCTCCGCTGAAGGCCCGGCACCGGGGCTGACCCTCATCTCTGAAAACACCAAAGGAACCAATTCACTTGTCACATCAAACATACTCTCTTTCTTCTATTCACCCAACTTTAGAAAAGCAAGTTCTTAATTCAGTTAGACTTTTTTACATTTGACACCTCAGAACTCTTGACAATTATAGGATGATGTGAAATATAATTTTCATTTTAATTGTGCTTCAACTGATGCTAAGTGATAACCGCCGTCGCTTGTCGTCGTCGTTGCCACCTTACAATAAAGTGGGCCCCGGCTACCTCACTCACCAGGCGAAACTCAGAAGTGTATCCGTTCTACTTTACGCCGGTCTTCTGTGTTGTCGCGGTACTTACCCGGACGGACCTGCCCATTCGTGCAACAGAAATAAAATAAATAAATAAATAAAATGACAAAACTTTTAGACAATTCAGGTGGATTGTTGTCGCATTTGTTATGACTCTTTGACATATCCTCCAACATTCCACTTATAACGGAAATAATCTCCGTTTTATACCAATGTATATCATGGTTAATAATACTAGTATTCGCCCAGTGGTCGAAATTCGACCATAATTAATTATACATGGTAGTTGGTGTGCGTAATTTTTTTTGTTGATTAAATGTATTTTTTTGCATAATTAAAAAAATATATTTAGCTTTCTGCACTCCTCTATATATACTATAACTGTGGGAAATTTCATACTACATATTTCATACTAGGGTACTTAACGTAATTACATAAAAGGTTTACACAAAGTTTTTGTTTCACGTATTAATAATATATTAGACTAGCTGATCCGGCAAACGTTGTTTTGCCATGTTAATTATTTCTAGGGAATTTGTGAACCTGAACACATAGAAAAATAATTTTCGGAACGCACCCATAAAATTTTTGACAGATTTGATATTGAATGGGAAAATAAAATTGTTGCTATATCGATTTTCCATGCAATTTTTCCATAATTTCTTATCGTTTAAACCTTCCCTGGACTGCCACAAATATTTCAAAACCAAAATTAGCCAAATCGGTCCGGCTGTTTTCGAGTTTTAGCGAGACTAACGAACAGCATCCATTTTTATATATAAGAACATATATAAGATTAGATTAGATGAGCGAATCGCTCGTAGGTATATCGCGTGGCCGCTCCCGCTGCCGCCCGTGATCTGTTGCGCAACCAGCGAAAGCGTTTGCGGCGCACGGGCCCATGGCGAAAGTTGTAACGGCGGCCGCGTCGGGCCACTAGACGGGAGGGCGTATCGGAGAGCGAAAGTGTCTTAACGTTCACTCACTACTTGAGCGATATATAAACGTAATGTTTCGAGTTCGTTACTAATACACGATCACTCTTTGATTTTCTTTTTCAAATCACACATTTTTTTCCATACACAGAGAGCACTTGCTACTGGCACCTACTGGCAAGGTGTCACCTTAATATGATCTACCCAAGCAGTTAAGAGTTATCCCTTAAGCCCGATTTCTGAAACACTGATCGTAGAAGTCAACTAAGCAGCTGTCAAATGGCTTTTCAAATGTTATTTGAGTCGCCAAAACTCTCTGATTTCATCAGAATGATCTTCTTAACGATTAGATTTATCAATTCAAAGAGTTTAACAACTTCAGGTGATCACATACTGTTTGCAACCTCCGCTATAAACTTAAAGCAAAAACGCGGACCTCCATGCCGACTATTACCGTTTACCTTTTGCCACCTCTGCGTTTTCTTTCTTTCTTTAAAAAAAACCCCTTACTTTAGAATAACATTATCCCGTATTGTAAGGACGTTTTACAAACGTATATTTAAGGTGGACAAACACCCAGATGCGAAACAATTACCTGTGGGTCACACAAATAGTTGTCCCGTGAGGGAATCGAACCCACGAGCCCTGACGCCGAAGCCAATGCTTTGGCACCTGCGCCGCGGAGTCATCGATTATTTAAAAAAAATAAAAAACGAAAACGCGCACCTAATGGCCGCACACGGCGTCGCGTGGTATCCGTGCGCTCCAACACGTGTATCGAAATTGACATCGCACGAGAAATCCACGCTCTTTTCGCAATAAGAGGCGATGTGGCGTATTCAATACAAACGAAACGGGGTCTTTATTTATGACATGGACTAGCTGATGGGGCATCCATTGTGGGGTGATGACCATGGACAGCCACAAGTGACGTAGCAAGCGGTTGGGTTGCCAACAGCTTCTATTGTTACACGAATGGGCAGGCTGAGAGGTACCAGGGTTTTTTTCTTTAAACATTGCCCTTACTTTAGGATAACATTATCCTGTGTTGTAAGGACATTTTACAAACATAAATTTCATGCGGACAAACACCCAGATGCGAAACAACTATCTGTGGGCCACACAATTAGTTGTCTCGTGTGGGAATCGAGCCCACGACCCCCGACGCCGAAGCCAATACCTTGGCAACAACGCGACGGAGTCATCAAAAAAAAAATATTATCACTACGTAGTATAAAACAAAGTCGTCACGCTGTCTGTCTGTCCCCATGTATGCTTAGATCTTTAAAACTTGATGCGGTTTTTTTAACCAGACAGAGCGATTCCAGAGGAAGATATATATGTAAAATACACTGAACCCGTGCGAGGCCGGGGCGAATCGCTAGTTTCGTATAATTTCGTCCGTAAGCGTTATCAGGATAGAAAGCGCGCGACCGATGGCGACAGTGTTACGAGAGTGGCCAACAAGTGGGGCGGGGAGGTCCCGGGGTCGAACCCGACCTGTTCTTATCCACCCAACGCCGCGCATTAAATACATAATAATAGTAACACTTTATATGTAAAAACATATAGGTAAATGCTGTATTATGCATGATGTTATGTCACAGATACTTAAGTATAAGTATCTACATTAGCATAATCACAATATCCAGAGAAATTACAAAAGAAAAAACATATTTATGAAAAAGTAATAAATAAAGATCAGTTAACATTCATATTAAAACTTAAATCATGTAATAAATTAAACTTGTTACAATAATATTGATACACAAAGCATTATTAATTATATTTGATATTCATCTAAGTCATTCTAAGTTGTCATTAAGAAAATCACAAAAACAATAATGACTCTAAAAATGAAGGATGAACTTCAATTTCTTTTCATAAATGGCTAGAAAGGCAAGTCTAAAGTTGGAATTTTCATTAAAAATATTCAAAATCCCTTCCGACGTAACGAATAATTTACAGCCTTTAATGACTACCGAGTATAAGATAGCTTCATCATAAAGTGTTATCCGCGTACATTCTTCCTCTTTCTTACTTTTTCCTGTCCCCATCCCATGATGGACGAACATGGGAACGGCAAGACGCGTGAACTTTTACCGACTTCAAAAAAGAAGGAGGTTTCTAATTCGACCGTATATATATATATTTATATTTATGTGTGTTCGCGGATAACTTAGTCGTTTATCAACCGATTTTGATGATTCTTTTTTGTCGGAAAGGAGATATCCCAAGGGTGGTACCATGATAAGGAAACCGGGATCTGATGATGACATCTCAGAAACATCGAGGGCAATCCTCAAATGTTATAGGTGTTCACATGTTTTTAGTTTCCTGTTTGCAGCCTTTTTTTCTTTTTTTGTTAAAAATTATACTGTTAGTGGTGTTGGTTCGTGTTTTGTTTACCCAACTAAGGTCAAACCCCGTTGTGAACAAACATCCAGAACAAATGTTCTGGATGTTTGTTCGGATAAATATCCGTGGGTCGCACAAATACTTGTCCCACGTGGGAATCGAACCCACTTTCAGTCAGCAAGCAGATGAGCTATTGGCGTTTTCCAACAAAACTAGCACCGAAATTACGGCCGCCGATAAACGAGAGACCGCTCTTTAACCAATCTTGCTCACGGAATCGAATCTCAGCCTCCAAGCGCGCATTGCAAAGGGGCTTTGTCTATTTTCTTCATGAAAAAGAACCGAACAGCTCCATAGAATGACCGCATTATATGATTCGCGATTATGGTTCTTAAGCTAATATTATAAAGTCTAAAATCCCAAACGTGCCGTACCAGCTAGTACAACGCAACACAAAGACGTGTTGCAACTCGACAACCTTCGGCGCAAAGACAATAGAAACAACGGACCGACCCATTGAGTGTCCATTAAATACATCAAACATACTAAAAGAGACTTAACGCAATTAAATTTAAGATATAATTTACAATGAATCAATCGATTCCGTTTTAGTTTTGATTTAAGAAAATAATGTTGAGTCACATCTGTTAATATTTAAATGCCGAATCGTTTTAGTTTTAATTTAGATTGTTGTAATTAATACGGTATTTTTTCTTTAATATACATTTTTGTTTGTTCCTCCTTTATTCATAATTTTGAATCTGATATTAATTGTTTTTAAGTATTTTTGCATTTATTATTCTTATTCATTCTAGTATCAATCTGTAACAATGCCGCTTTAGAATTTTTAAGTTTATCTTACTACTTAACTACAGAATGTATACGCACTGCTGGTGAACTTTTTAAATAAATAAATAAAAATTACACAAACAAATTCAGACTTAATACGACGACACTCCTAAGGTGTTTATATTATAATTTAATGATGCGTTGTTTTGGCATTAATATGTCACGTACCATACATGCGTTTAGCAGTGTAACATATAATTTTCATTCGTCTCTTTCTAATAACGGGGATAGCGTATAATGGATTTAATCTTATATCTCTTTCTCTCCGCCTTTAATGCATACTTATGTGTGCGTGAGTACCATTCATTCACGGTAGCGCTGTCTTTGAGTGCAATGATGGCGTCCATAATAATTGTATTAAAAATAATAATAATAATAATAAATGTGATTTATTGAACACTTAGTTACACATTTAATGGCGCCTTGACTCCCGAACTAGGATATCCTATATTTCAGGCGCCAATCCCATCCCCGAATACTTATGGTTATTGACTTTTAATTGGTTTATATTTAATTAATCGATTACTTTTTAGAAATTTTTCTACGAATTTTAATGTTAAATCGTTTACTGTTATAATATGAAGAAAAATTTTCAGGGCGGTAGTGCCACGCTGCAGCCTCGGCTGTTGCAAGAATGGTCAAGCTCTTCCAGGTAAATACCACGACCTCACAGAAGACTGGAGTAAAGTGGAAGTGTTATACTTTCGCGTTTCGTCTGGTGAGTGAGGTAACTTAATATAAACACGTCGTGTAAACACCCATACTGGAAGAACTGTGTTCATCGCACACAATCATGTGCGAAAAACTAATAGCGGGCATCGAAACCACACCCTCTGGCTCAAGGGACCGGTCCACCGTCCACTGCGACATCTGGTGATCGTAATCGAACCCCTTACCTGGGCGACGTCGCTCCGAAGGGCCGGCCGCCCTGCGCTCGGCGCGCCTCGACCCACCGGCCCCACCGCCTGTCAGAGAAAGATAACATCGTCATCATAAACACCCACCCACAACAACCACAAAGACCCACAACTACCACAAATACCCACAACTGCCACAAAGGCCCACAACCCTTCTGCGTAGAATAAGTTATTCCTTTATGGGACAGCGTATACGTTTTTACAATAAAATCCCAGAAAACCTTCACAATGTATCAGTTGCTAAATTAAAAGAATATTTTAAAGGAACATTTATTTGTTATATGCTGTTATAATGTTAGTTATTGCTTAAATTTAACACACCCTGGAAATTAATTAATTGATCGCTCCAGGTTCTTTCAAGTGGAGTTTAATACATTGTAAATATATTTCATTGCCAAATAACGGTAAAAAAAAAGTCCCGCTGAGTTTCTTTCGCCGGTAGTGGCTTCTGGGAACCGGTACATACATAAATAAATTTCACGTGAACCAACATGGATCCGAAACAGTTCTCAGTGGGTCACACAATACATTGTGTCGTGTGCGATTCGAACCCACGACTATGGGCGTTATCCCGATTCCTCTTTCGCAGCGCCGCCTCTGCCGTTAGATTGGGATAAATTTTGATGATCACCTTTTTAATTTGAGATATTTTTGGATAAAAATAAAACTTAAAATTTTACGACCACCGTTCCTTCATTAGCGTTAACCACAGACTGCTCACAAACAGATAACAAAAATATAGTTTTAGTAATTTTTATACAGATTATAAATATTTTAACTTTAATGAGGAGAGTGAAGGTCTAAAATGCAACAGGCGTCGATACAAAAACTCAGCGAATCCTGAATCTGGTATCTAAGGGACGGACACTCCATCGGGCGTATACCACGGCCACCCATACCACCGGCCGCGGGCTGGAATGGTTCCAACGCGCATCGATCCACGGCACACCCCGATTCGAGCCCCAGCGTCATTCCGCTCCAAAAAGTCTTAATACTATTATTCATATTCCTTCTCCTGTCCTTATCCCACCTAAGCGGGGTGCGAGCAACATGCGAGTAATGTTGTCTACCGTCAAAATTTGTGGGTAAAAGTAACAGCATATAAATGTCCCACAGCTGGGCAACGGCCTCCTTTGTAAAGACGATATCAGGGCATAGTCCACCACGCGACTCCACTACGAATTGGCGGACTTCACATATTTTCGAAATATTTTTTTTTATTATTATTTCGAAAATATGCAGGTTTTCTCACGATGTTTTCCTCACTAACACCTTAATTCAGCACTTAAAATTAACAATTTCACTGGTGCTGGCACCGGGGATCGAACTCAGGTTGCTCGAGTAAATGTAATTAAAGGCGAGCGGCCCGGACACTGAGCATTCGCGGCTTTTCGCTCAAATTTGTGGGTCACACAAATATATTTGTTAATGTTGTCTACCATCCTCAGGAATTAACGCAAGACCCATACAATTGTCTGTGGGGTCACACAACTTTATGTCACGTGTGGAAATCGAACCCACTATAACCGGCGCCGAATCCGACAGCTTAGCGTCTACCCTAATATTGGCGAAGCGAGCGGACTGTTCTCCTGATGTCAAATGTCTCCTGCTGCGTGCCCCACCTCAGTGAAGGTCTCCCGTTACCATACTCAGGATGACGGCGCAGTTAATAATAATCAGTTATTCGAATTAATCCTTATTTTATACGTGCAATATATTTCAATATGTTTATTTTTTATTTATAAACCCAACCAGACGAGAAAGCAAATAAATATCCCCATCGTTTATTCACATAAACATGGTACATAATATAGTCGTGTCTAAATTTGTGTATGTAAAACGTCCTTACAACACAGTATAATGTCATCCTACAGTTAGGGAGCAACGTGTGGGAAGATCACTCTGGGTTGCAGTCAGCGCCTGTCGGGGATGACTCACCGACGCTGAGACGCCTCTGGTCGTGGTGCTGGTGATGCTGGTGCTGGTGGGGCTGGTGTGGTGGTGGTGGCGGACGTCGCGCTTCGCTGGCGCCGGCGGCGGGGAGGCCGCCACGCAGGCCTCCTTGGGACTGCCAGCGCTGCTGCCATCGCTGCCACCAAAGAACAAACCAGGTTAGTTGGTTTAGTAGTTAAAGTTCCACCCGTGATCAGAAGACGAGGATTCCAATCCATGTGGGACAAGAAGTCTATGACGAGTGTCACACGAATGGGGCTTTTGACAATTGTATGTAAATCTCTAGCTATAATATTACTAAAAGTGAAGCCTTTTTATTGGCTATTAAGAAGCAAGTCCACAGTTATTTAGGTTTGTATAGCTGTAAATCTTATATGTCTAAATAAACTATCCATCCTTATGTATGCCTAAATCTTAAAACTACGAAACGGATCTTGATGCATTTTTTTTACTAGATAGAGTGATTCAAGATCAATTGGAAGTTTTTATACGTATAATACACTGCACCGGTGCGAAGTCGGTCGGGTCGCTATTCGTCGTATTGAATAAAAACATTTAAATTTGTAATGCAACGTAAGTGCTCTTAATAATGCTTTATATTTACCCGAACATTACATTATTAAATGTATCAATTATCACGGTACCATATGAATATGACCATATGGATGGTTAATCTCTTTGGATCCATGGTTCTGATCATTAAGATGATCACTCTGGTCAATTCACGGAGTTCAACCCTCCTTTTGGCAACTCAAATGACATTTGGAAAGCCATTTGACACGTGATTAGTTGACTTCTACGATGATCAGTGTTTCAGTAACCGGCCGTCAGTCAATCGAAGCTTCAAAAGGACCAACACAAACAACAATAAACCTCCTCAGATAAGATACATCGCGTCATTCGGGCCGAATCGAACCCATTGCCGAGACGCGGGAGGAAGTGAGTGCGACATCCACATTCCGCGGGCCCTAAATAGGGCGTTTCACAAAGCGGCACCGAGGGTACCAACCGATTCTATTTTGAGGCTACACAATCGTGTGGAAACTAAGTGTAGTTTTGGTATGCGGTGACGCAGCGCTGGGCGCAGGCTACAGCCGAGTGGCAGTCCTGGATGAGAACCCGATTCGTTTTAAATTTTTCAAGTATTGATGCTTTAAAAGCAAAGATGTTCAAAATTTCAAATTTAGATTGGTTCATTATAACTAGAAATTACAATTAGAATTATTACAGACTGTAGATGTGGCAGCAGTCTGCCGTTGCATGAACGGGCAGGTCCGTCCGGGAAAGTACCACAACCGCACAGAAGAAGCGTGAAAGAACACCAGCGTGAAATGAAAGTGTTATACTTTTTCGTTTATTCCGGTCAGTGTGGTAACAGGAGCCGAGTTTACTAATGGACATCTGCTACACCCGAGGGTTGCACATGCGTTGACAACCTTTTGAAAATTGGGCTCCGGCCACCTCACTCACCAGACGAAACGCGAAACTATTATACTTCCACTTTACGCCGGTCTTCTGTGAGGTTGTTGTACTTACCTGAACGAGCCTGCCCATTCGTGCACCAGCCGAGGCTGCTGCGTGGCCCACCAAACTTTAAATTATTAAGATTCTCTTCAATTCCATCAATTCAATTTAAAGCTAAAAATATTGTTATGAACACACAAAGGAACTAACGCCATCTAGCGTCAACTATTAAAACCACTAAAGAACAAGGTGACATAAACCCCCTATTCAATACTAGATGGCGTTAGAGGAACTGCTGTGGAACTATAGTCTCGAAAACCGGGTACATTCGCGAACTTTCCGGAATCACGAACATGTTCGGGCGTGTCGGGTACGTTCCAGGAAGGATCTTTCTGGATTAGTCTGGAACCGGTCTCGGCTCATATAAAAAGCCGCGGGGATGCGAGCGAATACAGTTCGGTTTGAGCTACCTTCGAGGCGACTTCGGAGTGAAAACTAGTGATCAAGAGCGATACCAGTGATACCTACGACTTGGCTACAACCTAGGACATCGTCAGTGCTTAGTGTTTGGACCTAGTGCTTTGTGTTGGACCTAGCGCTAGTAAATAAAGTCTTCAAAAGAGTCAGCAGGTCTTTCTCTCCAAATCCTTCGAACCCCCTAACACGTAACAACTGGTGTCAGTAGTGGGATTTGGAGATGCCATTGACTCCGAGAGAGGACTTCAAGGACGGTGTCAGGACAAGGGCACGAGCTGCGGAGACCACACCCACTGGGGACCCAGCCCCGCCCACTATGGGTCAAGCCCCGCCCACTGGCCCCACCGACCAGGCCACGCCCACCGACCACGCCCCCAGACTCCGCCCACTCAGGCCCAAGCCCCGCCCACGTTGTTTAAAGCCACGCCCATTTCGGGGCAGGCCCCGCCCACTGACTCCACCCATCGGGACACGCCCACTCGTGCCACGCCCACCTTGCCACGCCCACCGGCGGCACCACAGCTTCTGCAGCCCCTGAAGTGGCTCTTCAATTAGAAAGTTTAATTAAATTAATGGAGCTGCAAAGGGCTGAAATTCAGGCAATGAAGGAGTCACAAGAACGCAAGCTCAGCGCTTTGCAAGCGTCACAAGAGCAACAAAAAGACCTCCAAGAAAAAGCGCTTTGGGCTATAAATGATGTTAGTAACACGGTGATTAAGCTTCGAAGTGATGTCGACGTAGTCGAAGAACGAGTTACCGGGTTAGGAACCACTGGAGTGGCGCAAGGACCAAGAGTGAAAGTGCCGCCATACGACGGCACTACTTCTTGGCACGCTTATCGTCGGCAATTCCAGACTGTTGCTACTGCCAACGGATGGACGGAAGAGCAAAGCCTGACCGCTCTCACTGTTGCGCTTAGAGGGCAAGCTTTGTCGGTCCTGGAAGCAAGCACTGCCGCATACAGGAAATGGGTTCCAAGACCTGATGAAGGCACTTGAATCCAGGTACGGGGAGCGACACCTGGAGCACGTGTTCCGTGCCCAACTGCGTGACCGAGTCCAACGCTCAGGAGAAGGACTACAACAATGGGCGTTGGAAATTGAAAAACTCGTCAGGAAGGCACAACCAGGAGCCGACACCAAGATGGTAGACACGAATATTGTTCAAGCATTTGTGGACGGAATCAAAGACCTGGGGGTCAGAGCTGCAGTGAGGCTTCGTCACCATACCTCGCTAAAGGAGGCATTGGCGCACGCTTTGGAGGTCGAGGCTGTTCGCTACGACATAAGGCAGACCCATAGGATCCGTGAGGTCTCTGAGGAAGTGAAGGAGGTTAAGGCTCCTACGAAGAGAAGTCCTGGAGCCATGTGCTACAAGTGTGGCGAGAGGGGCCATCTTCAGCTCAACTGCCCGCAGAAGGAGACCCAGATGGCAAGGATGAAATGAGGAGAGGAACAAATAGCGGAGCTGAAGAAGCGAGAGGCTTCGTCCCCTGCCCGGGATCAGGGAAACTAATAAAAGCCAGTACTAAGGGGCGAGTACTGGCTGACGCGGAGGAAGCCCCGATAACTGTTATCTCCGAGGCATGCAGCGGGAATAGCCTTGTGATTCAGGGTACTATTAACGGGTCGGATTGCAAAATGACTCTATACACAGGAGCCTCTAGAACAATAGTGAACCCAAAACTGGTAAAAGCCTCAAGGGGACTCAAGAGGAGAATTAACTGCCGGCTTCTTACTGCCTCCGGTCAGCCAATACCCGTCTTGGGAGAAATGTCAGTCTTCAAAAGAGTCAGCAGGTCTTTCTCTCCAAATCCTTTGAACCCCCTAACACGTAACAATATTATGATCTTAAAATAGGAATTACTGATTAAATGTACTCATTGCCATCTTCATATTCACACACTTTACAAATGTACAGGGAATGAAATAAACATATATATTGCATTTTCACTTTTATTTCCTTCCTTAAAACAGAATGCAATAAATTAATTAGAAGACAAATAACATGTCTCATTAATATATCTTCCACACCCTGTGACAGATCATTCCAATTGGGCGTTCTTAATTGTTTTTAACGATCCCAACTGACTTTGAAATAATTTATTTTTCATTTGATTTTTTACCAGTAATTTTATTACTCCCTATCTGTGTATTTGATAAAAAAAAATTAAATCTATAAACAAAACAAGTTACTGTCCACTGATCCCTATGTACTAATTGGTTGATTGTTGAAACATGGTGATAAATTTATGAAATAGGTATATACATAAATGTAAATTGTTAGAATATAAATCGGATTATAAATCTCGGAGTAATCTGTGTACAGACATAAAAATATACCAATTGAATGGATAACCTCCTCCTCTTTGAAGTCAATTAAAAATGAAGGAATAAGTGAAAGAAGAATTTGGACACGGTAAAATGCTGAATACTGCACAGTGCATTAACAGCTATTGAATTGCACATCAAGGCAGCATTGAATCTTTAAGTGAAAGTGAGCGTTAAACACCCAGTCCCACTTTTTTAATAAGCGTGTATTACTTTTACTTTTACATACATGAATGTATGTGTGGAATGCAGAGGAAGATTTGGATGGGCCGTACGAAGAATGATATGTACGTGATGGGGGCTATATTGAAATGACGCTTGATAGAGGAAAGTGGAAGGAAAGGATATGGCGTGGGGGATAAGGGCGGGAGAAAGAGGAAAGAAATATGACAATGTATGTATGTATGAATATGATGAAAACTATATTCTTGTTTTAAGACCGAGAAAGATTTGGGTGGACTGCGTGAATAATGTTGTCAAGGGTCAGTATTTAGATGAGGGCTAGTAGAGAAAAGTGGATGGTAAGGACAAATCAAATCAAATCAAAAATATATTTATTCACATACACGCTTGCGCGTTCTTAGGAAATGTCAAAATTTTACATAAAAATTAATACGTTCGTAAGTTACCACCGGTTCGGAAAGCAGTTTCTGTTGAGAAGAAACCGGCGAGAAACTCAACAGTTGCTCTTTTTTAAACGATTAGTATACAATATTATAGAACATGTCTTATTTTAGCCTACGTGAGTATGTTGTAGAATAAGGACAGGAGAAAGAAGTATATATTTATGTATGAATGCGACGAGAAATTCCGATTCCAATTTGCATCTACTCAAGAGATCGATTATTTGTAATTATGCACACATGACTGTGAAATGTTCAAAGGGGTGTAAAGTAAAGTAAAGTAAAGATGTCAGGATTAAGGATGATCTTGATATCAGTGAGTTGTCAATGTATCGCGTGTCATGATTCACGATGGTGATACCAGTCGCAATGCTGGTGGTGAGCTTGTCGTGGTCCGTCAAGTTCAGAGATTTGGGAAAAAAGCCGATTGCGTGGATTCTTATTACTAACCTAATTAGACTGAACTAGACGAGTAAACGAACTTAAAGCTACCTTCATAAGTCTTAAAAGTCTGAGCGCGGCCGCTTCTTTATCGAGTGGGGTAATTTGAATATGTTAAATGCGAAGCCCTCAGTCATTATTTGGTCCTACGATTGTGACTGTAGAATTATGTCCTGCCTAAGATTAAATTCGTCCATCCGCGGAGAACAGTTACGCCAGCCACTAGCCTTAGCCACCTGACACGAAACGTGAGCCTATCAAAGGGCTAACAGACATCTCGGAGGGGCCGTTAAACTGACGATTAGTGGGGCGCTACTCGTAATAACAGTCGCGAGTTCGAGTAAATTAGGCAATTATCGGAGAGAAAACTTCACTACCCTCCGAGTGACTCCTCGCTCCCCGGCCGCTTTTCGGCGCTGGAGAGGGACAGACGTAGCGGAGGGGCATCGTGCCGTCCCTCACCGCGCGTCGAGCTCGTACGCGCGAGAATGTCACTCGGCGCCCTGCGGACGCGTTGAGCGCGCGCGCGGTCGACGACCCCGCGGTTTCGGGAATACGCTACTCCGGCCGCTCGGCCGAAATGGACCCTAAACGCGAAGCGCCAAGGTCGAAATCGCATCGGGCTGCGCGGACGCCCTTGTTCCGACGCGCGGATGATAAAGGCCACCTTCCTTTGTCGCGCTGCGAATGACTACTCTGCGGCAACGGTGCGAACCGTTTTGAGTCTTAATAGCGAGGCGTACGTTCCACAATCGTGAAAACCGTCCGCGGACAAAGGACGATAAAACGTCCGTTCGGCATTGAGATCAGCGTTGTAAAACGGACTCTACATCACGAGCGATTTGGTTCAAAATCGCGCGCGCGCTGCTCGTGTAGCTTTCGTAGAAACGTGTACATAGAAAAAGAGTAAAACAAGAAATCGCCTTGTTTGACGGTCGCACCGAAAGATTTCCTTCGACCTTCTTAAACGAGACCATACCGCCGCTGGCTCAGTGGTTGATGGACCGAACATGGGATCGCGGGTTCGATCTGAAATACGAGGAATGTAGCTACGCGATTAGCTCAAAGACCATACTCTAGAATTTAAAACAATCATCCCATAAAAATACTTGTTAAGTCAGTTGTGTTGCGTAATTATTATTTTTTTTGCTGCACTTCTTTCCTTAACTTTTTTTAACATTAACCATTCAGACATCATGTTGAAGATTACATTGCACAGTAATGACGAGCCAAATATGTAGTTAAAATTTAATGTTTTGGTTAATAGGAAACTTGAAACTAGAAGACTGCCGGTGACATTTAATTATATTGAGAATTCTTTTATATACGGTGATATTCATGTTTTGCTACATTTGAGAGAACTCACGCTTATGTGGGAAAGCTACTAATAAAAATAAAATTCGTAATAGTAATAGATAGAACAGACCTCTATCCTGTTAGACTATAGGCTATTTTGTCACAAACATAATAATAAAACTCATTGGAACATATCTTTTTTACAAATTTTTATGTAACATAGCTTATGTGCAGAGAATAGCACTGTAAATAAAAGTGTAAATTTCATGTACCCAGCATTGCTGGTCATTGCGCAATGATTCGGATGCAGTACGATGGTGACTAGGGATGTAACATGCTTAAAAACACTGATAAAATACGTTGAGATTTTCGTCGGTGTGGCAATCACATGTTTAGCTTAGTGGTTAAGGCTTCTGGTAAAAGCGAAGACGTGGATTCGGTTCCCGCAGAGGAAAGAAACTTTTCGTAACTACAAATTGTAATCAAACATACCTTATAAAACATGAACCGTTTTTTGCTTAAGATATTTTTTGTTAATTATCATATCTATTTGTTTTATTCGTCTTTCTGCGATAAACTGATTGAAATTGATGACTTCGTGGCGCAGTAGCCAAGGTATTGGCTTCTGCGTCGGGGGTCGTGGGTTCGATTCCCACACGGGACAACTATTTGTGTGACCCACAGATAGTTGTTTCGCATCTGAGTTTGTCCGCGTGATATTTATGTTTGTAAAACGTCCTTACAACACAGGATAATGTTATCCTAAAGTAAGGGCAATGTTTTTTTAAATAAAAGAGAAGAAAAAAAAATATATGGGCACAATTCCTACTTCCAAACCATTGTAAACATTTAAATTAACACCTAAACATTGCATATACCCCCGATCGCATGCAATGTTTCAGCACCCCGCAGCTACCACCCCGTGTCACCCTGCAAGGGTTGAATTTTAAATGTGCCTTTATAAGAGTTCTCGCGTATGGAGGCGAGGATGAATCTGGCGGTTGAGACAATTATGCGAGAAATATTCGCTCCCTACGAATACCCTGAAATAGGTGGACAGTTTGTGGCGTCTGTTTATCGTCGAGCACCATTACGCGACATGTGACGATCTTTTCTCACCTGACGACCGTATTGGCAGCGAAACTATACCGCTTTGATAGTTACTCGAGTATACAAAATTCGAAGAGAGCGCCCGGACGCTGAGCTAACTCGGCTGAAACCCAAAGCAAAGAAAAGAACTGTGGTAGGGCCTAGCAACAGTTTTGACTGTTGCACGAATGGGCAGGCCCGTCCAGGTAACAAGCACGACCTCAAAGAAGACCGGCGTGAAGAGGAAATATTATACTTCTGCGTTTCGTCCGCCGAGTGAAGTAGCCATGGCCCCACTTTGTTAAAAGGCGGCAACGCATCTGCAACCCTACGGGTGCTGCAGAGGTCAATGCCCGACGGTTCTCGGTTACCATCAGGTGAACAGCCAGCTCGCTTGTCACCTTCACATAAATACAAACAAGTTTTTTTTTTTTTGTAACGAAAAACAAAACCGCCCTCAAATATCTCGCTCTGTATTCATCTTATAATTGACTAGCTGACGCGGCTTGCCATATAAATTATTTGTAGAGGAATCGGAACGCTTAAAATTGTTGCTATTTCGATTTTCCATGCAATTTTACCATAATTTCATCATCAATCATCGTTTAAACCTTCCCTGGACTGCCACAAATATTTTAAAACCTGTTCTCGACTTTTAGCGAGACTAACGAACAGCAATCCATTTTGATATAGGTACCCTACGTATCTCCGGTACCCAAGATCCAATACCAATGAACTTAACATGCGGCCACATGAGAAGCACGAGCTTTCAAATAAAAAAAAGAATCGTCCAAATCGGTTCCCTCACTCGAAAGTTCTGAGGTAACAAACATTAAAAAAAATCTGTCGAATTGAGAAACCCCCTTTTTGAAGTCGGTAAAAAAATTAACTGCATAAAATAATAGGTTGGAAGTTTCGACTTCGACCTTGTCTCCGCCGTGCCTCGGTACAGACCCGTAATGTGCCTCGGTACAGACTCGTAATGTGCACACACTTCCTCGTTCTCGATGACTTATAGCGGCCGACGACGTCACACGCCGTTTGATAGCTCCGACGAGGGAGCTCTGCGTTTCCTCAGCCGTGTGGAGAACGCGCTCGCCGAAAACCGACCGTGTTCTCAACTGGGCAAGGTTCGGAATCGAGCCGCGGCCGGGCCGGCGGTCGCGCGTCCCGCTCGCACACGCGAGCCGCGGTCGCGTGCGAGCGAGACGCCACACGGAGTGTTTTTATCACGGGGGCACTCGGCAGCGGATTGCGGTCGCTGCGTTCGCCGATAACGCGACGGGCTACTCTCCCGTCGGCCGATAAGAGTGTTGTTCTGCGTGTCTCCAGTTCCAAACCGAAATCTACTCCACTCGTCATTACTCACATCGCCATCATTTCAGCCTGTTCTAGTTCACCGCTGCATATAGGGCTCCCCCACAGAAAGCCTAAAAGGACCATCCCGAGCAACCTACATTTGCACAGGTCACCCCATCTAGTGGTCATCCTACAGTAGATGACATCATCGCGACGTTTATTATTTCTTAAGAAGCACGGTTTCTGCCGTTTCAGTCGATGAAGCTTAGGCGTTTAATCGTTAAAGTAAGGTAATCGGCTAACTTAAACTTGAAAGAGTCCATGGGCGGCGGATTGATAATTTAATCACGCCTATAGGGAAAAATTATATTCTGTTTAGTTTTTTACGCGGAACTCGACGATTAAACCAAAGTTGCATTGTTTCGAGGTATTTCCGCGAGTGACGTCACAGTTGAGGTGGAACCTGGAAGGTCGACGAGTTCTCTGGCGGCTCTTCTTCTGGTCTAAGGTGCTAATTAGCGAACGGATTATGTAATTTGTAATTTCAACTACTGCTGCAAGATACATTTAGCACCTTCTGCGTGGATCGGACGGTGGAAGTTGACACTTTAAAAAAAACAGGCCAAGTGCGAGTCGGACTCGCGCACGAACGGTTCCGTACCATTGTACATCTATAAAAACGGCAAAAATCAAAAATCATGTCTGTTGTATGGAAGACCCACTTAAATATGTTTAATAGTATTTCTTGTTATAGCGGCAACAAAAAAAGGATCATCAGCTATGAAAATTTCAACTGTCTAACAATCACGGTTCACGAGACAGATAGACAGACGGACAGACAGCGGAGTCTTAGTCAAGGGGTCCCTTTGGGTACGGAACCCTAAAAACTGACGGTAGCCCGGCTAACTATAAAATTCAGACATTCAACACCCCAGACTGTCCCGTGACCATGGACGCTGACAAGAGTTCGGAACGTCGGGAAATAAAATTAACAAGTATAATTTTTAACAAAAAAAAAATCGACCTCAATCAGAAAATTAAAAACATTATTAATACCTATAGGATTCAACAATGGCCCTCAATTTCTCTGGGATGCCATCATCTGATCCGGGTTTCTTTATCATTATCATGGTACCACCCTTGGGACATCTTCTTTCCGATGAAAAAAGAATCATAAAAATCGGCTCATAAACGACGAAGTTATCCGTGAACACACATAAAAAATATATATACGGTCGAATTGAGAAACCTCCTTTTTTGAAGTCGGTTAAAAATAAACACGATAAATTCGTTAACATAAATTTCATTTAGAAGTATAAAATTTTTCGCACGCTGTTTGCACACGGGCTCCCGGCCCATCTCTGTAGATGAACTTCGAAAATGCTTCAAGAGCTATATTGTAATATTGAATATTATCTACATATCTTAGGTTAACTTATTTATCGATCGTACATGCAATACGTGCCAATTTTCTATGTCTAAGGCCTATGAAGGCTAGACAAACACTAGCATTATATTAACCGCTGAGTGCATTTACTTGTCATTTAAAAATATAACTTAACTAGAAATAAAACGAGTGTATAGCGTGCTGCCAGTATACCTCATGTAAAGTCATAACTGTTTGCCACCCATGGACATTTGCAACAATTCCATTTATTTACCATGAGGGAAACAGGTGCTTTGCCACCCGGCTCTCTGGTCTGGTTAACTCGCTAACCAACCCACTCGTGCCACACGAACGAATACTGTTGCGTGGACCTATCACCGTCGTGAGTCCATTATCTAATGAGGAGGTGTGTCTCCTGAGAGCCACTTTGGTGCTCGCATGTTTGTATTGAACAACATATGTACATAATGTCCTACATCACAATTGCACGGTGGTAGGGCCACGCAGCAGCCTCGGCTGTTGCACGAATGGGCAGGCTCGTCCGGGTAAGTACCACCAACTCACAGAAGACCGGCGTGAAGTGGAAGTATAATACTTTCGCGTTTCGTCTGGTGAGTGAGGTAGGCGGAGCCCAATTTTCAAAAGGTTGTCAACGCATCTGTAACCCTCGGGTGTAGCAGATGTCCATGGGCGTCGGTATTCACTTAACTTCAGGTGAACCGTCTGCTGGTTTGGCAAGTTTTCACAGAAAAAAATAATAAAAAAGAATAAAGTAAGTAATGTAACAGCCTATATATGTCCCACTGCTGATGACATCAGGGCATAGTCGACCACGCGACCGCACTGCGGATTGGTGGACTTGACATATTTTCGAAAAATATTGTTTTTGTTATTATTTTGAAAATATGCAGGTTTCCCCACGATGTTATCCTTCACCGCTGAGCAGACGTGACAAGTCAGCACTTAAAATTAACAACTTCACTGGCGCCGGCGACGTGTGTAAGAACGTGGAGTACGCCTCGGGCGCAAGATCGAGTCTTTGTGCTCAACGCGTTAAACGCCGGACCTTGGCTGAGGTCGTAAATATTATAATCGCTTACGATACTATGTGAACAGTTCGGCGTTGCGATATTGACGTTGTAAAATTAACGGGAACCATCACGGTCGATACAGCAATAGAGTAAACAATTTTTTTTATGATTAATCTCATTATTACTGGTCTCTGGACTCGAGATGAAAAATAAAATGCGGTATTGGAACCTTTTAACCAATTGCACGGGGCCAACAATTATATCTTCTTTCGATTCTTAAATGCATTTTTAGAAATGCTTGCCGCTATCCAGTGTGCGGATACTTTACAGTATGAAACACCTCACAGGTCACATTTAACGATGAATATTTCTAACGGAAGAAGCAGGTACGATTCACACAAAACCGAAAGTTTTAATAATTAACCAACAAACATTTACGTAAGTAGTACACTATATTTACAAAGCCGCATCGGGCTTAAAGCCAGTGGAAACTGGATGGGCTAGGTCTCCACGAGTCGATGGACACCACTTGGGGCGGAGGCATGCACGTAAACATGCACGCATTGACATGGAGCAAGACGCATGTGGACACGCGCATGCGATCATTAACAAAACTTGGGGATTGCTCGCGTGCAAATCGTGACATCGACGGCGGTGGAGCGCGTCAATCTTTCGCTTGTTTGCAAGGTTCAACACAAATGACCTTACTCGGTGCAGACACGAAATAATTATAAACAAAGACTTAGGCACTTAAAGCTTAAGGATTGGATAAATAGAAACATTGTGCGTTAAGACTACAAGAAAGCTTTAATATGTTGAATAATTTCATATTTTATTGTAGTGCTAGTGTTGTGTGTGGTTACTGTTCTCCTTAAAGGAAGTCTTTCATACGATGTTGTGTTTACCTTTAATTTAAATGCATAATTATAAAAAAAGGATAAACTTAATTTTTAAGTGTATCACATCAGAATAATAATTGTTTCTTTATGTATTTAGTTGGTAAGCCTGTTTAAATCTAAATATACCTGTTCGTTACTTTCGCTAAAACTTTAGAAAGTCTGGACCGGTTTGGCTAATTTTGATTTTGGATAATTTGTGGCAGTCCAGGGGTTTAAACGATGAGAAATTATGGAAATACTGCATTGAAAATCGAAATAGCAGCAATTTTATTATTTATATAACGTTTGCCGAGTCAGCTAGTAAATAAATAAATATGCATGTATTACGTGATATGTTGTTTGGTGCATTGTTTTTATGTCAAGCTCTAATCGTAGTGTATGGATAAGTGCCGATGAGGAAATTCCATAAATAATAAATATCGCGTAGTCGACCCGCGTCTTTAATTACAGTTAATTGCTAATCGAATATCTCGAGTACTGTCGACTGTTATATGATATCCGCTGTACATAGGAGGCGTTTGCCCAGCGGTGGGATTAAAATAGGCCGTTACTTTGCAACCGACTTCGAAAAAAGAGGAAGTTCAGAATTCGGTTGTTTTTTATGGTCGTTACTTCATAACTTCATTATTCATGAACAGATATTAAAAACTATTTTTGCATTAGGTTCCGTATATCCCCCATGACGTCCCACAATAACTCGATTGGTACTCCTCAAAAGCCTTAAATTGGATCCTACCTATAAGATAAAAATACATGCATGGATACGTTTACAAATCGTGTTCATTCTATTCGAGCTAAACTTAATTCGATTGAATCAAACTTTATCGACCTTTAAAAGACCTTAGTTGTAAAAGACCTTTCGCAGTAAAACTTATCAAGTTATTCATATAGTTTTTTTTTTTAAGTCTTTCGATTTATGTGTCCTTGGGATTTAAAATTTTATAATTTTATATCCCAAAGACACTTGAGCACTCTGTAGATGGACTGTTTACGAAGAGTGCAATAAAAACGTTGAACCCTCTGAAAGGGGCCTGCTCTACGGCGGTGCACGTGTACGCGTGACGTCACCGCTGTTTGTGTACAGGGGGGTTGCGGTGCGAGGGGGAGGGGGTACGGTAGGCGGCACGGCGCGCGCGGCCCCGGCGACGCGACCGTACCGCTTGCGTTGAGCGCTACGTCGCCGCCCGTACGGAGCACACAAACCGCCATAGCCCATACAAAATGTTGTATGTCCCACAGCTGGTCTAAAACCTCCTTTATATAACCCAATGTGCATCGAGAGACGCGTGTTCCAAAGTTTTTTTAAAGTGAAAAGTTCTTTACGTGCGTTGAGCACTTTGGGTGAACAAAAATCATAGAAGTCGTGTCATCGTCCCCGAACGCCTTCCATTACTACATAGTGTAAAACATGGTCGTCCCGCTGTCTGTCTGTCTGTCCCTATGTATGCTTAGATCTTTAAAACTACGCAATGGATCTTGATGCGGTTTTTTATTAGATAGAGTGATTCAAGAGGAAGGTCTACATGTAAAAAATAAGTGTGTAAATGATCGTGACACGAACAGCGGCCTTCTGTTTCGGGGCCGCTCGATTACCGACTGAGCATTATAACATTTTTTTTTTCGGCGAAATTTACCGTCATATTGGAATGATATTTTTCATTCCCTGAAAACAGGGATAAAAGGATATTTTATAAAAATGAAACCTATGTAGATCGATTTTTCGCCCCCGAATCTACGCACATACAAAATTTTATGAAAATCGCTGGAGCCGTTTCCGAGATTCCGATTATTATATATACCTATATTTAAATACAAGAATTGCTTGTTCAAAGATATTAGATAGATAAAAATTTATGTTTGTAATTGTTTATGTTTTCACTTTTATCGACAGTTATAATTACCTACTTTGGTCAAAATCAAATGTCGTACTCATTGAACCGACTTTACATATATTGTCATTCGTTGCACGAGGGCTTTCACAAACAGAAATTGACGACGCTTAATCACCAATCAGGGGTCTTTGGTCACCAATTGCCGGCGAACTCAAGCACAAGCGACTCCACCATCACCTACCGAGAACACAAACGTAAGACGGTGTTGGCCTCGTGGTGTCCCAACTCCCCAAAAGATCCCAACAAGATATCGAAAAAGTCACCACTATTTCGATATCTTATATTTTTTAAACATTGCCTTTACAAATAAACATGTGGAAAAACACCCAGATGCGAAACAAATATTCGTCGGTCACACATATAATTGTTCCGTGTGGGAATCGAACCCAACGACTTACACTTCGTGTCCTCCATTCGGGACGTTGCGACAGAGGACGCTTCTGCCGTGGGTGAACTAGAACAGCGGCGCATTAGTCACTAGGGATTGACAAAGGCGAGAGGTGAGGTGTCGGCGTGTGGGCTCCCACGCCCACGCGGTGGCCTCGCGCCAGCATCGGATACCACAACGCCAACAGCGAGCCCTACCGCGCGCTCAATCAACGCAGCCAATGAACCACGCCTCTCGAATAGAACGTGGTAGGCAGGGAAGCCGTGGTACCTCAGGGTACGATGGAGTCGATTTTAATTTAGTACAATCGCAGCAACCTAGTTCAAACCATGGAAAAGCGGTGAACAAAACATTGCGAGGAAGCCTGCACATTTTCGAAATAATCATTTAATAATATTTCGAAGACATTTAAAGTGCGCAAATTCGCAGTGAGATCGTAGTGTACTACGCCCTAACACCGTCTGTACAGAGGAGGCCTTTGTCCAGCAGTGGGATATACATAGGCTGTTATTTTAAGGCACTGAGCGCCATTGGATATGCTATACGGTTCTCGTAAACTCGATTAAAATGTTGTTTGTAGTATTTCGCGTGCCGTAACATCGGAACCTGATGATCAGATTCTAGAAATATTTACATACACTTTATATTATTGCTTTGGTGATCAAATCGTAAAAAAGGTTTCATAATGAGCCGGTCGTCGACAACCGTCCGTCGCGTGTTAAAGTCCATGATTAAATATTTTTCGACGGCCTACCACCGCTGGGCAAAGGCGTCCTCTCTTCACGTGTAAAATCGATACATCTATAGAAAAACTAACGGCAGTGAAATGTCTGTAATTCTGAAAGTACTCAGGGTCACCAGTGCTGTGGCACGTGGGGAGTCGTGGGTTCGATTCGCGCAGCACAGGACAAGCTCGTGTGAATTTTTCCGAAATCGGGTATTCACCGACACAAAATCCATGCACGTGAAACATCCCATACAGTTATTATGTGAAAATTTGTAAAGCGAGCAATCACGAACATCCACTAAATACCTACTTGTTTTACAGATGCGTTACCAACGTTTACAACAGTGGATCAAGTTAACTCGGTCGCCAGTATAATATTTCATTCTGATATTTTTTTTATGTGAAAAGTTACCAAACGAGCAGACGGTTCATCTGATGTCAAGTGAATACCGCCGCCCATGGACATCCTTTTGGAAATTGGGCTCCGGCCACCTCACTCACCAGACGAAATGCGAAAGTATAACACTTCCACTTCACGCCGGTCTTCCGTGTGGTCGTGGTAGTTACCCGGACGAGCCTGCCCATTCGTGCAACAGCCGAGGCTGCTGCATGGCAGTACCACCGTTCGAGTGATCTTCGGTGATTCGGATTAATCGAACAAAACTTGCTTGTACGCAATCCATCTCTTCCTAAAGCGGTCGGCGTGTCGAGGTCGAGTTAAGTTGGCAACGTTAACTCGCGACGAGGCCGCCGACGACCATTGTCTCAACGGAGTAGGATAGCAACGATTATCGTGATCAGTACCTACTTAATTCGACGACCCGAATGGCGTAGTGGGTAGCGTACCTGCCTCCTGCGCCAGAGGGTGTGGGTTCGATCCCCACTACTGGAAAAATATCGTGTGATGAACATAGTGTCTGGGTGTTTATATATGTATAATATGTATTCATTTACCAAAAGAAAAGAAAATTTATCAGTTTTCTAGTACCCATAATAAAAGCGTTTCTTAGTTTGGGACTAGAGAAGTTGTGTAAACATGCGTCCTAAAAATATTTATTATAGGTAATTGTTAGTAATTTTGTGTATTGTATTCTTCGAGTTTGCTCCGTTCGACATCATGGCAAAGAGGACGCAGTGTACGGGTTATAAGGCCGAGTGAATACATAGGGACAGCAATTATTTTGAGAGAAAATTTTACGCAGTCTGCCCCGTGCCCATGGGACTCTGCGAAACGTCCGAAAGTTCGGAAATGTAAATCAAAATTGTAAACAGTAATAAAATACGTTAAATAGTCTTACATTAAACACCCATGGGTGCATGCAAGAAAGCATGATGTCAGAACAATGTAAACGAGTTTTATTCTAACTTACTCACAAAGAGCCGTCGATTAAGACTAGTGGAATTTCTGAAATTCCACTTGGTCGATCTCAGGCCAGGAATGAAGCGCTTGTCCGTTTCGGTTATTTATTACATCTCATTACTAGAAATTAACATAACATAATACGCATCAAAAGCATCTTGATGAGGTAAATAAATATTTACTTCCATTAAAGTCCTCCAAGTCTACCTAAAGTGTATACGTTTAAAAAAACAGTATTATAAATTTAAATTGATTATAGTGCTAATCTTTGCACTAAAGATTGAACATTAAAAATATGTAGAAGAAGATTAGCACTATAAACAATTTAAATTTCTAAAAAAGCAATGGCGACATCTCTCGTTCGAATTATCGTTGTAAAAAGATATTCGAAGTTGTTTGTATGCTGGAAAGGATATAACAATAGATGGCGCCAAGCATTGCTTCAAATGCTAAGAAAACAATGTGGAAGAATGCGTTAAGATTTTCGTCGGTGTGGTAATCAGCCGCTTAGCTCAGTGGCTAGAGCGTCAGGCCGCAAATGCCGAAGACGTGGGTTCGATTCCCACAGCGGCGACAATCTTTTTGCACTTTTTCTACATATTTTAAAACAGTATTATGTTTCTCACCGACAAATAACCAGCCAATCCTTTACCCTCATAACTGAGACGGAGCGTCACATGCCTCACCACGTCAGAAAACAGGTGGTGGCAAGGTCCAACAGGGTGAATTTAGGGTAAGGTTGTCAATAAAGGGGCGGACCGTCAGAACAAATGCCAGTCGATGTCAAGCACGTAGGATAAGACACGAGAGACACGTAGGATAGTTAACGAAAGGAGCCTGTACTAAGAAATAGGCGTTAGATACCGATTAGATAGATAGATACGCACACGATAAATAGATTGATAGATAGATGATGATTAAGGCAGTCGCGTTTCTATGAGCTCGTGAGATAAGTGAAGATGTAGAAATTTTTTATTACACTTTCCATTCCATTTTGAGGAGTTCTCTTATTTCTTTATAAAAATAAATATTTAAATAATAGTTATAAATAACCTACTACACAATTCGACTGCACACTAATTGCTGTCTCAGGAGAAATTTCATGTCGAAATAATCATTCCTTTGGCCAAAGTTTATGAATTTGCACGTTTGACCTATTAGTGTCTGCATAAATAAACCGAACCGAGCAACCTCGCTTCGAAGTCGCTCGTAAATGTGAGCTAAGCAAAGAGCCCGCTTTTGTTCAAACCAAATATATTTGTTCAATATAGAAGCATCACACTTACTTATTGAATGTCAAAAATCTCTCCTACCGGTACGGAAAGAGCCAACTAACTAACTAACTAACGAAACTCAGAACTCTGTTCCACCTCCGCCTACCCCACGCGGATGAAGACTCGAGGGCTTAGTTATCAGAGCGCCGTCCAGGAAGAGGTGTCCAGGAAGAGGTGTCGAGGGTGCGCTTGCGAAAAGTCCGCACCGGCGCGTATCGCGAGGCCGCCTTGCGAAACGCCGCCGCGGCCTTAGAGCGCGGCACCGAACCCTGACCCCCATTCGCGGCGCGGCCCGATCGCCTTTTTAGACCGCGCAATGTAATGTAAGCGAACGCCTTCGGGGGGCGACGGTTTCGGTTCTGGCGCGAGCCGCTCGAGCTTGGCTACTTTTTTTTTATGTGAGAGAGTGGCAAACGAGCTGGCGGTTCACCTGATGTTAATTGATAACCGCCGCCCATAGGCATTTGCAACACCAGTAGGGTTGCAAACGCGTTGCCACCTTTAAATAAAGTGGGCCCCGGCCACCTCACTCAACGGACGAAACGCAGAAGTATACTTCTAGTTAGAAGAAAAACTTGTTTGTTACTACGAGGTGATCGCTTATACAAACCACCTAAGACACTTATTAATTAACAAGCTGCTGCCCGCGACTACGTCCACGTAGAATAGGCTGAAGGCGTAACATTCAGACAGAAAGACAGATGTACATAAAAATGTATATAAATTATAGCCTATTATTTATTCTGATGTAGGTATAAGCTACATTATTGTAAAGTTTCATTAAAATCCACTAGTCAGGTGCACTACCCACTTTACCAATCGGGTCTTACCTCTTTACCTCTTGCGCCAGAGGGTGAGGGTTCAATCCCCACTACTGGAAAAATATTTTGTGATGAACATGGTATTTTTCCAGTGTCTGGCTGTTTATTTATTTATAGTACTTATGTATTTATTTACAAAAGACAATTATGTTTATCAGTCATTTAGTACCCATAGTACAAGTACGGCTTAGGTTGGGACTACGGAACGTTGTGTAAAAATATGTCCTAAATGTTTACCTTACAACATCATAATTTTGACGGCGGCAGGGCCACCCAAAAGTAATTTCTTTTGCAAGAATGAGCAGATCCGTCCAGGAAAATACCACGACCTTACAGAAGACCGGCGTGAAGTGGAAATGTTATACTTCTGCGTTTCGTCTGTTGAGTGAGGTAGCTGCGGGCCAATCTATTAAAAGGAACCAATGCATCTGCAACATTACGGGTTTAGCAATTTTCAATGGGCCGCAGTTATCTTTTAACCGTTTATAATTAAAAATATGTAATAAAGCCGTGAAAGTGCCGTAAATAAAATTAAAAGTACACTAACAGCACAAATGGCAAAATGGCAAAATGTATGAAATACAAATCAAAATGTTTCATCCATGTAACATGTTCTCTCATCAAACAAAGAGCAGTTTTGATTTTATCTCGTAATACTAATAACATGAAATCATTACTATGCAAAGAATTCTTTGATACGTTCCCATCCAAATAAGACGCCACGGGTCCCAATGGAGTTTTGTTGTCGTGGAACCAAAAAGGAGAGGAATTCAACGAGCGATTGCCCAATTCCTAGAAGCCGTGATAAATCATAACCACGGGCGGGGAGACGGCGAAAGAAAACGGAACAAAAGAAGTGCGGCGGAACCGAGACCGTGCCCTGCGGTAACCCTAGCGCGACGCAGAAAAAAACATATTCTAAGTCGCTGAAATAAGGTTCACATTGCATTGCAGCGTACACGACGAGACGAATACACCTACAAAGCGTCCCTATTCAGTCGCATATAAAGTTCAGAATATAACGCGACAGATGGTCTCGATACATAAAAACTAGCAAAGGATCGCAGCAAAAAGCCCCAACCACCCGCAGGGGACGCGCGGGGAAGGGGCCTACCTGCCCCGTACAAAAACCCAAGCCCGGCCGAATTGCCAGCGGCGCGGAAAAGTTTGGCCAAGACTTGAAAAGATGCCTTTGTGTCTTACGATTTCTGGGTCCTTCGAAACTTATAAAGGATGATAGACATCAGTGCCGCATAGACACTCGTGATATTACTATTGTGCGCGATTGTATGCTACAAAATCAATTGTATGCTACAAAATTGATTGTATGCTACAAAATCAATTCACAGTGTTTCTTCGGCAATAAAGATTTAAATGGGACCCGTATAGAACAGCAAACACACACTGATTTGCATGTCTCTTTTTAAATATACACACGTGACAAATTTATCGCCGCATAATATGGCATATATGAATCGGACATCTCTGGTGTTGTCACTTGTACGATAAAAAGTAAAGTAACAGCCTATACATGTCCCACTGCTGGGCATAGGCCTCCTCTATATAGAGGGTATCAGGGCATAGTCCACCACGCGGCCCCACTGCGGATTGGCGGTCTTCACATATCTTCGAAAATTTTTTTTTATTATTTCGAAAATATGCAGGTTTCCTCACGATGTTTTCCTTCACCGCGGAGCACGTGATAAGACAGCACTTAAAGTTAAAAACTTCATTGGTGCCGGCACCGGGGATCGAACTCAGGTTGCTCGAGTATTTTGAATTAAAGGCGAGCGCCCGGACACTGAGCTATCTCGGCTCTCTTGTACGTAAGCCACTATGAAATAGACAAAAAAAAAATTTAGTTTGACTTTTTAAAAACCCATAATCATGGAAATCTTATTTAAGAACGCGATTGTATGCTATAAAAGATATAATAATAGATACGCCAAGCGTTACTAGAAATTCGAAAAAACAATGTAGGTAGGTAGATAAAAGCCGTGGAGATTTGTCGGTGGCAATCAGCCATTTAGCGTAGCAGTTATTTGTAGCTTAAAGCGTCTGGACGCGAAGTCGGAAGGCGTGGGTTCGGTTCCCGCAGCGGCGAAAGACTGGTAGGATCTAATTGAGGTATGTGTGAATGATATCTGATAAAAGCGATGCTCTCCCTACCTGACGGTGCTATTGAAGCCTCATGTAATAACGAAACTGCCACGGTATACATCGTAATCGGAGCGGGCGCGGCGATGCATTCCCCGTACGCCACCTGTCGGCCGCACCTGGGTTCGAATCCTGTACTTCCCTTATGGGACGCTAAGCACCACAGCTTACGTATTCGGAAGTTTACTTTAAGTGGGTTTTCACACGAGAGTTTCAGCCTATTGTGTACTTTTTGGGTGAACAAATAGTGTCATGAATGAATGAAAAAATGAATACGCAGAAATATGTTTGCAGTTATGGATATGATCTAAATATTGTTATTATCGTTCGGAGTGCCTATAAAATATCAAAAATTTAGATTATCCAATTTGATAATAATAATAATTTTAATTTTGATATTGTTCTGTTTTCACTCCTGTGTGCAGTACCCATGAGAACGCCTATGTTATTTGTTATTCTTTCGAAAACACGCAGCTTGCCTCGTGACTATTTCCTTCGCCGCTGAACACGTGATAAGTAAGCGCTTAATATTGTAATTGCCAATTTCTGCAGGGTATACTTATTAAGAAGCAAGCGCCTGAACAATGAGCCATCACGGTTGGCAAACCCATCGCATCGCGAGTGTGTGGTGTATATTTAAGTGATTGATTTTTTTTAAAAAAACATTGCCCTCACTTTAGGATAACATTATCCTGTGTTGTAAGGACGTTTTCCAAACATAAATCGCACGAGGACAAACACCCAGATGCGAAACAACTAATCTGTGGGTTGCACAAATAGTTGTCCCGTGTGGGAATCGAAAGCGCGACCCCCGACGCGGAAGCCAATACCTTGGCAACTGCGCCACGGAGTCATCGATTTAAAAGAATGATCTCCGCTTACCTAATTTACAGTCTGAGTGCAATAGTAGAAATTACAAATACTTTTAAATTATTATTTCCGTTTACAATAATTCTACTTGCAGGTAGCGTAAAGGTCCCTTCGAAATGCCTTTACAGCCGACTTCAAAAAGAGAGGAGGTTCTGAGTTAGACTGTATTTTATTTTATTTGTTACTTCAGAACTTTCGGCCGAGTGAAGCTATTTTGCTGATTCTTTTTTTTATTTGAAAGCTGGCGCTTCCCGTGTGGTCCCATATTAATTTCATTGGTATTGGATATTGGACTCCGGAGATACGTAGGGAACTCCTGACAATCAATTATAGAACGAATACAGAGTCGGTTTAAAATTTGAAGTCTGTTTTGTTTTTCGTTAATAAAGAAAGTGTACTTCTTGCACTTCCAACTGTTGACAAATTTCGACGTCCTTTAGTAGAGCCTTGGCAACACTGCTTAAATAAAGACTAGGTAATCTCTAAAGTTCCCATTAGGATATAGACATGTAAAATTTTTAACGACACGCGACCGAATTATTACTTGCGTTCACACGAACACTGGTGGTGTCGAACAAATGTTTAAATTAAAGTATGTTGCGGATTTTACCGTGTCGTTTTGTTTCCATATTCCCGAAGTATCTAATGTTTTATGCGACGTTCGTTACGAGTTGTTATACGTTTCTATATCACTAATGTCTGTACGATTTTAACACATATATGACAAACATAGACCTCGAAATGGAGCGCAATCTGCCGAAAGTTCTAGTGTAAAATCAGGAGAAAAACGAACTATTTAACATTGTAGGCTTTACATTATATGACATATGTAAGTAAACGTGACAGATATAATTATAGCGTATGATACGGAAGAAATAGCAATTTCATTACACCAATTGGTGTAATTTGAGTGCCTCAGTTTCAGTGCGCTAGTGTCATATATATATATATATATATTCGTATTTGCATAATATATAATATCATTGGCTGTGAGTGTTAAGAAAAGCAACGTGTAGTTCTCAACGTAATATATATCTTATAATTTTTAGTTATTTCACAGGTATACTTATGTTGTTACCGTTATGTTAATTGTGTGTTCAATTTCTTACTTATTTATGTGCAACTTATTTGCGAAAACCTATAATTAACCTTATATATTATAAGTGTACTAGCGACCCGCCCCGGCTTCGCGCGGTTGCAATGTATTTATACATATAATCCTTCCTCTTGAATCAGTCTATCTAGTAAAAAAAACCGCACCAAGATCCGTTGCGTAGTTTTAAAGATCTAAGCATACATAGGGACAGACGGACAGCGGGACGAATTTTTTTTATCCGGATCTGATGATGGCATCCCAGAGAAATCGAAGGCAATCCTCAAATGTTATAGGTATTAACAATGTTTTTGTTTTTTTAGTTTCCGGTTTGAAGGCGGTTTTTTTTTTGTTAAAAATTATAATTTATTATTTGTTGTTATAGCGGCAAAAGAAATACATCAACGTATCACATCAGATAAGATCATACAATAGAAATAAATTTCAACTGTCTAATTATCACGGTTCATGAGATACAGCCTGATGACAGACAGACAGCGGAGTTTTAGTAATAGGGTCCCGTTTTACTCTTTGGGTACGGAACCCTAAAAACAACACACGAAGTCTAACACCGTCTGTACAGAGGTGGTCAATGCCCATCAGAGAATAGTCTGCAAATTCAAATATCCGTCTTCAATATAGAAGTACCCGGTAAGTACACTTACACCCGGTTTCTAAAACACTGATCATTGCAGATGTCAATTAATCAGCTGTCAAATGGCTTTACAAATATCATTTGAGTTGCCAAAAGGATGGAACTCTTTGAATTAATCATTCCGATCATTAAGATCATTCTTATCATTACATTGTTATAGATATTTGAAAAGCCATTTGACAGCTGATTAGTTAACATCTAGGATGATCAGTGTTTCAGAAACCGGTCGTTACTTATTGATTGTCAAAAAAAACCACTACTACAGGTTTGGAAATCAAACCACAGACCTGAGAAAAACCGGCGAAAGAAACTCAGCGGGACGAATTATTTTTAAACAAAATACTAGGCGTTAGTACAATGTAGGTAAGTAAACTGTTAATAAACTTCAATAAAGAATAAAATTTCAACTGTGAACTCGACACGAACTGCATTTAATGGAGTCAAATGCCAAACGGTCTTATATTAATGATACTATAATAATGGTGCTGATAAATGCGTCAGTCTGTTTGTTGCCTCCGTATCGAAGATAATGACAAGGTCATACTGTGCAAAGAGCACGGTACAGTATATGCGGATCAGTTGGAAATTACTGTGCTTGGTCACGTCGCGACCGCTTGACGAGTTTTAATGAAATTCAAATGAAATAGGCTTTTCGTCGACCCAATTGGCGCAGTGGATAGCCATCCCGTCTCCCGCGCCAGAGGGTGTGTGTTGGGGCTAACTCCTAACACCGGTTATGATGATGTAAACGATAATAGAATTTATTAGAACACTTGATTACAAAATTTATATAGTTAAAATGATACACTCTGATAATGTGATATTTATGATATGATAATTAGGTATGATATTCTGAGAACGCGTGGTTTTCTTGATGGCCGAACGTGAACTGATTGCTTGTCGCGGTATATTTTAATGCTTACTATGTATTGATGGACTTTAGGTAAAAAGTGCAAACAAGGCTGTTTGGTTCGATAGTGAACCGAACAGTGTGGGTTCGATACATAATGTTCATCTAGTATCTGGGTAGTTAAGTCTATAACATGTATTTGTTTACAAATGAAAAGTAGGTACGTTTAATCGTCCTCCATATTACAAGCTTTGCTTAGTTTGGTACTAGATAACGTTGTGTAAAATATGTCTCGAAATATTTATATTAAGTTGAATATAGTCTAAATTTTCAATGACGAAACTTAGACATTTCATTGCGAGTAGTTTTCATCGTCGCTCCAATTGACTGGTGGATTTTGAAACGGTCTCTTTCAATAGAGGGTGTGGATTCGATCCACGCAATTGGACAATACTGTATGGTGCATTTAGTTTAGTTCCAGTGTCTGTGTCAATATAACTACAATGTGAATTTATTTACCAAAGGAAAGTATACTTAAATATTACTACGTACTTAACTAAACGGCTGATTGGCACACATTAGTTAAAGCGTCTGGGCCCGAATCGCATAAGCGAAAGCGCGTAAGCGGCGAAAAACTTTTCGTACTTTTCTCGTAATTTTTAATTTTAATCCATAATAATGTTATAAATGCGAAAGTAACTCTGTCTGGCTGTCTCGATTTCACGCCAAGACGACTGAACCGATCTAAATGAAATTTGGTACACAGATCGCTATCTTTCTCACTAGAAAGGACAGAAAAGACATATTTTAATTTGCAAAAAGTGTTGTGAAGGGTTGAAAATTCTTTCTTTAAAAAAAAATATAGGTACATATTTTTAAAGAAAGATATTTATTTAAGGGCTTCGACGCGAGCGAAAAGCTAGCTATTAATATGTGTGAAACCCTGCACTATACAGAAGCGGGCAGAGTCGCGGGGAGCAACTAGTAATAGAGAACGGACACAAATCGTGCCGAGAGTGGGGCGTCTCGCTGCGGAGGGCCCGTGGCGAAAAAAAGGCGAAGCCGGAGAACAAACCCCGCCCCCCGGCCCCCTCGGCCCGCAACCCCCTACCCCCGCGACGCCGGCGGGGCATTGAACCCGCGGCGCCCGTCTACCTGCGCCGGCGCACTGCCCTTTTCTCCACGGAGACCCGAATGGCCCGCAGACCGTAATGTACCATGGGACGAGTAGACATCGTCCGATTGACCATGTTCAACTAAATAGACTTTATTTTATGTGGAAAGTTGACAAGTGAGCACCTGATGTTAAGTGAATACCGCCGCCCATGGACATCACTACACCCGAGGGTTGCATATGCGTCGACAACCTTTTGAAAATTCGGCTCCGGCTACCCCACTCGCCAGACGAAACGCGAAAGTATTTGTCATACTTCCACTTCACGCCGGTCTTCTGTGAGGTCGTGGTACTTACCCGGACGAGCCTGCCCATTCGTGCAATAGCCGAGGCTGCTGCGCGGCCCTACCACAGATGCTTGCGACTTTCGCTAACGAGGATGGCAGGCCGGTGGTGATTTTGGAGTTGGTTGTTGTCCTTGGTTGACTTGAAGGCCTTAATTTAGTAATTAACTAGCGACCCGCCCTGGCTGCGGGTGCAATGTGTTATAAATATAAACAATCCTCTTGAATCACTCTATCTAGTAAAAAAAAACTGATCAAGATCTGTTGCGCAGTTTTAAAGATCTAAGCATTCATAGTTACAGACAGACAGTGGGTAGACTTTGTTTTATAGTATGTAGTAATTCCTGAATTTCATCAAAAATTGTATGTAATATAGGTCAGGATATTGTTACAGTCCTTTTTGGTACACTTTTATTAATGTACCCCGTCTAGATTTCATTGTTTAAAAGTGTAGGTATCTACTTGAATTAAAGTATCTTTAACAGGCTTAAGAAACAATAATTAAATTCTTAAGCCTGTTAAAGATACTTTAATTCAAGTAGTACAAATAATATTTGATTTAATTGCTCATGTCTGTATAGGACACTGGTTCAATTTTAAATCCTGTTCATTTTGGGGACTTCACCACAATTTCAGTTTTCTATATACATATGTACATACTTTGTTACTACCATTACAAACTGTCATACAGAAGTTGATCTTCTTACTTTTTATTATTTCAAAAACCATTGCCTCAGTGTTGTATACTAAGTAATTTTAGGTGCATTAATGCGGGAATAATTATTTACAAGCCATATGTTCCTCTTGCAGGAATTGTATGCATGACCACTAAATCCTATAACCTAGCAATCTAATCAATTATGCCAGGTATACCTTGAGTATACAGCGTGTCGTTACCATCGCGACAATAAATGAACATACGTCTAACGCTACTTGCCAATAATCATAAAAAAATATTTACGTTAAACAAAATCTATAATTAAAAAAAAGTATTTTTCAAACAAACTAATTAAGTAAAAAAGAAACAACATTTGTAACATGCTATACAACTCGCGCCACAGCGTCGCATTACAAGCCTCTCCTTCTAACAGTATGTTTTGTCTCTTTTAAATTCATTCAACCCATCTATATGCTTTGTGACCTTTACAAATGAACTTTACGTTATAGTTTTATACGTAAGGGTGTTCTAAAATTGTTTGTTTTGGAAAATTTAATAACTCGGTAAATATTGATGTTTAAAGAGTGTAAATGTTTAATACAATTTAAAAAAGTTATCCTCTATATGTGTGTTCATTTATTGTCGCGGTGGTAACGACACGCTGTATACATGATATTGGTCCAGAAATATTCTATTTGTCTCTTCAATTAACCTGATAATAAAATTCATACAAACTTAATTTCTATCTATACTTGTTGTATTATATGACATTTTAATCATTCAGCCCACAAATAGCTGTAATATGAATTGATTTTTCATGAATTCTGTCAAACTGTAAATATTGTTGGCAGGGTGATTATAAAGTGTAAAAAAAAACTAAGCCTAAACTCAAGACTGTATATATAGCCCACTGCTGGGATTGCCAAGAACAGATTGAACAAAATTATTACTACAGAGAAAGCCATTGGCCCTCCTCTGTACTGTACACCCTCAGAGGGTGTGAGTTATAGTCCACCATGCAATTCCATTACGAGAAAAAAAACTTGTTATGTCTATTTAACATTACATTAAGAAAACTTATATGATATTTTGTTTCACATCTTAAATATGCAGATTCAATGGGACGTACGTATACATAATTATATTTCACAAACAAATCCTGAACAGTTTCATATACTAAACATTATATGACAAGGAATGAAGTAAGAGATGGCAGCCAAGTCACAAAGCACAATTGGCCAATAGCATTTCTCGTATCAACAATCTGTACATTGCTGAGTCAGTTCCTTCCCTGTAGTGTTTTATGACTCAGTGTATGTAGACAGCCATGTTTGTATGACAATTCAAAGAACTCTGTCATGATACAGATCTTTTAATGGATACAGGTAGATTCCTATGTAAATATCCAAGGTAACTTAACATAAAAACTTTTCAGTGTGTTTAAGAACAGAATGGAATAACTTTCTTTTAAAATGTGATATTTTATCATTTATGGTGTGTAAATTACATATTCAATGTTAATAGTATATTGCTGTATATAATTTTACTTACAATGCATTGTGAAATAGGCAGGAAAATTACATTTTTTAATGTTTACTCCCATTTGCCATGGAGGTAGTCTTTAAAATGAAGCTTTGAAATACTGTCCATAAAACTTTTGTACCTTACCACTTATTACATTAGTTCTGTAGTTGAAACATGTTACAAACTCAGCAATGAACTGTGGCATATTCACTGGTTTCCAAAGAAAATGGAACTAATTATATTATTGTCTTGTTGTGTACAAGAGCTATATTTTTAAACCACTCTCATTAAGGTGTTTAGAACTGTTATATACAATTTAAATGATCTTTAATTAGCCATTTTAATGGTTTATTGCAACATTTATAATAAATTATGCCTGACAAAATATAGTTTTAATGTGAAAACATCATTTTGTTTAAAAGTAGTTAGGTATTAGGGTGGACAGTATAGACAAAAAACAAAAAGTAAGTGAAAATGTATTTCCTTGTTCGCCAGAAGCAGCTATTACATAAAATATAATAGGTACTTTGACATAATAATAGACCAACATTTTTGAATTTGTAATTCTGATGCATTCCAGAAAGTCACTCTAATTAAATTAAATAATCATATAAATAACTTCACTAGGAATCAATAAGTGATCTGTACTAAATATATAATAATAATTTTGTTGACAAAATGTACTAAATATGATAATTAACCAATCACTATATATTACATAATCAGTGGAGGAGAAACTCATCAAGAGATTCAGAATTATGGAGAAATTTGTATGATTGGAGTTGATAATATTAACTCAAGCTCTTCAGGAGTTGACAACTGTGAACAGACTTATTTGTTGACATTGCTATTTGTTTTAAGTGCTTTTGATACCTCACCAGGTTTGGTGGAAAAAATTGGATTGAACATGTTAATGTATACAAAATAAGTCCCAGGAAATTGATACATTGATTGTTTATTCAAGACTGCAGTGCATTAAAGATATCGTTTTTAAACACCACATGGGTAGTTTTCAATATAGCGACCAGTTGATTGTTCCAAACGCATTTACCCGCAACTTATCGCGAAACCTAACCGGACCCGACGCCTACGTCACCGCGGAGTCCGCTCGGACGCCACAATTCTCTATTTATAAACAACACGTTTATAAATACCAGATACCAGCGCGTTAGCACTTCGCTCGGCGTCCGTAAGGTAGGTATTAGGCTGTCCGATATGAGGTCTCACGTCGCGCGTGGAGACCTCAGGCGCAGGTCTCCGTGCCGCGAAGGGCGAGCCAGCACGTCCCTATCGCGCGTACGTTGCATAGGTGGCACGTCGAGAGCGTACAATGCAGCAACACGACATGTGCGATAACGCGTGTTTACGTCCCCTCACCTGTAGTTCTGCTCGTAGTCCCAGTACTCCTTGTAGCGCGGGTGCCAGCGCGGGCCGCCGCGCGGAAAAGGCCTCCTAGAGCCCCCCTGACTCATGCTGGATGCGCCATACCGACACTTATCGATCCGAATAACCACTGCGCCAGTTAGACGCAAAACAGATGCACGGGCACAAGCAAAAGCACTGAAGCACTCCACTCGATCACAATTCCACGGCGGCTAACAGTAAAACTCGACGTTTCTGGCCCGCAGGGCCTCACTTAAAATGTTTTGAAGGCGACTGCCACGGCGTGAAGTTGGCGCGGACGAACACTGCGGTGCGCGCCCCCTGGCGTCGTGTCGCGGCGTTCCTTTCGAAAACGACCGCCAAATGGCTTGAATTATTAATTACGACTATTTAATTGTTAACTAATTGCACTAGAACTTGACCCGCTTCTTAAAAGACGAATTGTGATTTTTATAATTGAATTACTAGATGTGTGATCGAAAAAATGGAGCATAGGGGATTAGGTGCTGAAAGTATTGATTTTATGTTTGGAACGCTGTTTAAGCGATTTTTAATGCTAATCTGTTGGGAATTTACAAAAAGAAACGCAAGAATCGAGAGGCGTCACCGCGCACTCGAAATTGTTCGTCACATAATTAATGCGAATCATGAGATAATTTCGCTTTCGACGTTACGCACTAGCGAACTGCCCCGTTTCAACACTAACACCAAACATGGAACTATCAATCTTCTAACACGACACAAAACTTAATATAAATGGTAAAATCTAACGAAAATGGTGAAACAAATCGAATAAACGAGATATAACACTGCGCCCAGTCCGGACTACACAATACGTAAGCTTAATAAAAAAAACTTTACACAACTAGTCAGATTGCATCTTCCAACCGAGCAAAGCGCTTAAAAGTAGACATCATTGCGCCCAGTAATATAAAACGTCTAAAACCAAGAGCGCTGCAGCGCTGCGTAAACATATCGCCCCGCCCATTGTTATTATAATGCAGCCAACATAACGCATGTGTAACGGTGCGAAGTTAGCCGACTACCTCACGTCATCCTCTACCCGTCCCTCTCTACTCAGTGCGGAAGACGAGAACAAAGGTACTCTAGTACTATCGGTATTTGGGGTTTGTTATTTTATCTTTTGACATGGCGTGGGGCCTATGGTTTTTATTGCGACCGAAACTCGATGACACAACAACTGCGGCTTTCACTTAAACTGAGAGCTGGTTTCGCAGCATCTCCGTTCGCCAGAGACTCCGTTAAACTGATAAACGCGAAGTCATTAGCTAGCAACGCATTTAGAACGCGATCATGCGGCACTTTATAGTATACAGTATACTTGATAAAGATCATACAAAGTTACACATGTCGCTAGAATGTTTGAACGTCCATTAGATATTTGATCACATGTTATTTACTACACGCCTATAAAGTTAGGTTTCTCAGTTCTCTATTCGTTTATATTTATAGGCATTTAACGGCTATGATAGTATAATTAATGACAGCAGTTATACAATGATACGGCTACGGAATTATCTGGTCACGTAAGCTGAAGCAATAGTGAGAGGTTGTTTCTAACAAAATGAATTATCAAAACCTCTTAACAGTTGCACCATTAGAGAAAATGTTTGTTATATGTCACGTATCATCGAATTTATAGCATGAAATATGTAATGCATATGGAAAGATATAGATTAAGTATTCGTCGATGAAATGTACTAACGGTGTGTGAGACTGAATTTCTTTTCAATTTAGCTAATGTTGATGGTTACTAATATAAAGCACACAATGAGATTGGAATGAAATAATCTTTCTTATTTTATTAGAGAACATATTATACGATGCAATTCACTGGTCAAAGCTGAAGGACATCGCAGTTTCGCAAACTACAAGGGTTGCCCCCGTTTACCTGAAAAATAAAAAAAAACGAACACGACTCAACCGATGGAACACAAAAGTGATACTTCTTGCCCGAGCAAACTAATTTTACCCTAGCCAACAAAGCTCCATGGCTCTATCATTACAATAAAAATAACTTTTTAGGACACATTTTTTCACACAACGTTCCCTAGTCCCAAACTAAGCAACAAAATGTACTATGGGTACTAGAAAACTAATAAACATACTTAAACATACTTTTCTTTTATAAATAAATACATATTATTCATATATAAACACCCAGACCGTCACACAATATTTTTCCAGTAGTGGGGATCGAACCCATACCCTCTGGCGCAAGAGGCAGGGTCGTCAAATACTTCTGCGTTGTCCAGTGAGTGAGGTAGCCGGGGCCCACTTTATTAAAAGGTGGCAACGCCTCTACAGCTGTACGGATGTTTAAAATGTCCCCGTGCGCCGGTTATCACTTAACATCAGGTGAACCGCGTACTCGATTGCCAGCTTCTCGCATAAAAAAAGTATTTCCAACTCCACCGAGCACTGCCTTATTGAAATTTTTCGGATCCCACGGCAAAACTTAATTTGGAACAACCCCCGTAGTCTACCTTGACTCACTGAAAGACTATGTCCAGCGCACTCTGACTTCCGCAGCCTCTCCTACGATGTACTTCGGAATCTTACCCTTGTATAGGTCTGAAGAACCGATAACCCATGAGGCACGAAGGTTCTCGAGTGGCAGCCTCGCACTGGCCATCGCACTGTAGGACGAGCCGTCACTAGATGGAGTGACGACCTGTACAAATGTGCTTCGTGGCAATCTGTGGGGGAGCCCTATGTTCAGCATTGTACTGAAATGATGATGATGACATGTCAGAAGAAAGTAACTTGCTTCTCATGGCTGCCAACACCAAATTTTTGCGGTTGGAAAATTTCTAGTATACCTATGTTTGATTTGAGAACCTGACTGTGATATATTCTTAGGTTTTGAACGTGCAAGCTCAGAAAGGATCTATTCGTTCTTGCTATGAAGACATACCTAGATGAAGATATAATAAATAAATAAATATTTCAGACACACACAACGTTCTCTAATCCCAAACTAAACAACGCTTGTACTATACGTTCTACTGACAAAATCAGAGAGTCAAATTAGGTCCCAGAAGGACGGTCCTGTTGCTTGGAAAGTTCAACTGCTCGGAAATAGAGTGTGGAGTCGAACATGTGGGGATAAGGTAATGCCTGCATGATGCAGTGAGCTGATGGTCTTAGATGTAGATGAAAAGAACACTTTACATATCTTGTTTTAGGCCTTTTGTGGATCGACAAAATAGAAGATTGTAGAAGACCTAAGTTAAACCTACAGGATACCACCTACATCATTAAGTTTTTTCCCAAGACTCTGGTGGTGAGCGCGGCAAATTACCAGCACGACACTAACGCGAACGTCAACAAGGGTTCAATGTCCTCATCGACCCGGTCGAGGAAGGGCACTTAAGTACGTCGGGGGCCCACCAAATGTGTAATACTATTAGTGCATCAACATCTATCGTCCTTCGAACACGGCGAAACCAACACAACGCGTACACTAGGTACAGTCGCATTCCAGGGCGGTTTTTACCGCCCCCGGCCACCGACTAACCAAGCACAGTCCAACGGCCATCGGGGTTACGGCCGCACCTAACCTCGGTGGCCCGTAGATGCCATAATCAACGCACGCATGAGTACATGCGCGGCCCTACTAACTGAGGAGTGCTAGCCCACCGGTTCTGCGTTCGATGAAGCTTTAAAAGTCGAAGGACTGAAGCATACCATTAGTTAAACAAAATAAATAAATACAAAATTAAGTTTTTTGTCTAGCGAAGTCAATGACCATGACCTTAAATTTTGTATTTTATTTTTCTTCTCATTCTTTTAACATGCAACTCCACTGAGTCATCCCCAAAACTCTAATAATACTTACCCCTCAAAAGTTAAATTTTAGATTCGCCATTGGAGACAATTAATCGCTAATTATTAAAAAAATAAAGGAACAGCCTGTATAGGTGCCACTGCTTTGCAAAGACCTCTGTACAGAGGGTTTTAGGGCATAGTCCACCGAGCGACACCGCTCCGGATTGTCAGACTTCACATATTTTCTAAAGATATTTGAAGAATCACGGCTAGTAATATAAACTTGTGTTTATTTAATTTTGTAGCACAGCATACGGTTCGGCCGTACACGCAGATAAAATAAAAATCTCGGCTTTACATTTGAATGCTAATCAAACGACGCCAAGAGAGCTCATTAGCTTTGCAAATGGCCGCGCCGCGTCGACGCTGCCGCATAATGAACTCGCTAATACATTCCCTTCGACTTTTGCACACCTCACGACTTATAAATAAATGTATGCGGCGTAAACCATTACGAAAAACAGCAACCGTTTTTGATTGAACATTTTTTTTTTAATGCAAGCTCTAACGTCTTTTCCACCTATGCTTCACTGGTCCTAAGATCTGAAGATAGGTGACAAGCCTAGTCGCCATTGACTGTACAGGCTTGTCATGGCACAGCTGGCACAAATGTCAGAGACGTAAGCTTTTATTTTTCTTAGTAAATATTTTTAATCTCTTCATTTCCTTAGCTAATAAAATAAGAAAATAGGCACGATACGTAACCGACTACGTATATATTTGGATTCCACATGCTTAACTGCTTACTGATTCACCTTTAAACGATGATATACTTTAGCATCTAAAATGTTAAAATTTAGATGATATAAAATATCACTTAACCTTTAAAGATACTTTTTGAGCCGAATAGAGTTAAAATATTTTTATCCATCTGTCGGAGGATTTTTAGTTTTATGTAATCTTGTTTATTTTAGTAACGTGTTTCCCGTGTACAACCAAGTCCACAAGTTGGAGCCAAATTAAACTTTAAAAATTATCCGCAGGAGGAATCTGTGAGCAACCAGTGAAATAGTGACACCATATACATATAACTTTAAAAAGTCCCGATAATCTAATGCTTACCATAAAAATAATTTTTACTTTTTTAAATTACCTTTTATTTGTGATTTACTTCCTCAAGGTCGGTCTAGTCTGTGATGATCAACACACACGATCTAGAAACATCGTTTATCGTTTTAATGTGGTTATAAATGTAAATCTTTTGCAAATGACAAAATTTGTGCGTAGATACAATACTAGAACTCAAAAAAAATCAAATCGCTGATGGAAGCTATCAAAGTATAGATAGATGAGTAGAATGGGAGGAATAGCTACAAAACACAAACCTTTATTCTCCTATTTTTAATTTATTTTTTTAAATAATAGCTTATTTAATGGAAGCAGTAATACAAATCCGCTCCAACAGATGGCGTTAATATATACGTGTCTTGAATACATTTTATTATCTATTTTAAATTCATTAAAAATTACTGCAAAAAATACTCAACATAAAGTCCCGACTTATCATGAACGACTCCTACTTCTTACTCGAAATAAATATGAGATTTTGCTTCAAAATAGGCGTATTCATTAAATAGTCTCAGCAAAAGACGAAACGTTATACTTCTACTATAACCTCCACTTCACGCCCGTCTTATGTGAGGTCGTGGTACTTAACCGGACGGATAAGCCCATCCGTGCAACAGAGAAGAGTGTGGCATGGCCCGACCACAGTTAACAAATGAAAGTAAATTCTTATGAACCTCACCGACTTTGCTTAGTTTTCTACAACCAAAGAACATAAGTAGGGGGAAAAGTCAAACAGGTGTTTTAGAAATAATTTGAGAACTTTATTGTCTAGATCTGGTAGTCGCTGGGGTCGTAGAGCTCTGACAGCAGCCGATAGATGTAGGACGGAGAGCTGCCACCGCTGTGGACATGACAAAAGCATGCTTGTGTTTACTTAAACAGCCATGTTTACTATTATTACGAGCAGGTAGAATCTGTTTGTATGTAGTGGTTGATCTATTTATTTATGAAAATTAGCTTGCAAGTAAACAATTTCACTTATGTTTAGTGATTCACCCATGGACATAAACACCTAAGGGGTTATATCTGCATTGTTAACCTTTAAAAAACAGTACCCTGTCACCGTTTAGAGCCGTGATAGCTCAGTGTCCGGGCGCTCGCCTTTAATTATACGCCTTTAAATATACTCGAGCAACCTGAGTTCGATCCCCGGTGCCGGCACCAATGAAGTTTTTAACTTTAAGTGCTGAATTATCACGTGCTCCGCGGTGAAGGAAAACATCGTGAGGAAAACTGCATATTTTCGAAATAATAACAAAAAAATATATATTTCGAAAATATGTGAAGTCCGCCAATCCACAGTGGGGCCGCGTGGTGGACTATGCCCTGATACCCTCTGTATAGAGGAGGCCTTTGCCCAGCAGTGGGACATGTATTGGCTGTTACTTTACTTTACCCAGTTACCACACTCATCTTCTATGCTTGTATCTTGTAAGTAAATTAGTAAAATTAAATTGATAAAATAACATATTCAAATTGAATGTTGTAATCAGTTGTTATTGTATTTTGTAACCATGCCAAATAAATAAATGACGAAACACAAAAATATAATACTTCCATAATATGCCTAGTGCTTTCCCGAACGAGCCTGCGTATTAATGCTAGTAGTAGTTAGTCTCTGAAACAACTGAATCAAATCTGAAAATTGTTTCAATCGCACTATATGAGATGTCTCTTAGTAATGTTGGGTATATTTTATTCTTGTATTTCATTGATTTGATTGAGTGTCCTCTATCCATACAACATAACTACATAGTTCTTTAGTGTTCACCTCACGTAAAATCAAATTCCAGTGTAAGAGCCTAAAAGCTACACTACCTCATAAAATCTTTATGTATGTAATTCTTCTGTATGTGTGTATATCACTGAACTCCTCCTAAACGGCTGCACCAATTTTAATGAAATTTTTTGTGTGTCTTCGGGGTCGATTTGAGAATACTTTAGATTCACAATTCGGTTTTTTTTTATTATAAGTTGTTGTCGGATTTAAGTCGCGTGGACAAGACAACGTTTGGTGGGTCCGCTAGTATATTTATAACATTAAAAAGACGGTGAGAGATGATAAACAGTGTTCCCACTCACAGGTTGGTGATGAACAGGGTGATGTGGCTGGGCGGCAGGAAGTCGTGGGAGGGCGCAGCCACGTGGCCCAAAGCCCCACCGCTGCTTCTGTGTGGGTCAACAGTGACATATTAAATTTTGTGTTCATGTCACCATATTACACTGAAAGTGCTATAGTTCTTGCTGGTGTCAATTGACCACATACAGAGCTATATAAAAGTCACTGCCAACTTTTGAATAGTTGTGATTTTATGTTGTGAAATTCTATTACGATTTTTGTAGCAACAGTGGCATAGAGAGGTTTATTTATTAATTTCCTAATGGTTTAACAAGAGCCGTGATAGCTCAGTATCCAAGTGCTCGCTTAAAATTCAATATACTCGAAACTTTTTTTTCTAAATCATTGCCCTTACTGTATGACAACATTGCCCTGTTTCGTTGCAACGCATCTGCAACCCTCCAACGGGCCCCCGACTTTACGGTGGTAGGGCCACGCAGCAACCTCGGCTGTTGCACGATTGGGCAAGTGCCACGACCTCACAGAAAACCGGCGTAAAGTGGGAGTATAATACTTTCACGTTCCGTCTGGTGAGTGAGGTGGCCGGAGCCCAATTTTCAAAAGGTGGCAACGCATCTGCAACCCTCGGGTGTGGCAGATGTGTGTGGGCGGCGGTATTCACTTAACATCAGTTGAATCGCCTGCTCGCTTGGCAGCTTATCACATAAAAAAAGTGTGCCAGTGGGGCGTGGTCACCGACTGGTAGGAGGGCGGCGGGGCGAGCGCGTGTCTCCTATGGTCCCTCTGTTCGCAGGCGTGCCGTGGGCTCAGCGTGTGGAGCGGCGCCAGCGCCAGCACCTGGAACAGCACGCGTAGCGAAAGTCAACAGTGTTTCCGGAAGAAACCACCGTTCGGGCTGTTAAGGTGTATTTTGGCTTGAACGGAGCAAATAAAAATACGTCTCGTTTGTGTAATATTCTATTAGCAACTAACTTTGCAACTGATTGACACGTATTTTGCTGGAATCTACGCGCTTAGCTATATGTATATAAAACGTTTGGACAATCACTTTAAGTAATAAGGCCGTCTATTCTACTAGCCATCTGTAATTTTTTTTTAATAAAACTTCTAAGCGCTACTAACGCGTAACTGAATAAAATGTAATGAATGCTGAATAATGCGTAATGAAATAAAATAAAAAAAAATGTTAATTAATTATTTACTTAAATATTTTTATTAGAATTTTTAGTTTTACTTGAACCACATGTCATTTCACAGATTATTCCATCATTTTCCATGATGTGTGCAAAGAATATTGATTCATGCGCTAACGAAAGTAATTTAAACGGGGAACCGTCTCACCGGCACGCTGTAGTGATGCGCGGCGACCGTCACAGCGTGCGAGCCCGCTCGAGCCAGCGCTGTCCCACCGGCCAGTACGGCGCGCACGCACAGGATCACCTGCGGACAGCAAACACGGAATTATCGTAAAATGTAACAATTTCTACGTAATAGATTAACTTATTGAAGGCAGCTTAAGGCTATCCAGTTAAAAGGACCACATAACTAAAGTTCTTTGATTACAGCTCTGAAGCAATTCTGCCTAAGAACTATTGGTGGTGGCGTTGAGCCTGTCCAAAATGTTTTAGAAGATTCCATGACATGTTTTGTCGCTGAAGGGAAAATCTTTTACTGAAGATATGTAAAATGAGACGGGTAGAAAAGAGATATAGTGGATACCTACTAAAATTTCTTCATGACCCATTACCCTAATCTAAAGACGCAGATTGTGGGTTCAGTGCTGATACTATAATATAAAAGAGGTACTGCAAGGATGCTTCAAAACACCGGCTTGAGAACAAGTCGGTAGACTGTCTCATTAAATAAAGTGTGAAAATTTATATCAGTTCAAATCAGTTTAAACGTAAAATCAAAAGTCAACTTATGGTTAAAGCATATTATACCATTGCGGAATATCTCGACGACGCCAATGTGTGGAGTTAATTCTGTTGATACTCACGTAGGGTAGAATAAGACTATTATACCGGTATTTTATATTGTAAACTGATATTTTTGAAGAAGAGAAACTGTTGAGTTTCTTGCCGGTCTCTTCTCAACCGAAACTGCTTTCCGAACCGGTGGTACCTTACGAACCTACATATAAAGTTTTTGATGTATAATTTGACGATTCATAAGAACGCGCAAGAGTCTATTTGAATAAAGTTATTTGATTGAAAGAATAATAAACATATGCTTTTATAACGTGAAGTTACTTTACAATTCGAAATTTCGAAAATATCGGCAAATAGAGACGCTTCGAAGCATCTTCAGGTATTTAGGTGTGGAAGTTGATAGAGAAAGGCACGGGGGGAGTACCTTGTTGACCCTGGGCATGAGGGCTGCCACGGCGGCGCTGCTCACCACCGTCACGTCGACGCCCGCAGCGCTCAGCCTGGACGCCATCGCGTGGCTCTGCAGACACCGCGCACATGGGGTTACACATCCACCCATCACCATCGCTCGTAGGGTAGTAATATGATGGAGCGTTTCCTTAAGTTATAACGTGCGGCATTGGATGCTGTCGGAAATTTGGACAGTTTAGTGTTTTCTAGAAACTTTTTCTTTTCAGGTTTTACGCCCCTTTAGTCGTACGTACCCTTCCGTGCCTAGTAACAGCCAATATATATACTACAGCTGGGCAAATGCCTTCTCTGTATTGGTATTAGGCCGTAGTGCGTGCAGCCTACCACTGCATGCAGACTTCACATATCCGCATCGCAAAGTTGTCCTTTATCACTCAAAATCGCCGTCAACCAAATTGAGTCGAGCGCAAGGACAGTACGTGGTTCAGTACGGTGTTATCTGAGTACTTAAAGACATAAGAAACATACATTCCGTCAATGGTAATTGTTTTCTTTTAATCTACCACCGTCAACTAATGAAGAAGAGAGAGAGGCGAAAGAAACTCCCCCTCTAGTGTTTCTTAAAGCCATCGATAGCGTTGGGCGTTGCAAAGCGGGGCAGAGGGCGCGCGGGTGCCCTCTCTGGTACCTGGCGCACGTCGCCGCTCTCGGCCAGCAGCAGCCGGTAGCGGCGGGCGGCGGCGGCGCGCAGGAAGCGCTCCGCCAGGGCGCACGCGCCGAACGTGAGCACCAGCTCGTCCGCGTGCACGTGCTCGCGCGCCTGCTGGCACACCGCCGCCGCGCTCGACTCCAGCTCGCCCAGGAGCTGCGGATGGACGCAAGGAATTCGGTTCCCGTGACGAAGGTTCGATTGGGCAGCAGCTAGACAATGGGTTCGGTTCCGGCGCAGATAGCTCGGTGGGGAAGTCGCTAAGCAATGGGTTCGGTTCCAGCGACGTAGGCTCTCTGGCGGATTTGGCAAGCGATCGATTCGATTCTCGCGACGATAGCTCGATGGGGCAGTCGCTAATCTATGGATTAAGTTCCCGTGACGAAAGCTCGGTGGGGAAGTCGCCTCTCATTCACATGTGCCGTCCCACCTAACTGAGGTAGGGCCACGTAGCGGCCTCAGCTGTTGCACGAATGGGCGGGCTCGTCCGGGTAAGTACCACAACCTCACAGAAGACCGGCGTAAAGTGGAAGTAAGACAAATACTTCCGCGTTTCGTCTGATGAGTGAGGTGGCCGGAGCCCAATTTTCAAAATGTTGTCAACGCATCTGTAACCCTATTATTCACTTAACATCAGGTGAACCGCCTGCTCGCTTGGAAACTTTTCACATTAAAAAAAAGCCTAGGTGGGATGAGGGAACATTACGCAACGTTGCAAGATATCGGTATCGCGGAAGTCTCCAGCGGTGAATATTATGGTGAAGAGCTTGCATTTTATATTTCAACGAACATTTCACGATGTGATTGATACATTTGTTGAAACATTTACTGTGTTTTACGTACTACATACAATTTTGTTGGTAGCTTGAGTTTGACTACGTTAGGGCCTCTATCCCTGCACGAAGAGCAAGCTCGGCTAGGAAACCGGTATGGAGCGCAAGTATTATGCGTTTCTTCTGTTGTGCGAGGTGACCGGGGCTCAATCATTTACACAGGGATTGAGAGCACATCTGCAACCCCATTATTGTTACAAAAGTCCATGTACAAACAAAGTCACTTTATCGCTTCTTAAATAAATTTAAAAAAAAAACTTAAAAAGACCTGCGAGATATCACTTAAGAGCATACTGGGAAAAAGAACTGAACCAGTGGAGGTAAATGCGTTAGTGTTGGGCGTTTAAGACGGCTGGTCACCTCGGCTATGAAGTCCCGCACTGGCTCCCTCAGGTCCCTGGGGGCCGTGGAGGTGGAGCGGCGGTGGGGCGCCGCCAGCACCAGCCTCTGCAGCGACTCGCCCGCGCCCTCCCCGCTCTGGAACACCATCGACAACCATAGAGTCCCGCTTCTTAGTTCTTCGTTGCTTATTATACAATAACAGTTCTAGTATATAATAATGTATATTTCATTTCATTTCAAACATTCAATAATATAGAATATGGTTAACAAAGCTCTCGAATGGTTGGAGCCAGAGCCGGAGCTTTGTTGGCATGGCTTGGCTTGTCCATTTGCAGTTTCTTTTTATTTAGAAATAGTTATTCTTAAATATCTGTCACATACCAATCCTATTGCTAGTGACCATTTGGAAAAAGATTTTGCGTTTCTTAAAGAAGTACATTCTGTAGGGAATATTGAAGTTTAAAAACTAGATTTTGTAATTTCAGACCGTACCAGAACAACATGGAGCAGCTGTAGATTGCTGAATATAATATTAAAGATCATTGTAAATTGCGTTGTCTCCAGCGGTGTTGGTAGTGATTCCCGCACGTAACAATTTCTAGGATCTACATTTAACAGATTCTACCCTATTCTACCGTATCGAACATCAGGACGAAGATATCCAAGAATCATCGAGCCAGGGTTCGTCGGGGCATCTTCCTGTCACCGCCCACTTAGAGCACGCGACAGGGGCACATTTGGGGGTTTCCCCACCTGGTCCGCTGTGGTCCGCTGCTCGTCCCTGATGGCGCGCAGCACCCGGCGCACCATGTTCGCCGCCACCAGCTCCTGGGGCAGCGCGCTCTGCACCCGCTGCCCCACCGCGCGAACCGTGCCGCACAGCTCACTGGACACCACGGGGAACTGCTAAATGTCTCATCACCAATCCATCTGATGGAGATTGTTGTAGGTGATAAACACATTAGACAAGTAAGAGCCTTGTTTGTATCTCTGGGGCCGACTGAAAATCAGGGCTGCATTCCTGCATCATATGTTGAGACGGGTCCTTCTGCCACCTTATCACAACACACATTGTAACATTTTAAGTTCTTAATTTTAATACAATTACTATTCATAACATTTGTCTTTGTTTTTGTAATTTTAATGTTTAAGCTTTGTATCATATATATAATGACGGAATAATGTCAATTATTCATTCAAATGTCTTTAAATGTCTTTGATTCCCTTCTTTTATCATGTTGGCAACTACCAGCAAAACAGATATATCCGTTAACAGCTGGTAAACCATTGACTATCAATACAATTACTGGTGACTGAGGTAGTCCTATTTGAAATAGCAGTTTCCCTTTCATGTGATAGTCAGTGAGCTGGAATTTCACATAGTGATCACTAAGATGCTTAGTAAATGGACAGAAAAGTGGAAATATAATCTTTTAAAAGTGAAAATATAATCTTTTAAAAATACTCTAATGTAATTTATAATCACTCACAGCTTTTAACCAGTCAAGTAAGAATGTGTAAGGCTATATGTTGTTTTGGCAGGGATTGCCGCTATTATGAATGTCTCACAAAATTTCATTGGGATAATAAAGGAGAGTTGTCATTGGCGAACCATGATAGTCATCTTGTTAGTGATATTAGCTAGGTTTATCACCTATAATTAACTACTAAACTTAGTCTATTGTATTGTATTCTATTTTCTACTTTATACTCACAATGCAGTGGGGTTTTGTGAATCTGTTATTATTTGCTCCAAGAGTGACACAGTGGCAGTTGCAATGTTTATGGACCCCTTCATCTTTCTGTAAGGTTAGATGTGATTACATAAAAATAGAATCTGAATAAATAAATATGTGATATTGAATTATTCCAGTAAAAACTCAATGTCGTATCTATATTGTTTCTTCGCATTTCAAGCATCTATTGCTATATCCTTTAAAGCCTACAAACAATTTCAAATGAATTTAAACGAAAAATTAAAAGTAAACTTATGGCTAAAGCCTATTATACTATTGCCGAACATCTTGACGACGCCAATGTGTGGGGTTAATACTGTTGATACTCACGTAGGCTAAAACAAGACTATTGTACCTGTACTATTATATTGTAAACTGATTTTTTTAAAAAGAGCAACTGTTGAGTTTCTTGCCGGTTTCTTCTCAACAGAAACGGCTTTCCGAACCGGTGGTAACTTACGAACGTGCTAATTTCTTGTAAAATTTTGACGTTTCATAAGAACGCGCAAGCGTCTATGTGAATAAAGATGTTTTATTTATTATTATCATTAAATATTGTTTTACAATTATAATTCGAACGGAGATGTCGACATTACTATATGAAATTTAAAAATGAAACTGCAAAGATGAAACATTAAAATTTGTATTTTTCTAGCATAACGACGTAATAGTCTTCGCTGTTGCATGAATGATCAGATCCGTCCAGGTTAATACCACAACCTCACAGAAAATAGGTGTGAGGTGGAAGTGTTATACTTCTGTGTTTCCTCTGGTAAGTGACGTAGACAGGGCCCACTTTATTAAAAGATGACAACGCATCTGCAACACTAAGGATGTTACAAATGTCCAGGTTATCACTTAACATCAGGTGAACCACCTTGTCACCTTCTTTTGTGTTCATGACACAAAGAACAATGCCCACTTCCCATACATTTAAAAACCTGATAATGAAAGTGTATGTATAGTTACAAGGTATAGCAGAAAGACTACCTTTAAGTTAGTAAATTAATATCATATAGTCATTTTTACGATTGCTGGTCTACGAAGTCCAAAAATTATTAAAAAATGTTACTTTTTAGGTTAGGATTTGCAGTTACCTAATATAACGAAATAAATGTGCTAGAACTATTTACGCTCAAGTTTATTCTAAAATAATAATATTAGCCTATCTAAGGTCTAAAACGTCTTTTTTACTTTTGAATTCCTAGAAACCGACTGCCCTTACGTCACTGCTTAGACTCGATTATTGTCACTATAAATTGAGTGAAGAGCATTATCCGCTATTTCAGCAGCTCACATAAGTACTTACTTAAAAAACGTAAGTTTAAAGTGATCATTTATCTGCCCTACTTTATTGGCCTGCACTACAATAAATAATAATCGATAATTATAATACCTGATGAATAAAACGAGGGAAAAAATAAAACACTATGTTACAGTGGAATGCTTTATTGATTATCATCATCTTCACTTAAATGTCTTATAACTATGGTATCCAGAAATTCTGCTATAACAGAGATATTTTCTTGATAGTTCATCCAAAGTACAACACTAGTCATAACATGAGTGCAACATCCTATGGTTCGATTAACTAAACAATTACAACAGTATTCGACTATACTAGCTCTGCCAGACACATTATTTTCTATTAAAATGTAGACATAATATAAACAATATTATATTATATATTAAACATAATATAAACAATATTATCATTTCTTTAAATGTGCCAGGACTCAATTTTTCCTCTTATTAGTGTTATGTCACCACTTCCACTCAGATTATTCCTAGAAAACTCCCGTATCCCTACATATTTCTATTCTATATGATCCATGAAAGCGAATATGTTCGCCACAATAGGATTTGGCTTGCCTTATTTGGTACCTAACGCAAATAGTATAAGTTCACTAATAACTTAATCTCAGAAACATAAAAAATAAATTACCTTCAGTAGTATTCAGCAACATGCCTAATATGTGTGGCAGCACTCTTACAACTCATCCAGCATATTCTATCAGATGATGATATCTACAAAAGAAGTAATAAAGCAATAATTATTATTCATCTTAAAAATATATTTAAAAAAATCGATTATTTATTATTTGTGGTTAAAATTATTAAAGCATCAGTCAATTAACAACAGATATAATAATTTACATCTAAAATACAAAAGAGAAATAATCTAGAGTAATAGTATCAAGTTTTATACTGGCAAATGATTAACAATGTAGAAACATGAATATGTGATGTTGTGAACTTGTTTGTATAATAGCATTTATCTGTCTTTGCTTTTCTGAAGGATTATCAAAATCTGTTCTTTGGCCTGGTTGAGATAATCCTGAAGCTTGAGCAACATCACAGCTTGTTAATTCCTGGTTTATTATTCTCATAAAGAGTTCATTACAAGATTTACAAATGTAATCTTCCTCAGTAATCTGAAATAAAAAAACATACATTGAGTTTATAATACATATTTTGGATATATAGATCTTTTAAACATTTGTTTGTGTTATGTCACAGGTATAATTTATAGGAGCTTTGTTAGTTTGATTAGGATATGATTGACATTTTTAGACTGAAAATAATAAACATAAATACTCACAATTACTGGCGAATACCGATGAGTATGAGTCACTCACAGAACTGTCAAATGTCAAAAAAATCCATTTACGTCAGCCGTGCGAACTTTATTACATGCTGGATTAATAATTTATTATTTTATTTTTAATAAATCTGTACTACTAATAAGATTGATCTTAATTTTTATACGAATACTGTCAATTACGTGCTTACACACTTCTCTAAAACGTAAAATCACGTACAAAACGCAGAAAAAGTTGAATATAGTCAAATATGTAGTGTTAGAAATGGAACGTCCTATGCAAAGGATTGTTAAGGTGCGTTCAAAACATGGTAATATGTTTACCCTTGAAGTAAAATAAGCGTAAAGAAATATCAAAAAATATTTTTTCTTTTTTCATTGTGATTAGTGTAATTACTATAAAATGAAATTAGCTAAATTTTAATATTTATTTCACCTCTATACACAATCAGGTCAAAAATGGGCAGTTCTTTTCTGAAGTGACACTTCTTTACATGCACGGGAAACATTTCAAGGCCACGTCATCAACAATCGTCACGAAAAACCGTCATGCCCATAAGGCTTCTATTATGCATAACAAAAGAATTAAAATATGATTTACTTGTTCTTTCCTTTATAATAACAGTAGTCAAGCAATCAGACGTTGTACCTGATCTATGATGAATGATAATTTATTCGAAATTAAATTATTTACACAAGCATTAATTTGCACAAGCTTCGGGGTGCAGCAGCTTACTTTCGCACTGATGTAATAAAGTGCCACTTATTTTGGGTGATAATTAACCGACTTCAAAAAAGGAGGAGGTTTCTCAATTCGATATTTTTATCTTTTTTATGTGTGTGCGGGGATAACTTCGTTATTTATGAACCGATTTTGATGATTATTTTTTGTTGGAAAGGAGATATCCCAAGGGTGGTACCATGATAAGGAAACCCAAATCTGATGATGGCATCCCAGAGAAATCTAGGGCAATTCTAAAATGTTATAGGTGTTGACAATGTTATTCAAATCAAATGTTATTTATTAATTTTAATAAAATTTCCTTAATAATCTAAATTTCTTTCTTAAAAATCATAAAATTTATAATAATAAATAATAATAATATTTATTTATTTCTATAATAATATCAGTATAGAACATTTATATCTAATTAATGTTAGTTACACTAAGGAAAAGACAATGAGTACACTGTGGCTCCCAAACTAGGCAGTGCCTGTATCTTGGGAGCCGGAGTGCGCTTCATATAAAACATAAAATGAAATTATATGGACGGTACTTTTGGTAAGTTATATTAATATTTTAAAAATGAATGGTTGTAATAATAAAAAAAACGCAGGTAAGAGAGCACGAAGTAGTGTGTGTGTGTGTGTGTGTGTGTGTGTGTGTGTGTGTGTGTGTGTGTGTGTGTGTGTGTGTGTGTGTGTGTGTGTGTGTGTGTGTGTGTGTGTGTGTTCGTGTGTGTATGTATGCATGAGTGCGTGAGTGTTTTGCGGATGTTTCGTATTACTTAATAATATTTAATAATACTTAATAATATTTTCAGTTTCCTCGTAATCGAGAGAGAGCAACCACATTTTTAGACGCTTCCTACAAGAGTAAGTACTGAGGTCTGCGATGTTGCAATGCTTTAACACATTGTTGTACACGAAGACATGGAGAAATGAGGGACAGCGCTTTCCGAGAAGCGAGTTGGTCCGCGGGCAAGGAATTCTGTAGGTACGTTTTGATACAATAGCCTGATAGTCATCTCTTAGTTTTACTCCTTTGTGCACTAGTAAGGATGCTGCTAAAATAAATAGTTGCCGTACCCTGAGAACTGGAAATTCGCTGTAGAGTGGGTTAGTGGGGTAGTCAAAAGGTTTTCTTAAAGTGACCTTTAAGATTGCCCTTTGTGCTCTTTCCAGTTCCAAAATAGATCTTTTGCCAGCTCCTCCCACACTGCTATACCATATTCAAGGACCGATTGACAGAGACAGTGGTAAACCATGCGCAGGATATTTTTTGCCACGTAGTTTCGCAATTTTTTCATGGTGGATATTAGCTTTCTAACACGAAGACTAAGCTGATGAATGTGAGGCTTAAAAGATAAGTTTTCGTCTATTACTATTCCCAGATATTTAACAGAGTTAGTGTGTTTTAGGGCTACACATGTGCAATCATTGCTTGTAAAAGTTGTATTTGGCGAGCAAGAGTGAAGCTTTATGGATAGGTGTTCTGGGGGTTTTGATGTCGCGGTTTTGTAAAAGGGTAGTACCATCCATTTATTAGTTTCCTGTTTGAAGTCGGTTTTTCTTGTTCAAAATTATTTTTATGTAAATTTTATATTTGACGATTCAAAATCATTAACTAACTTTGTATTTTATAAATAATAACACAAAAAAGCGACTAGAGATATAATAAAGTACTATTTATTTTGGTTGGTGATTTTAATATAAATCTTATATTTGACAATTTAATTTCATTAATAAGCTTTTTACATGTTTTAAATAAAAACACAAAAAAGCCAAAACATAGTAAAATCAAAATCATTAATTCATCGACATACGAAACATTTCATGTCATCTATCGATGGTCATTTTTTTTAAATATACCACTGCTTAGTAATGAGGTTCCTCTAGCCGACAAGAAACAGGTGAAAGAAACTCCGTAGTTATTCTCTTTTTTGTCATTTTTGTCCTCAAAACTTTAAAATGCATTTTTTTAGAAAAAGGTTGGAAGTGATCATCTCATTCCCAGGGATTATTATCGTTAATGTAATCATTTATATTTTAATAACACTTTTCTTTAATTGTTAATTAATTGATGACTCCGTGGCGCAGTTGCTAAGGTATCGGCTTCGACGTCAGGGGTCGTGGGTTCGATTCCCACACGGGACAGCTATTTGTGTGACCCACAGATTGTTGTTTCGTATTTGGGTGTTTATCCGAGTGAAATTTATGTTTGTAAAACGTCCTTACAACACAGGATAATGTTCCTAAAGTAAGGGCAATGTTTTCCATAATATATGACAAAATAAATAAAAGAAATAAAATAAAAAGTGCACACTTTGCACATTGAACATGAACCCCATGAACATGTTACTTACTCTATGCAATCTAGTAACTGGTACAAGCTTGTTTTTGTTCCTAGTATTTATTTACATTATGTATATCAATATTCTTATTATACATAGAAGAATTATATACAATTATATATATATTGATATACAATTCTATATTTATTTTTAGTAAGCATAGCATGATAGTAATAAATATACCAATACATGCATTGACTAATCATAGTGTAAATATTGAAGAAATACAATAAAAATTACAACATATAATTTGTTTTGTTCTTAAATCCATGTTATTACAAAGGTTTTTTTGTTTCCGACCTCATTCTCAGATGATGCCCTTTAAGTATTGAGATTTATGGACTTATGGACATATTGTTTGCTGTAATTAATAACTCTGTTTTCATTCAAAATATATTAATAACAGTAAATGCCACGACTTACCCACTTCTAATGTCCGCTACGTATTTTACAACCATATCGATGCATTTCTCATCGAGTTCCTTTATAGGACCTTCTGATGGAGCCATTTTATTTCAAGGTTGAACTTTAATTTTCGGTTTTATTTAAAAAAATATATTTTTACAGTGGATGATGAAATATTATAACCTAAAATCTGAAATTCTGAAATGACTTTTACAAAGCAGTGTTACCAGTTGCCACGTTCATTCGGTGTTTATATAATTGACATTTTTTTCTTTTTTTTATATATTTCAATTTCTGCCCGATTGTAGCAAAGCGTAGTTAGAAGGAATACGTAGCGGATCGTTTAGCGTTACGAAAACTAGAAAAATACTTGCCTAACACCCACCCCATTAAACCACTCAAATGCCTTCGACCTCCCTTTCTTCCCGCGATCGCCGGTGAAGCTCCACTGTGTCGCGGTGAATAAGAAGAGTGGGCAAATGTAATACCAACACTCCTCTTCCGCCTCAACTCTATCTCAGTTTCAGAGCGCAGTGAAAAATGACGAGTTGATCTTGCACCAGAGATCAGGTTAGTGTGGGTTTCTCGTCTTCCCGTGGTGCCCAAGCACCGTCTACTAAGCGGGAACCTCAACTATCAACTATGAACTGGGTTAGAGAAAACACCGTCCACCTGCGCTAAGATCGCGCTGGATCGGGGGAGTGGCAGGGATATGTGGGAGTGTGGGAGTCCCAGGTAGAAATGGCTACCCACTAAAAAACTTGCGTTGCAGCTATGTCCATCGCATCAGCCGGGGACACGGGAACACGTAGACGCAATCTTCCGCTACCCCAGCGCGACTTTTTGGTCCTTCTCTTTTCGTGGGCCTCCTCCACCCGGTCGGGCCAGATAGTGAAGAAGAAGAAGAAGAAGAAGAAACGTTTATTCACGGTCTAAGCACAATAGATACAAAGAGCACTTAAAAATAATAATGTAACTACACATTATGTAAAATAATAAATGTAAACATAACAAAAAAACTAAAAAAAAAAAAAAATAATAATACTAATAAGTGAAAGGTCTGTGTAGCAGCATAAGACCGTGAAACGGACGGGACTCGGTAAAAGTCGAGATACAGTAACTAAGATTCGTTCTGATCCCGACGCCGGTTTTCAGTCCGCCCGCACTTCGAGACAACTCGGACGGCTGCGTCAGTGCACTTGTAATACATACCTACAACGCAGTATAGCGATAATTAAATTATTTTTGTTTGAAACTTTAAATTTTATAGACAGTGGATATCATTCGTCTGAAGAGGTAAGTAAAAATTAGAACTAATGTTTTCTTATTTGATGTTGGTGTCAGCTGCTTTTTTTCCATTTTGGTTTTAGGTTACCAATATTTATCCCTACTCTGTGGCACTGTGACATTTACCGATCGAGCAGTGGACACGTGACTTAATTTGAAAAGTAAAATGCGAGACAGACCTCGTTGCGCGCTGGCCACATGATAAAGGTAACAAAATGAGTGTCTTATAAGTATATAAATTATGATATATGTTTATAAAAAAAAATATTATGTATATATATATTATATTAAATTATATTGTATCAAATCATATTACATTGTATTTTATTATATTATATTATAGCGTATAATTAAGCTGATAAGAATTAGAATTAAACGGCAGCATTTTTTTGTTCTACAAGTAGATACAATTTGTACTTGTTTTTAAAACCAGTTATTGTTTTCAGGTCGCGCAAGGGAGGCGGGAGGTTGTTCCAGCACTTAGTGGCATTGTATTTGAAACTGCCTCTAAAAGCGCCCGAACGGTAGAAAGGATAAACTAATTTATAATTAGATGATCTCGTATTATACATCTCATTTTGATCTTTAGCCCAAATCAACTTATTGTAAAGATATAACGGCTCTTTGTTTCTAATAGTTCCAAATAAAAGTGAGGCGAAGTGTAGTCGTCTGCGGAGGTCCATCTTTAGGATATTTGCGTTATTGATAAAAGGCGTTACATGTGCACGTGGAGGTATATTAAAACAGAAACGTGCACAGGCGTTCTGTACCCTCTGTATTATTTTCCTTGTTCGTGATAACAGACGTGGACCTAAGAGAGAATCCGCGTAATTGAATTTTGAGAGAACGAGAGATTCGCATAGATTGATACGTAAGGAAACACTTAGGTAATCACGAATACGATAGAGTACTTTCAACCTGTAAAAGCAGTTACGTGCAATACCCATAATATGCTTCTCAAAACGCAGCTTGTCGTCCATTATTACCCCCAAATTTCTGACTTCCGCCACTCTTACAATGGATTCGTTGTTTACGGTAATGGCAGGGTGACTTAATATGATCTTCTTTATTTGATTTGGCGATCCTAGAATCATATACTGAGATTTATTCGGATCGAGAACTAGTGCATTACGCTCTGACCACAAAGATATCCCGACTTAAGTCCAAATTTAACTTTGCTACAGCTGAGTGAACATCACGAGGCTTAAATGAAATATATATCTGTAAATCGTCAGCGTACATGTGATACTTACAAAACTCAATATTTTTAATAAGATCTGCACTATATATTATAAAAAGTAATGGACCTAAGATGGATCCCTGTGGTACACCTCGGTCTACAAGTCGCTCTCCAGAGATACTTTTGTCCCTTTCACTTGAGTGCATTTCAACCCGTTGTGACCTATTTTCAAAGTAACTGGCAAACCAATGAGTTGCACTTATACTAATTCCATAAAAATATAATTTGGACAGAAGTAATGGAATATTTAGGGTTTCAAACGCGCGTGAGAAATCAAGAAGCGTTAAAATTGTACCTTCCCCACTCGCCTGTGCGGTCAGTATATCATCTACGACCGCCATAAGCGCAGTGGTAGTGCTGTGCTTTTTTCGGAATCCAGACTGCAACTTAGGAAGGATATTATTTGATTCAAGGTACTCTGTTAGTTGATTACATGCAAGCGTTTCAATAACTTTAGAAAGGCACGGTAGGTAGCATCCTACGATAGGCCTAAGATCCGACATATAAACAGGGTTACTAGTTTTAGGTATAGGTTTCACGATTGCTTTTTTCCAGAGATCCGGGTAGGTATGTGTCGCAAACGATGTATTAATTATACGTGTTATTTCTGTAATAGCATCTTTAGGTAATAACTTTAACATATCAAGTGAAATGCCATCGCATCCCACTGCATTAGACCGCAGAGAGTTTACAACTTTAACAACCTGATCTTCTGAGACTTCTTTAAAATGAAAAGAGCTATCATTAGTGCTATTAAATTCAAAGAAAGTGAGAAGGGGCAATGAAACATCATTATTTCCAGGAATATTCAAAAAATGATCGTTTAAGGCATTAGGGTCACTAAAATGAGATGGTAGTGAGGAATCCTTACTTTTTATTTGTACTTGTTCTTTAATATGTTTCCACATTATTTTTGGTTGCTTTAGTTTGGAGTTAACATAAAATTTGAAATAGGCGGTCTTTTCTGAAAATATCGCTTTACTTACTATTGATTTTAGTTCCCTATAATAATCCTTATGTGGAGTAAGTTTAGTTTTGCGAGCTCTGGCTTGTGCTTCGTTACGCGTCCTCATCATACATCTTATGTTATACGTTATCCAGGGATAATAATTTTTTTTTATATAAACAGTTTTAGAAGGTGCGTGAGCATTGAATATATCTAATACAGTGTTATTGAAAGAGTAAATCATATCGTTTATATTATTAGACGATGCACAGTGCCAGTTGATATGTATTAAACATTGTTTAAAGATATTTATGTCCATTTCCCTCAAAGGTCTATATGTGATGCACTTAGGCTGAAACTTAGGCTTAGAAATATTAAGCTCACATACAATAAAAGCATGACTACTGAGGTCGTTAATATAATCGAGTTATATATAGTGCTGTGCCGGTTCCGTTGGCACAGCACCCCTAACGAGCTCCATATTGAATGACAGATAGCCCCATGCGTACCGCTCGGGGTCTCACTATCAGGAGGAAAGGTTGCGCGCGTAGGCCAGGCAAAAGTAACCCTAAGCTACCAAGCTTCTGCGAAATGGGATCGGTGACAGTTAGTGATCAATTCCGTGTAATATTCACGTACTGTACTAAAATTTCACTTATTTCCTTAAAAAAAATAATTTTACCACGTCATTTTAGTTCAATTTTTTTTTACATCTCATAAGCAATTTCTTTGTAAGAAGAAGTGGTGTATTAAAACTCAATCTTATTATTTGAATATTTTAATTAAACCTTACATTTTTATACACAAAAATATACACAAGTATACTTCATAATCTTATTCATTTCAGAAAGTAATCGAATAAAAAATAAAGGATTTTTATTTTTATCATGTATAAGTAAACACTTTAAAGTAATGAATATATAATTTAACAATTAATCACTGACATTCATGATCTCGGCAGAGACAGAGATTGTAAATTAATGGTGTACCACGAAAGAAATTCCTGTGTACATTCTCCCAATCAGTTGGTGTAGTGAAAGGACTAGTTTGTATTGCAATTGATTCGTACCTTTTCCTTTTATTTGGTGACCCTCCGGTCACAGTCGAACATATACTAGAGCCGGTGCGTTTCGTAAATAAAAATTCGGAGCTACTTGAATCCAGAGGTGGATCAACTTCATCCAAATCTGATGAAGAATTCGTTCCCGTCGACGATTCTGAATTTTCTATAAGAGACATTTGTCTCTCAAACTGTGCAGTTGGAGTCCCGCTAACTTTACTCAGCATTGATTCTTCTTGAATGGAACCAAGAGATTTCGTTTTACTCATTCCCAATCTCATAGCTTCAATTTGGCCTTCTTCAACTTCCACATTTATGTTTGCTTCAATTACGTCTTCGTCAGTTTTAGCTGAAATAGTATAATTCTATGATTAGTATTTCAATTGCGTACTATGTGTGACTGGATTCAGTAGTAAGTTTTATTTGTCTGTGTCTACTTGAATAACAATAAAAAGCGCCTGTTATTTTTGAACCAACCCATTTTTTCAGTTTTTTATTTCATACTATTTAGTTTTTTATTACTTACTCAATTATTAGCAAAAATTTTATCTGCACCTTTTTAAGAAAAATTTTAATATTAATTTAAAGCATGTATAATTTATTATTTTTAAAAGTTTTAATCTTCCTATAATCGAAATGCTAAAACATAATCATGTATCAAACCTTGTGTATCTACAAGTCTATCAGAAACTTGTTGTCGGTGTAAATCTTTGGTACTCGCCAAAATATCTCCTTTTTTCCATGTAGAAAGCAAAATTAAACTCCTTTCAGTCGGACTAGAATGTTCCTCTGTTGGTATGTTATTATTTATATCTTCGCGTTCACCATTCTGGAATTCTCTATGTACTACAGCATTGGTTATAATGATTTCATGCGTGTTTGACGTTGAAAATTCAACTTCTACAGTCCCATCCGATTCGAGTGATCCAATTGATATTTCAGGTACATCTTCATTTAATTCGGACCTATCCGAGACGCCTGAATTATTAGATGAATTGCACTGATCTGAACCTAATCGGGTAAAATGATCCTCTGATACGTTTTTTTCTAAAACAGAATCATTATTTTCACTGTCAACATCGCACCCAATCACTTTATAAGTTTCTATACTGGAATCATCATCTGCGTCGGATTCATAATTTAATTCATGGAATAGTTTTTTGTACAGTTTTATCATTTTCGCTTCCAAAATTCTGTAATACTCGTCTGGTTCATCATGTCTATTTTTATACTTCTCTATAATAAGTTCGGGCAGTGGACTGGCCGCCCTTAATGCTAAATCTTCGCTTGTCTCATTGATTTCGGCGATTGGTGATAGTACTGTAAAATGAAATTATATAAATTTCAAAAACGGTGATAATAAGCTCTTCACCACTACAAAGATGCCAGTTCGAACTCGAAATGAATGTATAGTGAAATTTTTGTCTTACTCGGAATATCTTCGAATAAACTTCGGACTAAGTAAGATTTTCGACGCTCCCATTCTTCGCTCCAATTTCGCCACATTATTCATAAATGATATTTTAATTAACTTGTTAGGTATATTAAAATAATATTAATATCAATTTTATTTTTTTTAAATACCCTACAACTTTGAAAAGAAGAGTAAAGATAAATAATGGGATCGATATTTTTAACAAGTATATTTCAATCAATAACCAATAATTGTAATGTATTGTTTAACCAAATTCGAAATTAATCGTTATCATTGAATTATTTTACGATTCGATAATCGATATTAGTATAGTAAGGATTTATTGTCAAATATTATTTTAATATTTGTTGAAAACAATTTATTCAAAATAATTTCAAAGAAAAATTTTAATTTTTTCTGACGTTAAACTTTCCGAACGGAAATCAACATCAAATCAAGCGATCATCTGTGATCTGTCATTTCTAATGATTCGTATTCAAATCAATAATCTTGTATATTTTTCAAACAAATTAACTTATTGTATGCAAAAATTATTTATGGACCTGTTTGTGATCTCCGTAAGGACGTCTATTTTAAAACGCATGTCATTGAAGAACTACTCTTTGTTTGGTGCTGCATTATAAAGTTTTCTAGCTCGTAACGCTTGACCGGATTTTTGTTACGGAAATGCGCGTTTTTGTGTCGGATTTCGACTGATATCGGCTGCGATGGACCTATCCCCGGATGAAGATCACTTCCAAGGGCGGTTGTTGCACCAGGTATGGTAGGGAGTCAGTTACCACCAGTCATAATTAGCTACCTTTTTCGCGTCGATTTAACACGCCCCCGCTGTCGTAACTGCCGATATGTGTCGTCCGAGTTACTGCTGCCTTATGCGGATGTACCGATTTTGCAATAACACATGAATTATAAAGTTTTAACATGTAAAAAAATATATGAATTAGGTGATCAGTCGCATTTATTTATTTATTGTTTTATATATATTAACAGCTTTCATAACTTAAAAATAAATATTTACCTTAATTTTTTTTTATTATATCTTTAGTTGATAAATTGGGCGTAAATTATTTACAAGTTTACATAATACTGTCGTAATATATTTTTTGTAAAGAAGACATAAATTTTGAACTATATTTTGTTAATGAAATAAAAATATTTTCAGACAGGTTAAGAAAATATTTTTTTAAGTTAAAGTAAGGTAAAGTAAGGTAAAGTTTTCAACAATATTTCTTTTCTTAAACAACCAATAAAAACTTGGCAATTTGAGAAGTACAATATTGAATTATTAAACCTTTTTGATTCACCATTTTGTTCCTTACTTATGTATTAGAAATTTTGCTATTTATTTACAAGATTTTTATGCATATGTATTTTTTTGATGTTATGTAGTGACAATATAAATAGCAAACTCAAAGGACCATACCTTTAACGAGAGATGTACCCCAAGGAACAATTTTATCTTCCATATTATTCATTATTAACCAAAAGATATGTAAATAGTACATAAACTTGCAAATATCCGGCAATAAATCAACAATGACACAATAATTTAACAAATGGCGTTCCATAGTTTAGTCACTTATGAGAACCTTATTAGGAAACTAGGATTGTGAAGATATAAAACAACATACGTTTTTTGTGTTAGTACATACACTTGAATTGGAATTCAATACAAAATTTGTATATGGATATAGAAATTGTTGTATATTGATTATGTAGAGGGTATAATAATTGTAATATTAAGCGAAGGTAGTTTGATAAATAAATGAGTTTGTTTGCAACCTTGTCTGATGTTTGTATCTTTTAATGGCGACGAGGAAAATTAATTAATTTATTGAGTAAAATGGCGTGCAATTTGTCTAATGTTGCGTTTCCCGGCGAACCTCAAGTGAATGAAATCTTACAATCTGATAAATTTCATAAACGTCAACAAAGTCAAAGTGAAAATATTCAGGAATATATTGCAGCTATCGGCTCGCTGGCTTCTAGATGCAAGTTTATAGACTTAAAAAGACAGCTAAGAGATCGGTTAGTGTTAGGTGTGCGCGACGAGCGGCTCCGATGCGAGTTGTTAAGGACGAAAAATCTTACGTATGAGTTGGCGGTGCAATTGAGCCTAAACTACTATCAAGGCACATTTTTGGATTTGTACCCAGATACAGGGTTGTTAAAACAAACTCCGTCCACAATCACGGAACAGATGGATATTGGTCTAATTAAATTGATCAAGTGTCGTCATTGTGCACGGTCACACAACAGTGGTGATAGATGTCCTTTTATAAAAGCCAAATGTTTTTATTGCAAAAAAATTGGACATATTGCTGCTGCATGTATGAAGAGACCTAACAGAGTGCACCGGGTGGAGGAAAGTCTGACTTCCAATTCTGGAGATGAAAAAACCTGATTACATGATGAGCACATTTGTTTGTTCAGATAATTGCCGATCACCATTGAAAGCAGAAGTAATTATCAACAGTGTAAAGGTTACTATGGAAGTGGACTCGGGTGCTGCAAGGACTATCATGGCTGAAGAGACATACAAAAAGCTGTGGGCTGTTCCACCACCATTAGAGAAGACACGCGTGAAATTGGTGACATGGACCCGTGAAGAACTAAAGGTTTTAGGTCAAGCTCATGTTCAAGTGTCATTAGGAAACAAAGAAGCTCAATGTGAGCTGTTAGTGGTTTCTGGTTTTGGGCCTAGCCTTTTAGGAAGAAATTGTTTTGATATATTGGGCATTGAGATAGCTGGTATATGCTGGACGGAAAATGAGAAGATTGATGAACTATTAAAATCTTTTCCAGAGTTATTTAAAGAAGGTCTTGGAGAGTACAATGGACCACAAGTATCGTTGAAGTTACGACCTGATGCTTCTCCGCGTTTTTTGAAGGCGCGCCCTGTACCGTTTCCCTTAATAAAACAAGTAGAAGAACAATTGACGCGAATGGTTGATGAAGGGATTTTAACCCCTGTAAAATATTCCCAATGGGCAACACCTTTAAGAATTGTGAAAAAGGATGATGGCTCCCTGCGCATATGTGGTGACTACAGGTCAACTGTTAATCTAGCAATTGAGACTGATACCTTCCCATTGCCAGCTGCTTGTGAATCATTTGTGAAATTAAGTGGAGGAAGGGTGTTTAGTAAAAATTGATTTGAAACAAGCATACATGCAGCTGAAAGTGGATGAGGGCACTGCTATGCTTTTGACACTCAATACTCCATTAGGATTAATGAAAATGAACGTCTCGCTTTTGGAGTAAATGCAGCTCCTGGTATTTTCCAACGTGTAATGTCTACAGCACTGGCAGGGATGGATGGGGGGGTAGCATGTCTTTTTGGATGACGTGGCTATTACTGGCAGAAATAATGAAGAGCATGATCAAAGGCTATGGGCAGTCTTGACTAAATTAAATACAATGGGTCTTAGGTTAAATCTGAACAAATGTGTATTTGCGTCAAATCAGATAAGTTTCTTGGGACATATGATTGATGCTGAGGGATTGCACCCATCATTGATTAAAGTAAAAGAAATAAAAGAGAAACCCGCACCTAGGAACAAAGAAGAATTACGTGCATTTTTGGGGTTATATAACTTTTATGAAAAATTTATTAAAGATAAAGCCACAATACTAGAGCCCTTGTATCGATTACTGGAGGCAAAGAAACCTTGGATATGCGGTCTATTGGAACAAATTGCTTTTGAGAAAGCTAAAGATGTGTTGTCTTCAGATTTAACTTTAGTTGGTTATGATTTAAAGAGAGAGTTATTGTTAATTTGTGATGCATCAGACTATGGTGTGGGTGCAATTATTGCACATGTGATGGATGATGGATCAGAACGACCAGTGATGATGGCATCCAGAACGTTACAACCCCATGAACGACGGTATGGACAAATCGACAAGGAAGCTCTAGCCATAATTTTCGGAATTACAAAATTTCATGAATTTCTATTAGGAAGGAAGTTTTGTATTATTACTGACCATAAGCCGCTAATCGGTATATTTAGTCCAAATAAACCTATTCCTGATCAAATTTCACCTAGATTGTTACGATGGTCATTAAAGTTGGGGTGTTATGAATATGAAATTAAATATAGACCTGGGAAATATATTGGTAATGCAGATGCTCTCAGTCGATGGACATCTGTAAACACTTCAGAAGAACAAGGAGTGGATCTATTAGCCGATGTGTTACTCCTTGAGGAACCTCCCCCTGGATTGAATCTGGATGCGGCAAGAATTGCTGCCGAGACTAAGAAGGACCGCGTATTGCAAAAGGTGTTATTTCACGTCCTACATGGTTGGCCTCCTAATAATACTGATCCCACTCTCAAGCCGTATTGGACACGTCGTGAGGCTCTTTCACACAATAAAGAATATCTATTGTGGTGTAACAGAGTCATTGTACCTGCCTCCTTACAACAGCAGGTACTGAAGGTATTGCATGCACCGCATGCTGGTATAGTCCAGACGAAAGCTTATGCTAGAGGATACGTATGGTGGGTTGGTATGGATGCACAAATAGAGACTACAGTGGCTGCCTGCGAGTTGTGTCAGGACGTAAGAAAACAATCCACCGAGAGAACCACATGCTTGGATTTTGCCCGATAAGCCATGGAGTCGTGTCCATGTTGATTTTGCTGGCCCATTCCAGGGAAAGGTCTTTTTTGTTATGATTGACAGCTACAGCAAATGGTTTGAGGCTTGTATATTACCAAATATGAGCAGCGAAGCTCTTATATCAAGTTGTCGTAAAATTTTTGCCTCACAGGGACTGCCCGAAAAATTAGTTTCGGACAACGGTAGAGCCTTTAGCTCGAGTGAATTTAATAAATTTCTGCAAAATAATCGTATCGAACATTTATATTCGCCCCCATATCACCCGGCTACGAACGGACAAATCGAGCGAGCGATACAGACGTTCAAAAACAAACTTAAGAAAATGTCGGATGCAGGGTTGTCATGGGCTGAGAAACTGCCTCGAGTGTTATATTCGCTCAGGACGGTGCCGAACCAGGAAAGACTCCTGCAGAGCTGTTGAATGGACGTAAATATAGGACTGCGGTGTCAGCATTGCATCCGGATAGTGGGCCAAACCGCTCGGAGCGACAGCTGGAGGAGGAAGCACAACGGACTTCTACCCGAACCTTTGCGATAGATCAGCCAGTTTTGGTTCGTGCCTATGGACCAGGAGAGAAGTGGCGACGGGCCACTATCGAGTATGTCGAAGGCCCAGGTTGTTATAGGGTGAGAACGGAAGATGGACAGTTGATCCGTCGACATGTCGACCAAATACTGGCACGGTCCAACGCCCAAACCGTAAGCCGGTCTCCTGACACCTTGCCCATATCACCTCAATTCCGCAGAGTATCAAGTTCAACTTCTGGATCTGAATCACCAATACGAATTCCACCACCAGAAATGTGGCCTGAAATTATTGGCATACCAAACGCTGACTGAACTTGTGATAGAGCAAGCAGTAATTATTTACACATTATTAGAAACAAACAATATTACAGTTATTGGTTGGGACTGTTATTGTTAATTAATCCTTAACATTATGTTGTAACTTGATTATTGTGATGGAAAGGTATGTTGTATATTGATTATGTAGAGGGTATAATAATTGTAATATTAAGCGAAGGTAGTTTGATAAATAAATGAGTTTGTTTGCAACCTTGTCTGATGTTTGTATCTTTTAGAAATAAATCAGTACAAAATGCTCCATGGCGCAGTTGCCTAGGTATTCGCTTCAGGGGCGGGAGTTGTGGGTTTGATTCCCACACGGGCGAACTGTTTGAGTAACCCACCGATAATTGTTTCTGATCTGGGTTGTTTGATTATCACATAAAAAAAACTTTTATTTGAAAACAAAAAAAAATACAGTCGAACATATAACCTCCTCGTTTCTCTGAAGTGTTTAAAAACATAGAGTCGTCGAATAGCAATAATTTCCGAGCAGGCCGCCCTGTGGGACAACGTGGAGCTGCTGCAGGAGCTGGTGGCGACGGGGGCGGACGTGGACGCGAGGGATCGCAGCGGGCGCACCGCCCTCCACGCGGCCGCCCTGCTCGAGGGCGGCCGCTGCCTGGCAGCCCTGTGCTCGGCCGGCGCGGAGCTGGACGCGCGCAGCGACGTCCAGACGGGCGGCAAGGTATTGCGACAGCCCTGGGTCGATTGATTTTGTGGAAATAATCGGCACGAAAGGTTCCGTACCGTTATCCATAAGAACGGCAAAAATATCGTGCGTGTTGTTTGGGGGCCCCACTTAAATAGTTTTTTTGTTCTGTTGTTTGGTGTCTGTTGTTAGAGCGGTAACGGACATACATCATCTGTAAAAATTTCAACTATCACGGTTCATGAGATACAGTCTGATGACAGACAGACGATGGAGTTTTTAGTAAGTCTCGCCGCTGCGGGAATCGATGCGACGTCGTCCGGATCCGCGCCCAGACGTTTTAACCGCTAAACTAGAGGGCAACTTGCCGCTAGGCGCATCTGTTGTAAATTTTACAGCATACAAAGAATTTTAAGTGTTGTTTAACAACGTTAATTCGAACGATAGTTGTCGCCGTTTTTATATTTAATGCCATTTTTTATAGTGCTAATCTCTACACTTTAGCCGAGGCAGAGTGATAAATTATGCAGGACTTCTGTTTGGTGGGATCGGGATCACATGCTGATTGCACCCTCATTTTAAGTGCAAACCCCAATCGCTGGACCAAACGAGATTCTGTTTAAGAATCATCGGTTGGGGCTTGGCTTTACAGGACATGCTTTCCACAGATAAAAGCGTAAATAATGAAGCTTGACGAATTTGTTTCACCGTGCACCGAACAGTGCTTGTTCCATCTTGATAGTGGGTGGACAGCGCCAACTGACTCCGTGATGATTCCGTGGCGCAGTCGCCAAGGTATTGGCTTCGGCGTCGGGGGTCGTGGGTTCGATTCCCACACGGGACAACTATTTGTGTGACCGACAGATAGTTCTTTCGCATCTGGGTGTTTGTCCGCGGTTTATAAAACGTCCTTACAACACAGGATAAAGTTATCCTAAAGTGAGGGCAAAACTGTTTAAAAAAAAAAACTTGAACCTGATGGTGGTCTGTATATACAGTGACATTGCCGTCAACGAATGCTGCAGAGCATCCTTAGTCGGAATTGACCACTATATTGAACGCAATAACATCTAAATCCGATCCAAACTTGTAACAGAATCTTATGTATATATTTTTTTCTGTACGTTTAACCTACCAGATGGCAGGCCAGTTATCAACCTGTGTAGTACTAGGGTCATTCAAATACCTTCGCACATCTAGGAATATTGTTGCTGTCGGTACGGATCCCAAGAGTCGGGCTGCTAATGAGACCAATTATGCTAACTGGCTCTAATTGGCTCGTTCTCCAATTGTCCATTTGAATTTACCGGACAATCTATTCTCCGCGTTAGTAACGCAGCCGCCTCTCGTGCCATATTCAGACCGGAGCATTTATACTTTAGCATTTGTTCCGTTGAGTGAGGTAACAGGGCTCACTGTTCAAAGGTCGACTAGTAAATGTCCTAGAGCACTTTGCCTTTTAACCTCGGATAATGCAGGGTTCCCGTGGTATAGATCTAGACAATTTTTTTTAAATTACGTAGGGTGCTTGCGTAAGACGCGGCAGTAATACTTTGGCCTTTATTTACACAATGTAATTAAGAAAAAGGGAATCGAACCCACGACCCACGGCGCAGAAGCTGAAAGCTTCCCACCAACCGATCCGAGCATTCAATAGTAACTCTGAATGTCCAAAACGAAGTTTAAGAAGGAAGAAGTACAAATTAAGTAATGCAATTGTTAAACCTTGGCGATGTTACCTGACCTCAAATTCCAAAGATAAGCGCTTTTAAGTGGGGCATGTTCCGCACATATCCAAGTTGGACCTTGGTGCCGCTGAAGCGGAAGCTGTGTATAAACAGTCTACTTAGACACGTCAGCCAGTTCACGTGCTCGCCGATAGCTCGTCTGATGGGTGCCACACTCACGGTGCGTGGACTGTTTGGTGGAGCACGTTTCGTGGTTCAAGTGTTGGGCATTAATTACGGCCTTAAGGATTAAAATTCAAATATCTACAATCAATATACAAGCATTACACTTACGTGTAAGTTGTACGTGTGTAAGGAACTTAGCGGGCCGCTTTATTTTTTTTTTATACCATTATTTGACAACGAAATTTGCACACAATATGTTATAGTCGACGTGGAATAGCTTTGAGCGATCAATTCATTTTGACCCTAACATTATAATAACGTAAACACTGAAATGTTAAAATATAACAACTGATTCGAAGGTATATTCTGGGATTTTGTTGTAAGAGGTATACATAGTCCCATAAAACATTAACTAATTCTACGTAGTCTAGTTGTGGATAGAAATAATTAAAGTTTGTGCTAAGTATTTATATCACGCACATTGCTTTGTCTTGAAGATTCATTCTTATTTTTATTTACATACGTAACATACTAACTGTCGTTTTATATTTCCAACTTCTCACATGTACCATGACGGAGGCCGTCCCCTTAATTCTTCTCTCCATGTCTTCTCCCTCTCCATTTTTGAAAGGTGTGGTAGGGCCACGTACCACGTCTGTTGCACGAATGGCCAGGTCCGTCCGGGTTAGTACCACGGCCTCACAGAAGAGCGGCGTGAAGTAGAAGTGTTACACTTCGTCACTACTTACGTCTGGTGAGAGAGGTAGCCGGGGCCCACTTTATTAAAACGTGACAACGAATCTGCGACCATACGGATGTTGCAAATGTCCATGGGTGGCAGTTACCACTTAAGATCAGGTGATACACCATCGTTTGCCACTTTCCCACATAAAAAAAACCCTATTCAATCGGACCTCTAATTGCCCCCACCCCAGACCGCCCTCCACCTGGCCGCCGAAAGAGGCCACGCCGAGAACGTGGCGCTCCTCCTCTCCGCTGGGGCGCAGGTGGACGCCGCCGACGCTGGTGGGGAGACAGCTCTAGCCCTGGCGGAGCGGGGCTGCCACAGGCGGACGGCGCGGCTGCTACGCGACGCGACCGGTGAGCGACTTTTACAGGAGAAGTTTAACTTAGCTTCAGTCTGGTACATCTACCGTGGCTATCGATCTCTACGTGTGGGATACACATATTTAAATTCGCGCATTAAACAAACAACGAAGAGCCAATTGGAGTAGTTGATAGCTCAGAGGATGCGGGGTTGATCCCCACTTGTGGAAAAATATTGTCTGATGAACGTAGTGTTTTTCTAGTGTCTGAGTGTTTATATATCTATAGTCTATACTATGTATTTATTTACAAATAAAAAAGTATTTTTAAGTATGTTTATCAGTAATCTAGTACCCATATTACAAGCTTTGCTTAGTTATTAGATAGCTTAGTCTTTTTGGGGTTCAATTGGACTAACTATTGTCGAAACTCATTCTGAGACTTTGGTTAACAAAGACCCGACTTCAGACACAAACTTGTTCCGGCTCCAGTTGACGTTTTCCCGAGAAATGTTAGCACGGACAGTGTACGAGATATCCACAGTGCTATCGTCTGCATAGCAATAAACGTTGCTGATTTGCAACATGTCATTGATATGCAGAAGAAACAGAGCAGGAGAGAGTACGCAGCCTTGAGAACACCAACATTGACAAATTTAGGCGTTTCCTCTGGTGAGTGAGGGCTATATCCGGAGCCCAATTTTCAAAAGTTGTCAACGCATCTGTAACCGTCGGGTGTTGCAGAATTCTAGGGGCGGCGGTATTCACTTAACATCAGGTGAACCGTCTTAGTCAGGATCTTAGCATGAACCGTCGATGACGAACTTGATGTTCCAATCTGCAAAAAGCTGGTGATTCAGTGGCATAATTTCTTGGGGAACCTATGGGTTTCCCAAGAAATTCGCAAGAGGCAGCTTTAAAGAAGCGCCTTGTGCCATACCCGATCGAAGGCCCACGCTATGTTCAGATTGGCTGCAAGCGCCTTCAACTTGCTCAACTGCTCCTGCCTATATAGTTGCATAATTATGCTGTTTGGTCAGATTATAATACAAAACAGACTATATTTGTTTTCTATTAAATTAATAATTTGTTTATATGATTACGAAAGCCCACCCACAACGTTTATTTAGACTCTATTCTGTTCGATAATGGTTGAAAACTGATTTTCGTTTGTCTACGTTTGTTCGCATTGCGTAGTCTTAATTAAGTGAAGTACGATATGCGTAACCGTACTCGTGTCAACTCTCGAGCCAAGAGAAGAGCTTTTCGTCGCGTACTGAACACAAAACAGGAGCATCAATTCGTACACTTGAATAAGTAAATCTAACATTTTTCATTCGTGCGTACTAGGCTTGGACACTGGGCTGTAATTTTGAATGGCGACGCCACACCCACTGATCAATTCTCGACAACATAAGTTTTATAAACTACTAGCGACCCGGCCGCGCTTTGCACGGGTGCAATCTATTATACATATGAACCTTCCTCTTGAATCGCTCTATCTAGTAAAGAAACCGCATCAAGATCCGTTGCGTAGTTTTAAAGATCTAAACGTACATACGGACAGACAGGCAGCGGGATGACTTTGTTTTGTACTTTGTATCGATGCACAGAAAAGAGACGTTTACATTTCAAGTGACATTTAGTCACTCGTTTGTTTTGCCTTCCCGGAACCCCTCCACTAACAATTAAACTTTATGGTATGGTATTAAAGTTCAAATTTACTTTTAAATATTATTACGAATCTTTTGTATGGGAATATAGAAAAGTGTTGTTTTTAGACTTTTTCAGGCAATTTTTTAAATTTTTCTCTCCGTAAGAACCATTTTCCTACCTCAAGGAATATTATAAAAAAAGAATTTGCGAAATCGGCGAAACCAGCCATTCACGCTTGATGGCGTGACCAAGGGAAATAGGGATTAATTTTTATATATATATATATATAATATAGATTAGAAGTTAAAGAAAACGTGATGGACGTTAAGATAGCTGATCGGTTCAGTTATTTTCGCAGTATAAGCGAACAAAACAAATTAGCTCTCCAATAATTAGTACACTAGCTGTTAACCGCGGCTTCGCCCGCGCGGCCAAGGGGAATTAACAATGAGTTTTTTATTTTAAAACCAGAATATCTCGCAGATGGCTGAATTTTTTCCTACTGAGTTATTATTACCTATATTTTCGACAATTCACACGACATCTTTATAAATTATAGCCTATGTACTGTTCTGATTTATAAGCTATATTATTGTAGTCTCATCAAAATCTATTCAGAAGTTTTTGCGTGAAGAGTAATAAACATCCATCCAAACGCATGTCTACTTAGGACCCGGTAGGGGCGGCATCACGAAGTGGAGAGTTCCTTCTCAGGAACGTGGTAGCCTGCAGTACAGGAAGACTTTAAAGTCAAAAGTAAACATTTCTAGGCTTAATTTAAGGTCTTATTGAACGCTAGGGAGATCACAGAACTGGCGAAGTGGCCAACAACCGAGTTTTAGCGTGTAGGTACCCCACATTACCCTTTCTCTTAAGGAAACTACTTTTTTAGATTTTTTTGATTTTACTCCCACCCCGAAACCAAAAAGAAGTTTACCGTTTAAAAAGTTAAACAAGTTGCATGCATCTCCGTGGCGATATTCCGCCTTAAATCGACTCGGCCGCGAATTGATGCCAATAATAAACTCATTCGACCGACGGAATAATCTATTTATATCTCGATGCTAATTATGTATGCAATGCACTCTACAACATATAGCTCTCAGAGTTTGTTGCAATTGTTATTTTTTATGAGATGACCAGCGAACAGGTTCCCCGGGGGTTGCGTGATTACCGCGGCCAGTGGCCATAAAACTCTCATTAGTTAAAATTATTTTAATCTGTGTAGCGGTTGGTCATACTCTGCTTGAGCGGGTAAAACGTCACTTCGATTGGTTGGCGGTCCGCCGATCTCGTCTGTGATTGGCCGACGGTGGTACGCCGTGATAAATAAATATTTAGGACATATTTTTACACAACTTTCTCTAGTCCCAAACTAAGCAATACTTGTATATGGGTACAAGATAACTGATTAACATACTATTCTTTTGTAAATAAATACATACTATAAATATATAGGTAAACAACTCTGGCGCAAGAGACAGGTGCACTACCCACTACACCAATCGTCATGCACTTGAAAGTTTGGCGCGCTTTTTACAGACTATTAGTGGTTTAAATTTCGGATAATTATCGGAAATAATGTGCAAAATTTATAAAATCTAAATTATATTATTGTTAGAACACGAAAAGAAAAACGCTGTCATAAATAAACATATTTATTACTTTATGCTCTAAATTTCATTTCATTTTCGGTTAGTTAAAAATTATTTTATAACCAAAATATCAAATAGTCACCAACATTCAAGGATTTTAATCTCACTTCATTACTTTTTGACTTTGAGGGTGAAACTTTAAAAACTTTCCTTAACAAATGACCACGAGAATAAAGTCAAGGTAACGTCTTAATTTTGTTGGTTAATATCCTTTTATTTTACAAACTGGCCAATGTAACCCAACCTATAGTATATTGCATAATTAATGCATATACAATATATACCTAAGGTCGTGTGACTGAGTTTTGGCGGGAACCCGGGCCAACGTTTTTTATTTTTATTTTCTATGACCTACAGCGAGCGCGCTTTATCGGCCAGTGTTTGGTGATTTTGTTTTATTTGTATGCTTTTAAAAGATATGTAATCTTTATATATTGTTAATGTCAAGGCTAATAACAATTATGCGAAACGCTAATGCTAGAACTGTGTAAGTTAGCGTGTGAAACGTGTGACTAAATGTCATAAATTATGTATGCAATATGTCTGATATTAACTTATGTTTCTATATTATATGAGTAATTGATAGAATTTAGATTTTACGGCGTGGTGATACAGTCGCTGTTCAATTACAATAATAGTATGTACACGTCCCACTACTGGGCAAAGGTCCACCACGAGGCCCCACGGCCGACAAGCGCACTTCACATAACTTAATATATACTTCATTAACAATCACAATGCAACTCCGGTTGCTCGTATATCGCGTATATGTATATCGTGCTCGTATATATATATATATAATAGGAATCTCGGAGACGGCTCCAGCGATTTTCATGAAATTTAGCATGTGCGTCGATTCGGGGTCGATCGAAAAATCAATTTATCCCTGTTTTTCAGGGAATGAAAAATATCTATAAAAAAATGTTATAATAGCTCGGTCGGTAATCGGGCGGCCCCGAAACAGAAGGCCGCGGATGGTTTCACGTTCATATACACACTTTTTTTTCTATACCAGATCATTGCTTGATTTATTTTTTAGTTTTTTAATTTCCAAAATACACGATTTGCCAAAAAAAAACCGGTACTATTATAGGTTCTCCAGGTACTATTGAATTAAAGGCGAGCGCCCGGAAACTGATCTATCACGGCTGTTGAACAGCAACAGTATTGAGTTCTTTTCTTAGTTTCGATGACAAAAGAGAGTAGAAGTGGTATTATTAATTTTTACCAAGATAAACAAGACGTTTGAGTTATTTGAATTTTGATAAATTTTATTAAAAGTTACTCTTACATTTCGGGGAAGGCAGTTCAAAATTTTCTTATTTTTGCTTTCACCAGAGGTCATAAAATACTTAATTTCTGCTTACGTAAAACCTGAACGGTTAATGGTTCAACTAATAATGGAGAGGATCTTTACGGTTTATATATAATAATTTCAGGACAGGATGAGACATACATGTTTCGAGACATATTTTTCAGGAATGGACATATTAATTAAACTAAGCAAAGCTTGTACTATTGGTACTAGATAACTGATAAAGGTGCTTTTGTTTGGCAAATAAATTAAAAAGCGATGACTGTTGCGGGGCCCTACCACATGTGCCACGCAGCAGCCTCGGCTGTTGCAATAAGTTTTTTCAACAGTTTACTATGAAAGCTGCTTTATTTTATGAAAAACTGCTTTTTCCGTTAGAACAATTTAACGCCATATTATGTATAGGGTAAGTCTAGTTGGTATTCCTCACGCTAAGACCTAGAAGGTCTATTGAGATTGACGACACAATTGGCCTAGTGGGTAGTACACCTGCCTGTTGCGCCAAAGGTCGTTTGTTCGATTCCCACTGCTGGAGAAATATTGTGTGGTGAACCTAGTGTTTTTTCAGTGTCTCAGTGTTTATTTATCTATAACATGTATTTATGTACAAAAGAAAAGTATGCTTAAGTAGGTTTATCAGTTACCTAATACTCACAGCCTGTAAGAACTAAAAAGCCTGCGTTGGCAATATCTGATAAATGTTTTGATTTTTTTGGTGTACAATAAAGAAAAGTACAGTAAAAATGTGGCCTGAAATATTAATTTATACTTAACTAGAACTAACACCCCGCCAGTTTTGACATCGCCGAATATACTCGTCGTATGTAGGAGGTCGTCACAGTTGAAATCCTCACGGAGGCAAGGCTTCGTTCGACACGTGGTGCGGCAAGAGGGAATGGCCCCAAACCGCCCCGCACCCCCACCCCATGACGGCATCTACCGGCGTCGGGGGTTGAAGGCCGACTTCCCGCCGTCTGGTCTGGTACCGGATTGTGTGCTTCGACGATATTATCGATTGTTCGACATGCAACCTTTTAGGCGGCGGTTAGTTAATGCATATTTAGATATATGAGAGAGAAGATATATCGCAGGTAGTCAGAAAAGAGAGCTATGCATTGTTCTTCTATCATAAATATTTGCTAAATTTATCTTCTCGTGTACGTTGTTACACTCGCTTTTTTGAAGTTATACTTTTACCGCGTTTGGAAAAAACAATGAGAGTGAACTTTTACGATGCGCGACACCTGGAAGCGACACCATTTTGACATTTACCTATAATTCCAAGTTATTTAATTAAACCGTTATAAGTTTCGTTTAATGTCTTTTTCACAAACAAAGAGTACGTCACAGAGGATGGGCATACTCTAAAGAAGTATAGCTTCTTACGTGCGTACATAAGTACAGACACTCGTTTTCTTTTAAATAATTTCCACTGCCGAGTAAGGTTATTCTGTGTGGCACGGATGTGTTGCTTACTACGAAATCGGTCTACACCGGCGGTGTTTCCGGACCTATACTCGTTACTTTCATTAATATCGGGCAACGCAGCCGCTTGCCGGTTCCCTCGTTTAAAAGTAACGTTACTGGTCCAAGGCCGCGTCGATTTTTATAATACGAGTGTACCGAACGCCTCGCGGACCGGTACGCTACGTAAACACCCCCTCACTATCAAACACGTAGTTTCCGCAGGGATGTATTCCGCAGAAATATATCGATATTTATAAAAACATCAATATCGGCCTCGATATATCGATGTATCGATATTTTCTCTCAATACCCATTTTTCAAAAAAAATTATATGTTAAGTTTTGAATATTTGATACTAGCTGCTGCCCGCGACTACGTCTGCGTAGAATAGGCTGAAGGTGTAAAATTCAGACAGAAAGACAGATATACATAAAAATATGTATATAAGTACAGCCTGTTTTATTCTGATATATAAGCTATATTATTGTAAAGTTTCATTAAATTCCATTTGGGTGAAAAAGTAACAAACATCCATACATACATATAAACTTGTGCCTTTATAATATTAGTAAGGATCGAATTTGAAAAAATATCGTTTTTGATACGATTTCGATATTGAATATTTTGTATCGATATATGCAATCCAAATACATCGGCAAAAAATATCGATATGGGGACATTTTTTCGACATCCTTAAGTTTCCGTGCGTCGAATCAGTTCGAGCGACGCGTCCGCGTCTCTCGATCGCGTCATCGGGTAATCCTCGCGATTTGTCATCGTCTTTTCACGCGAGCGTTTAGTGCAGTGCGTGATATATATTGTGAAATATTCACTGTGCTATTTTACTATGTATAAATAATTATTCTATGCGTGTGTGTGTAACCGAATTCGGCCGCTGAAATTTTTCATTTGCGTTCAAGTGGATTCATTGTCGAATCGTTTAGATTCACAGTTCGGTCCACCACAGTGTTTTTTTTTTTTAAATTATTTTTTTGTTATCCATAAGCTGTCATCGGATTTGGGACGTGTGTACAGGACATCTGTCGGGTTCTAGTATTACTATATTCAGCGAGACGAATATATCGAATTTGTTCTCAGTCATGTTTACACAAGCGTCCCGGTGTTATAATAACTAGAGAAACGTCTTATTTATGTGTGCGCATTCGCTAAGCGGCTAACCCGTCGCTTGTCGTTAAATAGGATATGATGTGCCGTGGACCAGTCAATTGACCAATATGTAAATAAGTAACCTACTTTTATGAAGGTAAAGTCGATCTCTGCCTGCTCCTCTGGACGACTGGCGTGATACGTTCGCCCAGTGGTCGACTTTTATTTGAGAATTGTAGATTTTCTTTATCGATAACACAAATATCTGTTCTTTGATAGCTCGTCAATAGCTGTTAAAAAACAACTAGCACTTTAAAAGTAAAGTGTAGAGATTAGCACTATAAAAAACTTTAAATGAGTAGCAGTTTATTTTAATATGTTATCGTCTAGCGAATCGTTAATAACATGTGAGAGCCCCAGTTATCGCTACAACACGTTGTTTATATTATTTGTGTGTGCACGCTGATCTGTTGTTGTTCCTATGTAACTAAACAAATTTATCTTCACATTTCGTGTGCCCTTCTCACCTATGTGGGGTCGGTACAGCATGTGAACCATATTGTTAATTATAAGCCACAAGGGTGGCACAAATACTTGTCCCGTGTGCGAATCGAACCCACGACCCCCGGCTTCGGAAACACTGATGTTTAAGAAGATCAAATCTGTACAATTCAGAGTGTTTAGCCATCCCTTTGGCAACTTAAATGACATTTGAGAAGCCATTTGACAGCTGATCAGTTAATTTCTACGATGACCATTGTTTCAGAAACCGGGCGTCAATGTAGGGGACGTTTCTCAAAGGTATCAATTGAATATTTGGTCCTGCGGTCTGCGGTTAGACACTTGTCTTTTTGTGAAAAAATTTTCGTTTAGAACCAGCGTGCTTGATACGATTTTGAGTCTTAGAAGTTTACATTACTAGTTGACAGTACAACTAGTTGATACCCTCGACTTTGCGTGCGTAGCTCCATAGTATTTTTATTTAACAAACAAAGTTTTGGGAAAATCTAAATGTACCTTTTAAATTTTTTAAGAACAAAACAAAAATGGTCTCGTGTGGAATAATTACTTATCTTTCTCAATTTTATTATAAAGGGTGGCTTTTCTAAGTGTATCCATTTTTTTTATTAAATTATACACACATTATCACATTTAAAATAGTAATTATTTTTTATATTGCATTTTTTATATTGTCACTCGTAAGTAATTAATTACATTCATTTGAACTTATCTCAAAAAGTGCCTGATTTATACGCAACTCGTTTATTTTACGCGCGATCATTCATAACTAACACGCACACAAGTTCGTGCACAATAAAATTTAGGTATTTATGAATGACTACCACATTGTCAACACGTTCTGTCTTTTAGGGAATAGAGTGGCATTATTTTTTTTTTTGGAAAAAAAACTTTTTTTTTTTTTATTTCAATAAACGATTATACTACCGAGTCTGAACGTCCTGTGTAAATTTGGGCACTTCTCAAAAAATCACCCTGTATACAAAGAAGAGGTGGATATGATACTAGCGCACTCAACTGAGGCACTCAAATTATGCCAATTGGTGTAAGTAGATTGCCATTTTATAGACCACTAAATCTTTTCGTATACGTTCTCATCTGCCACATACAGCTATATGTGTCGTATTATGTAAAGTGGAAGAAATTTAAAACGCCCCGCAGTATGGACATGCGTCCTCTATAATATTAAACATCGTTGATCTATCTATATCGTTATGGGTGCAATAAAAGCACAGACTTGAAATACCATTAATATTTATATTTTATTCATATTACAAGGAATGTATGACAACTGACTGTGTCAACTAGAATAATAGTAATTGTTTTATGCTTTTTATTTAGAATAGCTTGTACTGTAAAAAGTATTGTAAGTAATGTTTGTATTGTTAAATTCAAAAAACGCCAACAATCTATAATAATCGTATATAAAAACATTTATATCGTATCCACATTAAAGGGTTTAGTAATAATAAATAACAAGTTGCCGATTTTAACTGTATAAATGTACGGACAGACATATAATTATTCCTATAAAATATAGTTCACGCGTCCGCATTTGGTACGGTTCGCCAAATCTGGTTCTAACTCAAACATCTACATCGCAACCTATCCAATATTCAATTTAAATACCTCCGAATGACGCATTATTTACCATATATTAACGGTTAACAAGTTTTATGTAATGAGTCAGTCGTATATTGAGTCTTCTCTTCCCACGTAATCTACAGATAAAAGTAAAGAGTGAAGAAACAGCCTATAAAAGTCCCACTGCTGAGCAAAGGCCTCCTCTGAACTGTGGGAATTGGCGGACTTCACATGTCTTAGAAATATTTTTTTGTTATCACTCCGAAATATGCAGATTTCCTCGCGATGTCTTCCTTCACCGCTGAGCTTGTGATAACTTGAGGACTCCGTGGCGCATTGGCCAATGTATTGGCTTCGGCGTCGGGGGTCGTGGGTTCGATTCCCACACGGGACAACTATTTGTGTGACCCACAGATAGTTGTATCGCATCTGGGTGTTTGTCCACGTGAAATCTTTGTTTGTAAAACGTCCTTACAACACAGTATAATGTTATCCTAAGGTAAGGGCAATGTTTAAAAAAAAAAAAGGAAAAAAATCAGCAATTAAAATTAACATTCACATTGATACCGGCACCGGGTATCGAACTCCGGTTGCTCGTGAGTATATTAAGTATTTAAATAAAACCGTTTAAAAACTTTTAAGTTATACGGTTTTATTTTATGTCTTTTTTTGTGCACTGAAAACTACAATATTGTATTGTCATCTAAATTAAATGTGTGCACCAAATTTCAGATCAATCTGACAATGGGAACGTGCTTAAATTTCAATTTCTAATTTTGACCCAAATAAATAAACAAATTCCGTACGGGTCGAGCTAAATAAAACCGTTTAATTATTAATATTTTTAAATTATTTAAAATTTAACAAGTAATTAAAGGGAAGCGCCAGCTTTCATATAAAAAAGAATCATCAAAATCTGTCCAATCAGTAGAAAGTTCTGAGGTAAAAAATGCAAAAAAATACAGTCGAATTGAGAACCTCCTTTTTGGGAAGTCGGTTGATAAAGTTACAGATTATTCTAATATACCGCAAGAGCTCCCTGCGTCCATAGAGCTGGGGCAAGGACCATTATGCGTGGTAAATTTAATAAGTCCATTGCTGTCGACAGCTAGGTTTGAACTTGAGACGCTCGGGTAGGCTGATATAGCAAACACTCGGCCACTGAGTTAATCTATAAATACGAGTATATATGTGTCATAATTTTGTTTCGCCCGTCGTTTGACCTGAATGAGACCACTGTTTTATAAGTTGGCAAGACGCATCTTCAACTGCTCAATGAACTAGAATTCACGGCGATAAGTTTTTTTTTATTTAAAAACATTTTCCTTACTGTAGACCAACATTATTGGGCGAAATACATAAATTTCACGTGGACACAGATCAGAAACAGTTATCTGCGAGTAACACAAACAGTTGTACCGTGTGCCTAAGCCAATAACTCTGCAACTGCGCCACGGAGTCATAGTATGGTAGGGCCACGGAGCATCAGCTGTTGCACGAATGGGCAGGCCCTTCCGGGGAGTGCCACGGCCTATCTGAAGGCCTTCACACCGGGTGAAGAGGAACTGTTATACTTTATTGTTTCGTCTGGTGAGAGAGGTAGCCGGGGCCCGGAGCCCACTTTTTTGAAAGTTGGCAACGCCTCTACAATCCCTCACGAGTTGTTTATGTCCATGGGCGGCGATATACAGTTGACATCCCATAAAAAAGACTTAATTGAATAAAATATTGCCTGATTTTATTTAGGTACTTAATTGTTTAAGGACAGTGAAAACAAAACTTTGGATCTTCGAAGTTTCAAATCGTAGTGTCACAGATAACTCAAACACTCACCTCCTTGTAAAACTTGTATAGAGAGCCGAGTGTCTTCATTATCATGTTTAATTGCCCTCTGGCGACCCGCATTTGGTAAATGAATCATGATATATAGCGCGATGTAATACGGAGGTTTTTTTTTATGCGAAAAGTTGCCAAGCGGGCAGACGGTTCACCTGATGTTAAGTGAATACCGCCGCCCATGGACGTCTGCAACACCCGAGGGTTCCAGATGCGTTGACAACCTTTTGAAAACTCCCCCCACCTCACTCACCAGACGAAACGCGAAAGTATTATACTTCCACTTTACGCCGGTTTTCTGTGAGGTCGTGGTACTTACCCGCGAAGAGCCTGCCCATTCGTGCAACAGACGAGGCTGCTGCGTGGCCCTACCATCGGTTACAAACTAAGTATTTTTCTCATGAACTATTGATTTATTCATATATTCAAAACTGTATGCCCAAAACCTTTGTACAAAAGCGGCGGTGGTCCAAAAATTAGGTAGGTGCACAAATAAACTTAGAAATAACAAGGCCAACAAGTAATTATCATTTAAAGACTACATTATACATAATGGATGCCCATAAATTACTACGCGGGACAACTGGATACAAAATAACGCAACAATATATACAAAAAGCCGTGATAGCTCAGTGTCCGGGCGCTCGCCTTTAATTCAATCTACTCCAGCGATTTTTTCTATTTTTCTCAGCGGTGATGGTAGACATCGTGAGGAAACTTGCGATATTTTCAAAGTAATGGCTAAAAAATATTTCATAGAAGTCCGCCAATCAGCGAACAACGTCCTATCACTCTTTGTCCAGAGGATGCCTTTGCCCTGCAGTGGGATATGCATAGTTTCTTACTTTTCCTTTTTGAAGCGTACTTTAAGTAAGGTTAGAGATATATTAATTTTAACGATTGTGTACTGATATTGTAAACTGGCACACTCCAAAAATTTCTTTAAATCAACCTTACATCTTACAATTTTTTAAAAATTGTAAAGAACTCTCCATCATCTCATCTCAACTTATACAAACTTAACCGTAAACGTGGTTACGCAAAAGTGTAACCCGTGCTGAGTCCTATCAGGCAAGCTACTTCTTAATTATTTTGGGATACGAATTTAGTCTAGTCGTTTCTACGAGCACTCTTTGGTACATATATATTATACACTAGCTGTCCGCACAGACTTTTTTTTTACAATACAAAAAAAATTAAATTAGCCGAATTGGTCCAGCCATTCTTGAGTTATGCGCTTACCAATATTCATTTTTAGTTTATTACTAGCGACTCGCCCCGGCTTCGGACTGGTGCAATGTATTATACATATAAACCTTCCTCTTGAATCACTCTCTAGTAAAAGAAATCCGCATCAAGTTCCGTCGCGTAGTGTTAAAGCTCTAAGCATACATACGGACAGACAGACAGCGGGACGACTTTGTTTTATACTACGTAGTGAAAACGGATCAATTTTTAAACGTTACCTTTATTAAAACACCATTGTATGCGCCAAATGCGTATAGCTTTTGTGTTCCTGTGCTGCGTTGATGTAACTCGAGCCGCGAGTCGCCTATCGACGGCGGGCTCGTCGGGGTCAAGGTCAGATTCGTAATCCCGGTAAGGATTCCTCAATCAAGGGTCAAGGTCCGATGAGTCAACAGTCTGACCCTAAGTAATCATATCGCCACCATTTGCGACATCAAGCCGAGACTTGTCTACAAGACTTATCGTCTTATCGACTTATCGTATCTTGTCGTGATAGTTACTCATACAGATTAATCATTGGAGTCGTGCGTGGCCCTACCGCAGTAAAATTTAACTTAGTACCCAATCACTTCCACATGAAAATGCAAATACAAATAGAAAACGAGGTGGACGAGGTAGCGTTTGTCGCCGTGTAAGATTATCAAACGATCTGTTTCGATGTCGCCGAATAGAAAAATTATTGCAATCCAGTAAGCATTCTTGACAGAGCTCCCCCCCTCCCCATTGCGTTCTTTAATCGCGTTACGACGCCGTCGCCTTAAATCTCCGAAGGTATGCTAGACGTTACAGACCTTTTGAATGGGGCAGTGCCCCAATCCACGTCTACATTATAATTACGTTATCCGCGACGTGAAAGTGTCCTTTTTGCGCGAACGTTGTTTTGCCCGATGATGACTCCGCGGCGCAGTTGCAAAGCTCGGTCACGGTGCCAGCGGCCGCGGTTCGATTTCCACACGCGACAAATATTTTAAAGCCTCAAAGGCAGTTGTACGAGATTTGGGAGTTTACACTTGGCAACTCCGCTGCGTCAAACAGATTTTATCGTTTGGTGGATACAAACATAGGGAAGTTATTTTTCTTATGTATAAATAACATAACCGCATAAGTGCTTAAACGATCCTCATTTTTTAATTAAAGTGATGTGCTGGATGAAGTAAATATGACTAACGATGAGGACAATTATATGGCGAGAGACTAAAAAAATATTATTCTTTCAATAATTATTTTCTATAGAACAGTGTAATTCGTCGTTATTGTGAATGCTTTTCATTTTCAAAAGACTAAAGTGGAACGCGATCGTATTTAGAATCATTCAAAATAGACTGATCGAATTTGGAAAAAGAAACGATTGCACCTTTAATGAAGAGGAAATAAACAAAACGTTCGCAATTAAAGAGAAATAGAAAGGGGATCGCTGTTTAAAAAATAACAATAAAACTGCACTCGGAGGAGGGTGACAAGAAAATTATAAAGAAAATAAAAGAATAAAATACACAATCGTGTTCGAAATTCAAAAATCGCGGGTATCAGCGATGGCGCCCTGAGCGAGCTTAGGTCAGAGCATGCTGAAGCGCTTCCGCTCAGTCGCACTGCAGACGCGGCTGAGCGAGGACGCGCTGGACGGCCAGCGGATGGTGGTCGAGGAGCTGGAGTGCGCGTACGACGCCACGCAGTACTTCGTGGAGGACGTCGCCGACCCTTGGAGCCAAGGAGGTACATGAGGCCAACTGGATACATGAAGATTTGTCATTAAAAATTATATTGAACTTAGCATAAAGTATTAATTATGAGTTATTAAAGTATTATCATTACGGCTACCGTCAAGTCGGTAGTTTCTTATGATTCTGTCGATGTCCAACCCTATTGGGGTAACGGTCTGTAGGGCTTAAAAAGACGGCGACACGTTTAAGTTTCTCATGACACGGACATGGCGAAATCTGAGGGTATACGTGATATCGCATACGGGATATAATATCCGATGCTTAATAATTAGTACTATATTTAGTAATAATTGTCTCCGTGATAGAGACAGTAATTGAACAGTGGCTCAGTTTCATTCCACTCTTGTTGTTTTTGTATATGCTTCATGTTTGTACCTATATTAATTTCTTTTTATACATAAACATTATCATTCATCAGTGAGGCAGCATTGATTCTCACAGCGTTTGAAAACTACGTTTTGCGCGATCACTTTCATCATAAACGGCCCTTCAGAAGTTACGAAATTATCCTAATCCTATGATAATCACAACGAATTACCCAGGAAAACAAGGCACGAACACTTGCAGATGGCGTCCACTGAACCTTCTTATCAAGATCCGTTGGATTAGGAGACTTAAAAATCCCAGCATTTCGATGGGGTCCGGTCCCCCCTATACGTCCAATTTATGGAATGCACCATTGTGATTGGACCACGCTGTACTAACGTTTTATACAGTAGTTCATGTCACACTTCATGCAGGAGGTACTCTGTCATGTTCCTAGCTAGAGAATATCCAGCTAGTGGTAGCCGTCTTTTCAGGCGCTCTGCATCCGATATTACAGATCGTACTGGTCCCAAAGAATTGGGATACGAAGAATTTGGTATGAGAAAGTTCCACTTGCAATGACCAATAGGTTAGTGCAAGCGGAACTTTCTCGGCATTCAGAGCAATAGCTGCGTCGTAAGACGACCACGGGCCATATATATTGATGATTTCTTATATTACTTTATGAATGGTGCGTTTATGCAACTACCTTGTACTACGATATTATACACTACCAGGTTTTATACCATTCATGCATGGTACCCTCCCAATTCAGTATCACACAAGTGTAATTAAGTTTGCAATGGTTCTTATTCCCTATTGCGTTTCTATCAGTATCATGGATCAAGATTTGGACTTCATAGTGCATCATCATTGTCATCTCAGCCTCTTTTAGGTTACTGCTGGACATAAGCCACAGACTGCCACCTGCTTCCATCGACTTCCCACACTCTTGCACATGTCGTCACTCCATCTGGTGGAGGGGTGTTCTACACTGTTGTAGGGCCACTGTCCATATCGGCTATCGACTCGAATCTATTATTTACATAATTATAGATGACGCCATAACTGCCCACTCGCCAGTATTATAATGTAACAGGTACCCTGTTGTTGTTTGAGCTCGACCTCGGATTGCAAGTCAACTACAGGCACCGTCGTTATTTATAATTGTATTCATAGCGTTAATTATCCATGATTTTATGTGAAAAATAATAATTCCTTAAGCGGCGGGTTCGCAGAAACGCTATCCGGTCCTCGCCTATGAATGTGTAATGAGGTCATTATCATTACCCGAAACGAGTTTCACGGATTGTGGTGTTCGAAGTCGTGGGACGGTGTCGGTTTGCTCTACCCCATCGAAATACAAGTCTATGATGGGATTTTTTTGTAGTTTCTCTTTTGGCTCCACGTCAAAGTCAAAGTCAACATTTCCTTATTCAAAAATGCTTATTTTAAGGCCTTATTGAACATCACGACCAACTATTACCGTTTCACTAAATTAGACCTAACCAGAGAAGGACCGGCAAAAAACTGCATTTTTATAGGCAATGTTACGGAACCTTTCGTGCGCCAGTCCGACTCGCAATGGCGAATGCAACGTCAGTAGCTGCTACATGACAATACCACGGTATAAGTGGATATCTCTATCAATATACTTGTCCCGAACCGGAAACTCAACAAGAGTTTGACACTAATTAAACTACTAATTTAACGGTGGTAGGGCCACGACCTCACAGAAAACTGGCGTAAAGTACAAGTTACACTTGTGCCTTTCGTCTGGTGAGTGAGGTAGCCGGGGCCCACATTATTAAAAGGTGGCAACACATCTGCAACGGGTGTTGCAAATGTCCGTGGGCTGCGGTTATCACTTAACATCTGGTGAACCGCCAGCTCGTTTGCCACATTTTCACATAAAAAAAGCGTTTTAATGCAGTCGATGCGAACGGTCCATAGTCTTAGGCGTCTATTCTATTAATCTAGTGCCTTTCGACAGATGCGTTGGAGAGGGAGCGCCTGGCGCAGCACGCGCAGCTCCGCGAGCTGGTGATGAGGGGGGACGTGGCCGCGCTGAGGGCGAGGCTGGCGGCCCTGGGGCCGGCGGCCGCGGTGGTGGCCAACCTCACCCCGGGCGGCGCCAACACGCTGCTCTACGTGTGAGTACGGCCCTAACCTCAGGAGAAATTTCCCAAAGACACACCGTCTGTTGTGGAGTAGTTTTTTGAAATCTCCTCGGTATTTGGTTTGGTGGGAAGTAGATGGCTCTAATCTAATTCTATATAATATTGTATATATATTATACAATTATTATTTTGTTGTTTCACCTATTCTCGTGTGAAGAGTTTCACTGACTGCGATTTTAGAAAACGGTATTAAATTTATGATATGCATATAATAATAACATAAATGGATTGTTCTTAGTACACTTGTACCCTTTCTCTGTTTTGAGACGATATTCTTCTACATAATTACAATATTCAAAAGGAGATTTAAAATTAGATTAGCGATCGATCAATTTCCGCACGCCTCGAGTGCTCACGAACAATTCATTTACCTGATCGATTTCCACCGATTATATAGATGGCAGTAACTTGTCTATGGTTGCGTTTGACCATATCCTACAGTAGGGTAAAGAATGTTTCCGTTCAGGGCGTGCGAGTCCGGTGTTAGGGCGGCGGCCGCCGCTCTGGTGGGCGGGGGAGCGGACGGGCGCGCCCATCCCGTCACCCGCTACGGGCCCCTCTACATCGCGTGCTACCACGGCCACGCCGACACCGCGCGACTCCTCCTCGACCACTTCCCGGAGGCGGTGCAGGTGACAAGCTTAACCCGTCCCATCCGTCCACTACCATTACTACTACTACTTCACAATGCACGTAACGTAGGCTAAAATAAGAATAAGAATATTTAAAAACAGAGCAACTGTTGAGTTTCTTACAGATAATATAAATTATTATGTAATTTGACATTTCATAAGAACAGGGAAACGGTCTGTTTGAATAAAGATATTTGGAATTTGAATGGGTTCAGTTCGAGTAAATGAGATTCTCGAGTGGTGCCTCTACGAGGCAATCGTAGTGTAGTACGACCCCCACTATTTGGAGCGACAACATGTGCAAGTACTGTGCTTCGTCGCGGTCTGTGGGGGAGACCTATGTTCAGCAGTGGACTCAAATAGGTGGTCATGATATGATGATGATGATGACGAAAGCTACTTTTAGAGATTTATCAAGTTTGAGTTGATCTTTCGAAACTTTTGTAGCATTCATTATCACAGTATAGACTTAAGCATTAAGAGTCTCAATGTCATTTACAACCCGAGGCACATCCAGTTTTATAATTATTAATCTTGTGCAATCTACGCTGAGGTGCTAATTGAGTCTTCGCTTGCAGTAGTGGTTGTACATTTAATTTTTGACTCATCCTGTAGGAATTTAGGATTCCTAGAACTTGATATAAAACACTATTGATATAGGTTAAAAACTGTATTGTCCGAAAATTAATAAATAACTCGATACTGATAGATTAATGCCGATTATTTTAGAACACAACAAAAATGATGAGGCGTGCAATTGACGCCGTTTCGTAATAATTATGTCGAGCGTAGCTCGTACACATCCCTATGTCAAAATTTTGGTTCTTTTAATTTCAATAGCCTAACGAATCATCATCGGGATGGTTACTCCTTTGTTGGTCCCGTGTAAGAAATTATCAACAGCTCCTTAATTTTTTTTTTATTATCCGAGCTGAAGGTTAGCAAGAAGAATTTGGAATGCTAGACATTTTTACCCTACTCAAAATAACTATCATTCTCTCGCCACTTGACCATATTGTTTTCAAAAGCCAAAAGGGCGCCGAAACTTTACCTTTATACATTATCCCTTCCGATTTTTAGTTACCTATGGTCTACCTACGGTGGTTACGTATTAGTTTAGGAGTAGATGATTGTTTTAAGTTTAATGTTCACGAAATAGTTCCTTTATCTTCAAGGAACTCAGGTATTGATAAGTTCAATTTTCAATTACAGCAAGAGACTGTGGAGAAATGGTTGCCTCTGCACGCGGCGTGCATCGGTGGCCATGCTGCCCTGGTCACGCTCCTGCTGGACTACCCTTACCCAGAGAGAGTGCTGCGCAGCTACACGTGAGTGCAAGCAGCGCTTGTGAAGTTTCACAATGCAGCCTGTCATTAGGGACATGTGAAGCCAGTAAGGGATTGTCGAAAACCCCACCGAGTTGCTTTAATTTAAACCAAAATCCCTATTTTGTTATCCTAATATCTCCAGTTCAAATCTTGCGATGCTCCTATTGTTGTATATACTTTATTTTTTTATTTGAGATGGCGGTAAGCGAGCTGGCAGTTCACCTGATGTTAAGTGATAACCGCTGCCCGTGGGGTTGCACATGCCTTGCCACCTTTTAATAATGTGGGTCCCATGTATGTGTAACAGGGAAGATTTGTGTGGTCGCACCACATACTAGTGAGTTGCGGACCACAAAGTTTGTTTTTCAAAATATCGATAATTTCACCTGACACAGTGTCAAAAGTATGTGCAATGTCTTGTCAAAATTTCTAACCAATACAGAACTTTTAACTTGAGATTTTAGTTCTTTACAAAAGATAGATAAAACTGAAGAAGCTATATTTAGATATTACTATTGAGTGCATCTCTCCTATATTTGCTACGTATTCTAGCGCATTAACAAATTTACGAGAGGCTTGTGTAGACTATGAGGCCGCGGGGTACCCCAAGGCCGCAGCCTAGTTCCTCCACTGTTGACCGCTTGCAGCGACGCATCGGGCCAGTGGCGCTACCGGTTCGCCTTCGACGTGAACGCGCGCGACGCGAGCGGCCAGAGCGCCCTTTACGTCGCGTGCACCCTCGGCAATTCGGCCGTCGTGGACGCGCTGCTCGCCTTCTCGCTGCCGAGAGAGAGGGTGCCCAGGGACCAGGTACGATAGCATAGCTCTTCATGCCGTGGGAGGTGGTCCCGTAGGCCAAGGCAGTGCTCTCACACCAACAACTTTGATGGTCAATTATTATATTCAGAAAACATTAGGAAGTTATCTTCGTTCATTCGCTTTTGATCATCACTGGTTTTATATTTTTGTATTCTCTTGTATATTTCTTTGTTATCTTAAGATAGTAGAAAATTCTACTTTCGCAAAAAAAACTTTTATAACAATTAATCCCAATAGTGCAGGTGTACAGAAACGCAAAAGGTAAGACAGATAGACGGAAAAGCACATTTGAGACACGCATTATTATAATAGACGTCGTGTGAGAGTTAAATCTAGTCCCCGTCTTGCCACTGCGAGGAAAACCCTTTAAATATATTTGTTCACATGCACTCATACGTGTGAATTCACCTCACCGATTGCATAACCGCATAACATGAAGTCAATCACGGTCGTGTCCTAGCTAGACCCTGATAAAGTTGAACATGGGCATTTTGGCACGTAGACAGGGGATGGATAGACGACCACAAGATGGATTGAAGACCTGCTCAAATTGGATCGAGCTTCGTGACGTTCTGTTGAACCTGTTCTCAGCAGCGGCTGAAATGATAGTTCATTGGTCCAGCCGCTGGGCTCGTCCGTATTCCAAGAGTTTCGTTGCTTCAGCCGAAGGCGGAGGAGGCGGCCGCTCCCCCCGAGCCCGTGGGCGCCCAGCAGGTGCTGAGCCCCCACCGGGCGGGCATCTCGCTCGGAATCCACGCCATAGTCAGCAAGCTCACCGGCTCCACCAAGGCGGTAATCTTGCTCTCCTTAACCGGTACTCTGTTCGTTGTTGTATCCAGTTCCATTCTACTAAAGTATGAACGACTCTATTAAAGAATCACGTAAGAAGTTAAGGATTGCTCAACAAATCGTTGGTCTTCTTTTAACGTGCCTGATGCCGCCGTAACTGAATAGCTATCCGCCGTAACCGTGTTTTTAATTAAAAGTTTCATTTAAGTACGTATTGAAAAATACATATGTTAGAAATGTACATGTTTTGATCAGGTATCTAGAATTTAAATGATATAATTTGACAAAACGGTTCTTCGATAGAGCCCAGCATCATCCCAACCCTCTGGTGGTAAGCGCAGCAAACTACCAACCCGACACAAACGCGAACGTAAACAAGCGTTACCCGCGAAACGTCCTCATCGACCCGGTCGACGAAGAGGACTTAGATACGATGGACCCACCGCCCGGGGTCCCGCCGGATAACACTACACCCACAGTTAGTGTAACAACAATCACACCAGTTCGCCCTCGCCTCCGAGCACGGCGAGACCCACACAACGCGTACACAAGGTACACCCGCGTTCCGGGGCGGTTCTCACCGCTCCCAGCCACCGATTAGCTAAATGCACAGTCGACGGCCGTCGGGGTCTCGGTCCGAACCGCGACCTCGACGGCCCTTAGATGACACACCATAGTTGTTAAACGCACGCATGAGCACATGCGCGACCCTACCCATAGCGGAGGGTCCAAACCCGTGGGTTCTGGCTAGCCCACCGGTTCTGCGTCCGATGAAGCTTTAATAGTCTCGGGACTGAAAGCAAAAACATCAGTTAATACAAGAACAAATGATAAAATTATGATATCTCCATTACCTTCTCCCTTTAACACTGGTTTTAGGAATGTGTGTATCATGAAATGGTACCGATTGAACAACCAGCTTTTTTAAATACTCGAGGAGAATGAGGAATATCTCATATTGATGGAAAAATAAACATGATTATTTTTTAGCAAGTAGTAAATTATTTATTGGTAGGAAAAGATGGCAGGTGAGCGAATTAATATTTGTTTGACAATGCCACTCAAAAACCTATGGGGTTTAATTATTGATAAAACCTTACGCATCCGTCTCACTCCGGCCGGAGGGAGGGAGGGAGAGGGTGCGCTCTCACGGCGTTCGGTGCGCAGGCGCAGGAGACGGAGGGCGAGGGGGCGGGGCGGGTGCGGCCCGTGCGGCTGGAGGCGGGCCGCGGCGCGGACAGTTGCGTGGCGGCCGCCGTGCGCGGCGGTCACCTGCGCGTGCTGCAGCGGCTGCTGGCGGCGGGCGCGGCGCCCGACGCCAGCGCGCAGCCGCCCACCGGCATGGTGAGGATTCCAGCGATGCCACGCGTGGACCGTCACCACCCGATAGACTACAGAAGTTGACCTTGATTTTATTACTTCTCCTACATTTGGTGGCAAGCTTGGTCTCCGGGGGTTCGTGGGATCCATTCCCATTCGCGGAAGCTTAGGGAACGAAACGCTGGTTCAACTTCTTAAAGACATGATTCACATGTGCCTACTCTACCTAGGTGGGATAAAGGCAAGAGAAGGAAGAAGATACACTACAAATTTCTTGTGGCGTGATAAAAAGTCTACATTGGCCTAGCATATACATTCTCTTCCCATAATGTTTTAATTTCAATTGCCCGTTGTTGTGACCCTTATCGCCTGGATGAAATACAAAAAGGCCTCCCTACTTCTATACAACCCCCTCTCCGGCAGGAGGAGGGCGAATTCCGCGAGGCGAGGCGCCGCTCCCGCAGCGCGTCCGCCGCCTGCGCCCGCTCCTCCGCCTCCCCCTCGCCCTCGCCCTCGCCCTCCCCTCTCACGTCCAGGGGCGCCTACGACGACCGTGAGTGCTCTCTCCCCTCCCGATAAGAGTTGTTTTGCTCTGGCAACTATATCGGCGCGGTGTCATATTTCAGAGCGGTTCGATGTTAGTAGAAAGAGTTGAAAACTTGAGAAGGCAAACACTCCACTGCCCTTTTGATCACCTACCAGACCTGTATGCTCCTTATATAACTAGGATCCATACTCGCTGCAGCAGCAGAAGTTCTACAGTAAAGCCACACAATAGCTATGAGAGATATGGGTTCCGCTTCTACCTAGATTGCGTAGAATAAGTAAATCTTTTATGGGACAATGTTATACGCTTTTACAACAAAATCCCAGAAAACGTTCAAAATGAATCCGTTGCTAAATTCAAAAAACTCTTAAAGGAACGTTTGTGTGTTAATGGCTATTATAGTATTAGTGATTATATGAATGATAACACACTCTGGAAATGAATTGATCGCTCCAGGCTCTTTTAAGTGGAGTTTAATAATTGTACACATATTTGTAATTTTTTTGGCAAGTAAAAAAAAATGTCCCGCTGAGTTTCTTACGCCGGTTCTTCTCAGGTCAGTGGCTTACCTTCCGAACCGGTGGTAGAGTTTTTTGACTATCAATAAGTAAGTGAATGCTTCTATATTGAATAAAGATATTTGACTTTGATTTTGACTTTGACCTAAAATATAAAATAAAAAAGGACCAAAGTGTCCACACACGTTGCGATCTTATGTGGAAACAAAAATCTATTGTTGGATTTTTAAAAGATATAGCCTTTTTAGTGCTTTTCCTTTGCCTTTCTGCTCACTTTCATGAAATCTAAAACGTTCATAGAGAAATCGACGAAAAGTTTTTCGCCCGCCGCGCAGATTTGACCCTGCGTCTTCCGTGATACGCGAAAGAAGGCGAAAGATTTCGTCCATTTTTCTACAAGTTATGCGATATCATGTGTATCGAAACGAGATGGGTGTGCACGCGCCTTAATTTTGTGCTGTGGCCAAGAAAGGTCCGTCTCGAAGGCCGTGATGAGCCCTAGGCTGTTCATCCAGGGGAGGGCGCGTGGTCGGCGCTGGCGCTGGCGGCGCTGGCCCGCAACGTGCCGGCGCTGGACATGCTGCTGGCGGCGGGCGCCTCCGACCCGGGCGGGCGTGCGCTGCCGCTGTGCGCCAGGCACGGGCTCGCCGAGCCGCTCGCCGCGCTGCTCGCCACCAAGGTGCCGTTTGACACCGTACTTGTGCGGTTTACCGTTCTATCGGTATTGATGCTACGGTTGTTTTCTCTCACGGGAGCGAACGCCTTACATGTAGCATATTTTTGTTGATCCCAAACTAAGCAAAGTCTGTTCTATGGCTAGTACCTATATTGATGAACATACTTTATTTTGTAAATAAATACATATTGTAGATATATAAACTCGCAGACACTAGAAAAACACTATGTACTCTGACGCAAGAGACAGCGTCACTTTCCCCTACGCCAAGTAGGTCTTGATACTCGTAGTTGTCATGCGTACAGACGCATGCGTAACATCGTTAACCGGACCGAATGAGCAGGTCCCACGTTAACAGTGTACTCCGTGTGCCACCCTGAGGTCTGACCCCGTCCCCCAGGCGTACCCGGACCCCGAGCACCGGCTGAGCCGGTCGTCGATGAGCGAGGCGGTGCTGAGCGCGCGCGACGCGGACCCCGAGCTGTCGTACAGCGCGCGCTGCCCCGCCGCGCCCGTCATGCTCAACTGGCGCGAGCTGCGCTGCCAGCTGCCCACCGTCAGGTCGGCTGGCCCGGACGACACACGCGCGCACGCACGCACGCGCACACGCGCACGCACACGCACACGCACACGCACACGCACACGCACGCACGCGTTATAGAGGTCGCTGTCGGAGAATGATTGCCTTAAAAAGAAGTGTTAACAATAGTTCTCCGATACGGTGAGCAGCGGCGTCCACTGGCAACGTTTCCATGGACGTCAGCGCGGCCTGGATTTGTAATCCGTTTACGCGGTTTCAGCAAAACTTGACTCGTGGGATTGTGTCGTTTTTATTTCTTATATGTGTGAAAGTGGCAAACGAGCTGGCGGTTCACCTGATGTTAAGTGACACCCGTACGATTGCAGATGCGGTGCCACCTCTTAATATTATGGGCCCCGGCTACCTCACTCGCCGGAACGCAGATTTGCTACACTTCCACTTCACGCCGGTCTCCTGTGAGGTCGTAGTACTAACCCAGGCCATGCAACAGCTAACACTGTTGCATGGCCCTTACCATCGAACGTCCTACAACAATGACAATGTTTTTGTACAAAACAGTAAAGAACAAAGAGAGTGATGCTCACCGTCGAAGGCAATAGACAGTGCCGTCACCTCTGATATCGTTGCAGAAGAGCGTTTCGTTGAGGGTGGCAATTGAGCCGAGGAATGTCAGCGATGGTCGCCTCCACGCGTGACGATGTACAGCGTACCATTTGTTGTACCATTCTAGGATTTTGATTGTAGAATTCCAATTCTTAAGTGCTTCACACCATCGTAGCTTCGTGAATCAACGCTCTAGAAATATCTCGAATCGGCTCCACCTATAGTCACCTGTATGTCGCCCAACCGGCACCTATGCCCTCGGGCAGGATGAGCTGGCTGCGCACGGCCGCGCTGCGCGTGAACCCCAAGCTGAGCGCGTCCGGCGGCGGCGCCCTCCTGGCCATCACCAGGGTGGAGCTGGCCAACAACGAGCTGCGCGAGCTGCCCAGGGAGCTCTTCTCGCTCCTCAGCCTGAGGTCGGTGCTAAATAGTTCGTAGTCCGTAAGCGGCTAGTACATAGCCAGGGTTATTGTAGTGCGACTAATCAAGTGTGATTTATGTCTCTGTATATGATGACGCAGTTGTATTGGTTTGATTTCGACTCGAGTCGATCATCTACCGTCCACCACAATTGGATGACGTGCCGGATAGTTTTTGTACGTAAAAGGAAAATGTTCTGTTTTATTCTTAATCAATTTTATTTTGTGCCAATGCTTTATAAGTGCCGTTTTTTATAGGAGTATAAAATAAAGTCGTGCATAATTTTTATTTGGTCCTGATATTATACAGATTTACCTTAAAATCAAAGAATGAATTAAAATTCATATTGCTGATGAGGTGTTTGGTACCGTGGTTGAATGTCTAATTGACACGTATGATATATGACGTAAAAGTTTGCCGCGGACCCCCTCAGGTACCTGAACGTGGCGCAGAACAAGCTGGAGCGGCTGCCGACGGCCTCCGACCCGCTGGAGGAGGAGCTGGAGCGGGGCAGGCGCTCGCGCAGGGCGGCCGGAGCTGGGGCCAGGGTCTACACCGCGCCCCTGCTGCAGGACCTCTACCTGCAGGTGTGGAGGGAGCACTCTTCGGATTGGTGGACAATTAAATTGCGTTTAGAACGGTATACTTCAATTGACTATGCCTGGAAACATCAAACGAAGATCTTGTGTATGATTGATTAAGTGCCAAGGCATCGGCTTCGAAGTCGGGGGTCGTCGGTTCGCTTCCCGCACAATTGTTTCCTCTGGTTTTGTCTCCACGTGGAATTTATGTGGGAAAGCGTGCTCGTAGAAACGAGTAGACTCGTATCCAAAAAGAAAATATTTTAATCGCCGTTGTAAACAAAGGATTAGCACGAATTGCGTGTTCTCCCTCTCATTCATTCAATCATTCATTCTTAACCCTGCCACAATGATGTAAGCGAAACGAACGCCGTGCGCTTCAGGACAACCGGCTGGAGGAGCTGCCCGCCGAGCTGTTCGAGCTGCCGTCGCTGTGCAGCCTGGACGTGTCCAACAACAAGCTGCGCGCGCTGCCCGCCTCGCTGTGGGCGGCGAGGCGGCTGCGCGACCTCAACGCCGCCCTCAACCACCTCCGCGAGCTGCCCGCGCCCCCGCCCGCGCACGAGGTGCCCCGCAGATATTCATTCACTCGTTCATTCATTCACTCGTTCATTCATTCACTCGTTCATTCATTCATTCGTTCATTCATTCATTCGTTTGTTCGTTCATTCAGTGCCCCAACACCCTCTACACGGTGATGACCCTTACCCGACAGTGCGACACGTATATGCGGATATTTTACTTTTATTTACTTCACCGGGATCTGAACACTGGTCGGACGTGACAATTCAAAGGAGAAGCCCCGATCGACGTTCTATCATGATGAAATAAATAAAGAAGATATACAATCGAACATTTACCTCTTGATCGTTTCAGTCGCATCCCTCGTCTCCGGCGGAGGCGTGGTCGCCGACGGGCGCTTCGCCCTCCACCCCCAGCGGAGCCCCCGAGGCCCCACATTCGGTACGTGCTAGCTGCTGCTAAACGCAGGGGGAGGGACATCGCATTCCGCCCTCAATAGTTTCCAACTCGGAATTCTTGACTGCACTCAAGTTTAGACACTAAGCTGACACGATTTCTAGTGTTGACTCTTGTATTTTTTCTTAGTTCAGGATAAAAAAATTAAGATTAAAATGAATGCGAGAAGGTGTTACACGGTGGTTCACCTGATGTTAAATGATAACCGCCGCCCTTTGACATTACCAACACCCGTAGGGTTGATGCGTTACCACCTTTTAATAATTGGACTATGCTTACATCACTCACCAGACTAACGTAGGAGTATTACACATCTACCCGTGTTCTGTGAGACCGTGGCACTTACCCGGGCTAAGACTTACGTGGCCCTACCACGGTTGAAAACCACGACTCGAAGCAGAAGCGTATAATATATTTGTGTTTCTCGAAATATTCCAAACAAATGACAATTTGAATTGACATGTCCACATTTTCAAAGTAATAGAAACAGTGCGAAACGATTTTAGAAGTCTTCATCGCGCAGCCCCTCCATCGAGGGCGACAGCTCCCCTGAAGAGGAGGACCCCGTGCTGACGGTCGGCAACCGCGCCGGCAACGCAGTGTAAGAGCGAGACGCACTGATCCCTTTCCCACATCGTGGCCCTTGGTGACGGACGTCGCAAACGTTGGCTACCATATAAATTCACTTGTACTCCATACAGTTGACAAACAGACATTAGTTATTTTATACACGTACATATGATAATCATAATCGATAGGTTAATATTTTTTTATTTTTTGACCCATTGAAAATAACAATATTTTTTTAAAAATATAGATAGGAAAACAATAATCCAAGCATTAATATAAGATGGTTTGGAAATAAGACATGAATTGTAAAGGGTATAATTTTAATGAAGCTACACAAAAAAAAAGAAAGATAACAAAATCGCAGAGTTTTTTGCCGGTTCTTAAGTTCCAGTTTAGTGCACTGGTGGTATTTTTATAATGTTCTATTTAGCCTATATTGTACGAGGAAATATTGACTGAACGAAATTGTAGTTTTCGAATGATAGTAAAAGCATCGATATAATCGATTATCTTATTTAATTTATTTTTATTTTTTTTTTAAAAACACTGCCCTCACTTTAGGATAACTTTATCCTGTGTTGTAAGGACGTTTTATAAACATAAGTTTCACGCGGACAAACACCCAGATGCGAAACAACTATCTGTGGGTCACACAAATAGTTGTCCCGTGTGGGAATCGAACCCACGACCCCCGACGCCGAAGCCCATACCTTGGCGACTGCGCCACGGAGTCATCTAAACATCTCAGCTGGGCGGAGGCGCGCCGCTTCCACGCGTGGCGCGGCCCCCTGGCGCCGTCGCCCCCGCCCCCCCCCCCCCCTCCCGCCGGGGGGGCGTCGTCGCGCCGCCCCCCCCCGGCGCCCCCCTCGCCGCTGAGCGCGCTCAACCTGTCGCACAACCAGTTCACGGGCGTGCCGCCGCCGCTCGCCTGCCTGGCGCCCGCGCTCACGCGCCTCAACATGGCCTACAACTCGCTCAGGTGCCTGATTATTGAAGATATTTAACGAGAAATAATCCACGTTTTTTTTTTTTTAGAAATGTACATAAATTTTACTAATAATCTCTGCACTTAAGATTAAATATTAAAATTCTTAGAAAGTACGAAAAGTTTTTCGCCGCGAACAGCTTTAGTGCATTTTTACGGTTCCGTACCCAAAGGGTAAAACGGGACCCTATTACTAAGATTCCGCTGTCTTTTTGTCTGTCTGTCTGTCTGTCCGTCTGTAACCAATCCGTATCTCATGAACCGTCATAGTTACATAGTTTAAGTTTCCACACATGATGTATACCTATTGTTGCTGTAAACCTGAAATTAAATTTCCCACACTTATAAGCACACTTAGTAAGCCTAGCTGCTGCCCGCGACTACGTCTGCGTAGAATAGGCTGGAGGCGTACATGGACATTCAAACAGACAGACATATATACATAAATTATATAAATTATAGCCTATGTGTTATTTTGATGCATAAACTATATTATTATAAAGTTTCATTAGAATCCATTCCGTAGTATTTGCATGAAAGAGTAACAAACAAACATCCATCCATACATACAAACTTTCGCGTTTGTAATATTAATAAGGATATAGAGAAGGTAGGAGAGTGCAGTATGCTTATATTTTTTATAATTATGTGTAAAAGATACATTAAATCAATAGAAAAAAAAATTACACACTATGTATAATTAATTATGGTCGAATTTCGACCAATGGCTGACCACTAGTTTTATAAAAATCCGATATGTTCCGATTTTCTATTTACTTATGAGCCCTAATGATTACTGATCATTTCATCTATCCCCCTGACCACACTTTTGATAAACCTGAGTGAGGGTACCGTTGCAGGTCGATGTCGTACGTCACGTCGTACCCGACCAGCCTTCGCCAGCTGGACCTCAGCCACAACGAGATCACCTGCTGGCCGAGTCTGCCGCAGGTCAGATGCAAGCGCCAGCACTCTTCTCTATCTAAAAATACAAGTGGGGGGGTTTTACTGCTAAGTAATGGAACAGTAATGGTATAATGTCACGGTCTGTTAATCTACTGACTGACTCATAGTGAAACTGCACTCTAAGAATGGTCTAACTATTACTTAAAATTGTTTTGTCGACGTCTAATGGTTAGTTTTTAACTAGGCTTAGTTCGTGTTGTCCCTTTCAAAGGTTTTGTAGTGCTTTTCTATGCACTTGAGATAAAATTTTAATGTACCCTGTGTCCACTACGATACGCGTCCGTCGCTCTAACCACTGAGCTAAACAACTTATCTTCGCACCGACCAAATATCAAATACATTGCTATCATCCCATTGTACCATTGCACAAGAAGAAGAACAAGCAACTGGGCGATTGCAGGTGGAGAGCTTCGGGCTGGCGGACGGGGAGCCGCTGGCGTGCTTCTGCCCCCAGGGCGGGGGCGGGGCGCAGGCGCAGGGGCGCCCCCACTCCGGGGGCGCGGGGCAGGGGCGCCCCCGGCCCAGGAGCGGCGGCTCGGTGCGCGCGCAGCTGCTCAGCGCCGCCTGCCCCGCCAGGAGGCACCTGCGCCTCGAGGGGCTCAGGACCCTGGTGAGCCTTGACTCTTCCACTCGAAGGGCCCAATCGAATAATAACATTACCTGTTAGTGTTCCATTGTTGTACGCTTCTGAGCAATCTTTACGGTCACTAGTCTCCGGCGTCGGGAAGTTCGGTTTAAAATCAGTTACAAATATGCACCAAAATAACGTACGGACAAACAAACAAGCAGATTAATAGGAGCGCGGAAAACATATCATGCATCGAATTTTACTGCGAAACATTTTTATTATTATTTACCTAGTTGCGCCAACGGAGTAGTCACACAATTTAAAAAAAGAAACCAAAACAAATGATTAGTGTTACTCCAATTATAGGTACAATCAACTGTTTTACGTTCTGTCTACTGGCTGAGATAGTCGGGGCCCACTTTTTTAAAGATAGGCAACACTAATCACTGGACATTATTTCAACACAGTTTTGCCCGTGACATAGCTGGCGAGAAAGTTTGCAGGTTTAGAGTGAGGCATGTCCACATTCGAATTGCCAATTTCCAGATGCTGGCGAACAACCTGCTGACCCGAATCCAGCTCACGACTGACGACGACGGACTGGCGCCCACGATCAGCGACCAACCCAACGACGAGGAGGAAGAGTGGGTAAGCCACTTCTATAAAAAAAACAAAGTATCAGCCTGTACATGTCCCACTGCTGGGCAAAGGCCTCCTCTGTACAGACGGTATCAGGGCATAGTCCACCACGTGGCCCAATTGCCGATTGGCGGACTTCACATCGAGTGCCCGGACACTGAGAAGCCTCGCTCATATCTTAATTATCAGCATCTAGTGTGCCCTTCAGTCTACTTCCGGTGTTACAGCACCGGCTATGTGAGCACTAATATAGCGGCTCGTTTGTTAATATCTCCATAAAGCTGCTCCCAAATGCGCACCGTTCCACATCGAGTTGTCATTTGTAGGTAAAACAGGACCTGCCATCTAGTAGCAGTAACAAGAACTAATTATTTATAATTTAACTTCATTGGATCTAAATGATAAAGATGGCCATCCGGAGAATGTTCTTACTTTTGTAATCGATTGATGGTTCGTTCACTCATTCATTCATTCGATCATAGATTTGTCCAACACTTGATCTCGAATAGCCATTAGAACTAGTCGCGTTCACGGTATTTTGATATCCGTTTGAAACATCGGCCCTCATATTAAACTTTTTGTTATAATCATTAAGAAACTAAATCGGACAAAGCTCGTAGCTTTTGCAACTAAGATTAATTAGAATAGAATAGAATAGAAACCATATATTCAAGACATCTCACAACATCAATTTACAGTATTCAAAAATTAAAAAAGGAAAAAAAGAAAGAAAGTAAAATTTGTACACGATGCATGAAAAGGTAGGGTCCTAAGGTCCTGAGACCTTAGAATTGGTTCTCAGTCGGAACCGCTGCAGTGCCAACCAATACGAACACGCCTGCCTCCAGGGCTCGGGCTCCAACGTGAAGGAGCGGCTGCTGTTCCCGCTGCTGTCGATGCTGGACGTGTCCTGCAACCTGCTGCGCGCCGTCCCGCCCGCCATCCACGAGCTCACCAACCTCTCCGTGCTCAACATCAGCGGCAACAAGGGTGGGCGGCTTTTCGGATATGCTAACATTGGGACACGTCTTTTCAATCGTTTTCGCGCTGCGGGATTCGAACCCAGACCTTTTGGGCAACGCCCAGACGCTCTATCCGACTGAGCCAAGCGGCCAATGCTCAATAGTCTCGAAAATTCACCACGTATTAGGTATTAAAGCACGCAAATTTGACGATGAGGAAGGGCAATCGGCAGAGATCACCGAGCTGCCGCCCCAGATGGGCCTGCTGACGCGGCTGTGGAACCTGAACACGGTGGGCTGCTCCCTGAGCGAGCCGCTGCGCTCGATGGTGGTGGGCGCGCGCTGCCGCAGCGTGGACGTGGTGGGCTACCTGCGCTCCGTGCTGCAGGAGGCGCGCCCCTACGCGCGCATCAAGCTCATGCTGGTCGGCCTGCAGGTGGGTGCCTCTGGCCCCTTCGTCTTATGGAGCCGCATAGTGATGTGCGTAAGAGCAATAAGGGAAATAGTAATGGTATAGAAACAGGAATAAGTTGTGAATCACTGTCCGAGTTTGAAGGACAATATCACCTGCAACTTCTCCAGGTCTACTTTTGAAAGCAATTTATCCACTGTGCGCGAGGAGATATCACAGGAATGAAAGAATTACAGTAAATACGTGGAATTATAGCAAAATAACAACGTTGCTGCCTGCTATGACTACACAATGTGACGACCAATCAGGAGCTAGCGATAAGGAGGTAAGGAGGACCACAATCACTCATCGATCGCACGAGGTTCGACAACCCAATTGATAACGCAATGAATATAGTAAACCATTAGACCAATCCAAAAGAGAACAGTAGAAATTACTTGCTTCAGATTAGGTCGTGTAAATGTACTTGGCATGACGGATGTCGTTCCTTGCTATCTTCGGCTTTATAATTGGATTGCGTCCTATCAGGGCATCGGCAAGACCAGTCTGCTGGAGTGTCTGCGCCAGGAGTCCGGCATCCACCACAGGAGGAAGCCCACCGACGTAAGTGCTTCTGCGCTTATGCCCGGTTCCTATATTCAACGAATGGCCATTCATAACGACTCGTTGTAACGAGTTCATAATGTAACTGTAACTAACGGCCGTACGTTGAATATAGGAACCGGGCAATAGTTAACGTATTTCGGCGTTAACAGCAAGCGATAGTCTTGTTGCTGTTATATTACCGACGGATTCAAATTAGTTACGTTTGATTTGTTGTTTCTCCGAACGCTTTTAAAATTTTAAAATTGGCGTAAATTTAAGAACACATTGAAATCTCAATTAAATCGGCAAGTCAGCCGAAAAACAGTTTTACTTAAACATTTGTATTTTGCATGAAAGGGGTTGGGTAATAAGTCCAAAGATCTATTGTAGTCTTACCTTCGAAAACATTCCTTCCTTGCTGTAGGATAAAATTATCTTATGTTGTAAGATCGTTTTACACACAAACATTTTGCGTGGATAAACACAGAGTCGAAAAAGTTATCACGACCCCCGGCGCCGAGGCCAATACCTTGTCAACTGCGCCACGGGGCGAGTGAGGTAACCGGGGCCCATTGTTTTTGAAGCTTGTCGAAGCATCTACAACCCAGGTGTCGTCGATGTCCACATGAAGTCGTAATCACCAAAGTTTTAACAAAATCCCCATCCCTTCCCCTCCACGCCAGCACTGGGCTAAGCGGATGGGCAACAAGTCGTCGCGGCGCAACGTGTCCACCGTGGGCGTGGACATCGGCACGTGGGTGTACGAGAAGCAGCGCTCCACGCGTGGGCCGGTCACCTTCCGCACGTGGGACTTTGGCGGACAGCAGGAGTGAGCGCCCTCCCCCCATTTGTCCATTCGCAGTTTGAAATTTTTTCAGCTTGGTCTACCAAAAGGTCCGAAATGTGTGAGCACATGGTGGAACATTTGAGAGGTATCGGGAGAATCTGTTGTCCGATTGACTACTTCTTCATCGGGTAATATTTAGTAGCAGTGACTCATGTTGCAGTGACCGTGATAGCTCAGTGTCCGGGCGCTCTCCTTTAATTTAATATACTCGAGCAACTTGAGTTCGATCCCCGGTGCCAGCACCAATAAAATTGTCACTTTTAAGTGCTATGATAATGACAAAAAAAAATATTTCGAAGATATGTGAAGTCCGCCATTCCGCAGTGGGGCCGCGTGGTGGACTATGCCCTGATACCCTCTGTGCAGAGGAGGCCTTTACCCAGCAGTGGGACATGTATAGGGTGATACTTTTACTCTTGTTGACAACGGCCAGTTTTGGATGATTTAACTTCCATTATACTATATTTACATAAGCTGGTATAAGGTTAAAATTATCTGTCAGCGGGTTCATTACCATCGGATCAGTTTGTTTGAGTCCGCTGCTGAAAATAGGCCTCCCCCAAAGACTGCTACGAATGACGATACTGTCTTCTTCTTCCCTTCTCCCTGCCAGGTCTAGTTTAGTGAACCCGTGGTAGTTTTTGACGCTCAATGGGAGCTTAACAAAGCCTATGTTGAATAAAGGATTTTCGACTTGAATATAACGAGTCTATGATAGCTTACCGTTTGTCTATGAGAAGACAGATCAGGGTCCTTCGATCCCTCTGTTTCTATTCTATGCCTTTCAATATCCTCCGTTTTCATTGCAGTAATGTTTTCTCTAATTTTACGATTTCCTTATAATTCCTTGATAGCGGTTACGTCCTTAATATTGTCTGGTCTGCGTTTCTCTGTTTTCAGGTACTACGCGACCCACCAGTACTTTCTGTCGCGGCGCTCCCTTTACCTGGTGGTGTGGCGCGCCGTGGACGGCAGGAAGGGGCTGGCGGGCGCCCTCGGCTGGCTCAGGTATGTTTGGCCTGCTGCTGGTGGTCCTAGCCCAGAAGACCCTCGCACTGCAGCGGAGGGAGAGCTTTCGGCGTGGATGATGGGCCGTTGAGGAATTTTTTCCCTTTAAATTGTAAAGTTTTGTAGATAAATATAAAACTTTGCGAAGCGGCCGAGCCTAACGGCGCGAGCCCTCGACATTTGACGGAACTCTGTGAAAGTTAATTTTGTGTGTAATTTTCTTTATCAGCTCTACAAATGTAGGTCAGATTCAAATGTATGTAATTTTTATACTTTTATTAGAGATTTATGTCGCTGCTCCCGCAAGGTATTTACAGGAACCCATGTTGCTCGCTGCATATAGGTAACAGAATTTGAAACATGACTACGCTTTCTTTCTCCCAGGTCGATACAAGCGCGAGCCCCGGGTTCGCCCGTCATTTTGGTCGCAACGCACTATGACCAAGTTGCCAACGTAAGTCCACCAAATTGCGAAAGCCGTATTTGGTTTTTTTTTAACTTTATCTTTGGTGAAAATGTCATGAGTACATTGATATTCTATAAATTCTTAGCTGACATGGTTACAAAATCGTTATACCGTCTGTTGGCCGACGACAATGTAACCGATGTACAATTTTTAGTTTTGTAGTGTAATTTAACTTTCAGTATACTTCATCTCAAAGAACAATATATCGGTGAAAGAAATAGTTTAAATCCTTTTTTAGGATCAATTTTTATTTTTAGTGCTGGTCTCTGCACTCAAGATGAAACTTATATTTTCAATGTTTACAGATAAACGAACAAAAAACATAAATTGTAAATCTATGTAGACAAATGAAAAACCATTTGTTCATTTGTCTGCAAAGATTTACGATTCATAGTTAAAATCCGTTAAAATTTGTCGACCAATCAATATGGCGGAATACTAGCCAATCGGAGCGCAGCAGCCTAAAAGCCACGATATGATTGGTCGCCTATTGTATGAAACTTCTTCTTTGAAGATCGATAGGGTTGTCAGAGTCTCAATGTGGCCGCTTCTCCAACAGAGCGGCCTGCCGGAGAACGAGAGCCCTACGGCGCTGCAGAGGCTCATCCGCTCCTCGGTGATGGCGGCGCCCGACGCGGACAAGCTGGGCCTGCCCAGGGTGCTGGACTCCATAGAGGTGTGTGTGATATTCGGAAGACAACGTAAACGAAACAGCAAGCAACCTCTAGATTGAAAAAATGATAGGTTGTAAAGTTGTCTGGTGCCTGTCTGACTTTATATCGAGTCACCATTGTCATTTTAAAAGCAACGATAGAGAATTTCATTTTACTCATCTTATGTCTCTTAACTAAACGTTCAGTGTCTTGAGTTTGATTTTTTTGTTAATATTTAGCTAATTGCCTAAATTGCCTACTAATGATCGAATTACAAGTATCAAGTAGTTTTAGTTCGATCACTACCGGTCGCCCTTTTAATATGGTACAATTTTTAGGTAATACCTTACAATAGACCTAAACTCGGAACGCCCTCATGTCCAGGTCTCATGCAGCACTCGGCACAACATCCGTCTATTGGCCGACATCATATACTCTGTCGCGTTCAGCGTGAAGCCGCCAGGTAATATTGATTCTCTACCCAAATATTTCTTTCCTCACTATATCATTGTCCCTACTTATTTATATAAACATTTTCATATTTGCTTCACAATTCTGAACGCAAACACCAAATTTCAGAGTTAAAAAAAACAATAAAACAAGTACAATGATTCACATATCCGTGAAATAAAATGTTAATACTGAGTCTTCATTAATAAACTCTATTTATATATCCATTTCAGAAGAATCCTATCCTTCGGTTTTATACGTGAGAGATATACCATCTGCCTTAATAGGATTTTCCAAGCTATTGATCAAAAGCAAATAAGTAATTGTTCCAGATACAGGACAACTTTTGTGTGTTTATTGACATTGCAATTAAGGTCGAACCGATAATTTTATTGAATCTTTTAAGGCCATATTTTTATCATTAGTAATGGACTTCACTGCACATGTGCAAAACTGCTAATCGTTGTCACTTCGAGACAATCAATCGGGGTTGTTCCAATGAGATCTTTTCTTCTTTCTCCTGTCTTCCCATCTGAGTTAAACACACCAGATGAGACGGCAGAAGAACAAGGGAGAAGCGGCATAGGATTCGAACCCCCGACCCAAGGAGTGGGCCCGCAGGCAGCAAGGAGCCCCTGCTGCAGCAGCGCGTGCCCGCCACCTACCTGGCGCTGGAGGAGTGCGTCTCCTCGCTGGCGGCCGAGCTGCCCGAGCCGGTGCTGCGGCACGAAGAGTACCGGCGATTGGTGAATGCCGACACACGCACACACACACACGCACGCACGCACACGCGCGCACGCACGCACACATAAAACTGAGCTCGTGTATTACGGATACTAGTCAGTAGTGAATAAAATGAATACTGATATACAAACACACAGACACTAGAAAGACTATGTTCATGACATAATATTTTCCCAATAGTAGGGATCGAAATTACACACTCAAGAGTTAGGGCTACTATACAATACACCATCGGTCTGAAACGCATCATTAACTATTGGACAATCAGGGATTATAGAGGACTCGTATGCAATACATAAAACACTCAAAGCTAGCAAGTTACGCCAGTGTTATGGATTTCCATTTACGGGAATCACTAAACATCAGGGACACCACTTTTTACATGAGAACCAACGTTATCATACCTCTTAATCAGAATACCTATGTTGAAAATAAGCCCACGAACTCGCTAAACCTCTCACGCAAGATATATGTACATACCATGTCCGTATACAATGTCTGTACTTATCGACTTATATTTCAGAAGAGAAATGCTGACAGCCTGATTTGACCTATTATGTAGTAGAGCCACTATTTAGTATGTCCATGTTTAGAGTTTGCAAGCTCTCATTTATTGCATCAAGAACGAAATAGATGAAATTTCACCATATGGAGGCAAATCGGTCAAAACTTCTTACACCATACAACATGGTTGTTGGGATATCTAGATGCTAGTTGAGTTGTGTTTTGTGCCTGGTCCGGGTAAGTACTCAAAACTTTTTTTTTCATACTCCTCTAGTACCACGACCTCACAGAAGACCGGCATCAAGTGGAAGTATAATACTTACGCGTTCCGTCTCCCGAGTGAGGTGGTCGGAGCCAATCTTCAAAAGGTTGTCAACGCATCTGCATCCCTCGGGTGTAGCAGATGTCCATGGGCGGCGGTGTTCACTTAACATCAGGTGTACCGCCTGCTCGCTTGGCAACTTTTCACATAGAAAAAGACTTGTAAAGAAAGGTATCTCTTCCGTCCATTGTTCAGGTGACGCAGTACATGCAGCAGAGGAACCTGAGGATGTTCCGCGACGCCGCCGAGCTGCACCAGGCCACGATGTTCCTGCACGAGAACGGTCAGTGGCAGACAAAAGAACTGTGATGTTCATTACTACAGTCGTTGGATTAGATTCGGCGATACGTATGCTATTTGCAGCTACTTTAAGAGATGCACTTGTCAAAATATGGAGCCGATTGGTGGGTTAAATATCGATTCATACTACGCATCATGGTATAAAAACCTTTACGCCAGAGACCTCTACCCACTTCGAATCGAATTATTGAGCATAATATGTCTTGTTCCGGTGTATGCAGAATGAGCTTACACAATTAGGCGGTGCGCCAGTGCTGTTGAACTTGCATTGAATTCCACGAGCCGTATAAATTATGGACCATCACAAATGACCCCGCTGCCACCTCCAGGGGTGCTCCTGCACTACGACGACGCCACGCTGAAGGAGCTGTACTTCGTGCGGCCCCAGTGGCTGTGCGACGTGCTGGCGCACGTGGTCACCGTCCGCGAGATCAACCCCTTCGCCACCAACGGTGAGTGGACGGTCACCGTCCTACGGCGGCCCATTGGCCATGGCTGCAGGTGCATTGGCAATATTTAAAAGATTGGGAAGCAGTAAACTCAAACATCTCACTTCTTTACTTTTATTGGGTTTTGGGAAGTTCTAGCTGAAAGACGTGTACTGGTGAAAAAATTCTTCCTGCCTACAAAGTCATAACGAACAACATTTTGCCATTGGCATCCACCGGTTGCTCACTTGGTTGCCATGGAATTTATTTTCGAACCATCTTGAACCTTGTCGTTTTAATTTTACTTCGGAACCTCTTCCTTGTCAGGCATAATGAAGGTGGAGGACCTGGCGCACGTGTTCAAGGCGTCGCCGCTGCTGGCGCGCAGCGAGGAGGCGCGCTCGCTGGGCGTCTCGCTGCTCAACAAGTTCGAGCTGGCGCTGTGCTGGGACGCCAGGGTGCTGCTGGTGCCGCCGCTGCTGCCGAGCCGCGAGCCGCCTGCCGCACAGGTGCTCGCAGCTCTAATTCATTCATTCATTCATTCACTCACTCACTCACTCATTCACTCATTCATTCATTCATTCACTAATTCACTCATTCATTTATTCAATCACTCACTCACTTATTCATTAATTAATTCGTTCAACGACAACTGCGACCTAGGATTGACGAACTGCCAGATCTGGAACGATTATCCGTGGGTCAGTCTTCGTCCTCAGACAGGCCTGGACTCCTTGGCAATGGCAATGGCGCAGTGGCTGACGAGCGTTTGTCCGCAGCTGGCGCTGCGCTCGCGCCCGTGGCCTGGCACGCCGCGGCCCGCGCGCGCCCCCCTCGCGCCCCTCGCGCCCCTCGCGCCCCTCGCCGCCGACTCGCCCACGCTAGTGCGTAAGTGCCGTTAATGGGGGGTCCACGTGCACTCACACTCCTCAGCAGGTACTTCTCGGACATGACTTTGTCGCGCTCGGCAGGGGCGGCAGAGGCGGCAGAGGCGGCAGAGGCGGCGGAGGGCGGGTGCGGGGGCGCGCGCGTGTGCGGGCGGCGGGGGGGCGGCGGGGCGGGCGCGCTGCGGCGGCTGCTGCTGCTCTCGTACGTGCCGTGCGGCTTCTGGGCGCGGCTGTGCGCGCGCCTCCTGGCCGACGCCGCCCTCGCCACACAGGCGCCCGCCCTCTACCGCGCGCCGCCGGAGGTACGTCTCAAGCACGAACAGGTGTGCCAATCGAACCCACTTCTCTTAATCATATTCACTTTGTTTCAATGCCATAAATACATAATAACAGTAGGCAGAACCGAATAACCATCTGTTGTGTTATGTAAAAACTTATGAACGCTTTGCAAGATGTAACTCGTTATGAATGCTGGGCCATTAACATGTTGTTATCGTTACCTATAACAACATGTTAACAGGATGTAGAGCAGACACTTTACTAGATTCTTGGACTTGTTTTTAAATAACCCAATATAGTAAGATAAGAAATTCCCGTGTTTGAAATGTAAGGAACCATTGGCAGTCTTTATTAAACTCTCCTACAGTTTAATTACCTAGTTTTAGTTTTTAAAACACCTCTGGTTCTAGCGCCAAAGTTAAGTAACTATTAAATATTTAATATAAACAACTACAACATTTAGAACTTATTGAAATATTAAACAACCAGACCTTAGTCCAGTCCCAATGCGTCCATGTCCGAAACACTAGTATCCTAAAACGACAGATGGAGGTGGACGAAGTGGTTTCCAAAGCGCTGGACCTTAACTGGGGCTGGAAGCTCTGGAAGACCGGCATGAAGCTGGTGTGCGGAGAGCTCACTCTGGTGGCGCTGAGGGAGCTGCCCCCCAGGGTGGACCCACTGCTGGGCGCCGTGGCGGATGAGGAGGAGCAGGACGAGCTGTACCACAGCATCAGGTGTGTGGGGAAAGTTCACATGCGAAGTGATTGAATGTCAACATCACCCGTGGGATTAGAAATACCTTAACTTGTTATAGAGTGGGCCGGTCCCTCACTCACCGAAATGCTTCTTGTCTACTCTACGATGGCCCTCTTGTACTAGGAATACTTTTGAGTTCGCTTATTATCTGGTTAGTTCTTGCCTCTTGCACAACATTGTTTTTCTAAAGATGTTGACAGTTCCTTTAGAATAAATATTATTCAAGAAGTATATTATATTAGTAGAGGGGGTGAGTTACTCAAACTCTTCCTTCACCCTGTCAGACGTAGTAGCCTACCTTGCTGTACCTTTGAATTAGGCCTGATGCGTAATTTCGAGTGGCCAGGTTCCGCGTGCGCCAGGAGGGCGCCTGGTGCGAGCTGGACGTGCGCTCCTCCGCCTGCGTGGAGCTGCTGCTGCCCGGCCAGGTGTGCGTGGTCCGCTCCGATGACGGGATGCCCATCGGCGGATACCAGGTGGGAATAGTCCGTACATTCAAACCTCTTCACCCATAGACGCTAAGGTCTAGGAACTATAATTGTAGTTACCGGCGGTGGCCCAGTTGCTGGTTGGTTACGTCCCCAACATCTCAGACGATGCCATGTGTGCATTTGTCTCGTACCAATGTCAAATTGACCGTTGGTTCAAACGTGTTAGTTCGGTTGTAAACTAGGCCGTTCGCCATTTTTCTCGCATAACTGTTGTAAGTTTGAATAAATTGCGTCCTCCGCGGACTAAGGTTGTACTGGAACAATGCTGAGACACGAAACTAAGTCTGCGGTGTTGCGATTAGAGCGACACCTTGCGGAGTGATATCACGTACTACGTACGTTTTTAGTTCGATCGCCATAGTGGAATAAACCTTGCGAACTCTATAAATAGTTGTTCCCAGTCCGATGTTCTGTTTCCGAAATATTATCCTTAAAAAAATCTACTTCTTGTCGAGGTTTTAGAGAAGAACTACATACAGGGAGGATTTTCTAAGTGTATCCATTTTTTTTATTAAATTCTAGACTTAAGTAATGTTATATAAAAATGATAAATATTTTAAATCGCGATCATTCATAACTAACACACACACAAGTTCGTTTCAAAAGTATACGACGCATAAATGTCGACACCTATTCTGACACGCACACAAATAAAGTTTGTTACTACACGCGTATCATAGCACAAGTAAGTTTTCCAATTTTCCTTCATACTTAGAACGGGCTTAGGACCGTCATGATAAAGGGTCGTGATAATACTAAAGTACTACTTTATTATTTTAAAATCACACACTATTATTCGTACTTATTACGGCGTATTTAAAAAGTGGAATCAAATATTTACAACAATTAAACTTACCTATTCATTTAGTCACAAAAAACCCTCACTGATATTTCTCTCAATACAAAGCTGAGCACGCTGTCTCAAACTATTTTTTAACATTACTTGTGTCTGAGCATTGTATACGCCGGGTAGTAAATTGTCCAAAATCTAATAACCTTTGGTTGGCTGCCAAAATCGTCCTTCGATTGGTACACTTGAATTCATTGCCTGTCTTTTAAACGCGGTAAAGAGTCACTTTAAAAAATCTTTGCGCACCACGTAAACTTTCACCACTTAAAATGTAGCACCGTTACCATCTCGTAATTACTCACGGTTCTAATAACTGCGTTGTTGTTCCTGCATCGTTAGAGATAAGCATATCTAAAAATAGCACGCGCGACCTTAATTAGGTCACGGTCAAATTGAAACTAACGAAGGGCTAAGGGCAGCGGCCGCCGCGCGCGGGTAAAAGGGAAGGGAACGTAGTTTTATGACGCAACACTGGACGCCGCCGCTTAGTTTTGTTTGTGTGCGTGAACAGTAAAATTTAGGTGTTTATGAATGACTACCGCGTTGTCAACAAGTTCTGTTTTTAAGGGAATAGAATGGTATTTTTTTTTAAAGTGTTTTTATTTCAATAAACAATTATACTTCCTAGTCTGAACCTCTTGTGTAAATTTGGGCATCTTTAAAAACCGATTTTAATGAAATTTTTTATGTCTTCTGGTCGATTCGAGAATGGTGATTCACAATTCGGTGCACTACATTATTTTTTTTTGGCATTTATACAAGACAACGTCTGTTCGTTCCACTAGTATACTATGAATGTAATTCTCCGAAAGGAGCAAGTTTCTGTATATACAACGTGTCGTTACCATCGCGATAATAAATGAACACACATATAGGGGATAACTTTTTGAAATTGTATTAAAAATTTACATTCTTTAAACATCAATATTTACAGAGTTATAAAATTTTCCAAAACAAAGAATTTTAGATCACCCTTGCGTATAAAACTGTAACGTAAAGTTCATTTGTAAAGGTTACAAAGCATATGAATAGGTTGAATGAATTTAAAAGAGACAAAACATACTGTTAGAAGGAGAGGCTTGTAATGCGACGCTGTGGCGCTAGTTGTATAGGTGTTACAATTTGAAAAAAAAATTTTTTTAATTATGGATTTTGTTTAACGTTAATATTTTTTTATAATTATTGGAAAGTAGCGTTAGACGTGTGTAATAAATTAATTGTCGCGATGGTAACGACACGCTGTATATATATATTACTTTATCTCATGAGACTTAATACAAAAGGATCTCACCGACTGTTTCCAACAAGTTACATGCTTCACTATTAAAATACTTTTGAAATAACACCCGCCGTGTTCCCTCTCTCCGAAGAGCATCAGCCTGGAACCGAACCCCGAGGTGCTCGCCAAAGTGCTGGCCCTGATATCGGACCACGTGGACCTGCTGCTGGAGGACTGGTACCCGTCACTAGGTATTATTCTGCGCTTATTTCGCATTACATGGGGTTGCAAAACATTTACGCATCAGAAATATGGTCCTTTTGTCGAGATAAAAATAAAGCAATACAGTGAGACTGCATAATTTTTATGACGGACTGGCCGGCGAATTATTACGGTCAGTTCTTCCAGTAGCTTATTTTCTTCTCCAATGTCCTATCTATGTTTATACCAAAATTCATCAAAATTGATTCTGCTGAGTGAGTTAGTCGTGAAGGAGTAGCAGACAGAGTTACTTTGGGATACTATTGTATCCTAATAAATAACAATTATGTTAAATTTTGATGTGTAATCTATATTATTGTAAAGTTTAATTAAAATCCATTCATTACTGCTTGCGTGAAAGAGTAAAAAACATGAATACATCCATACATACAAACTCCTCGTCCTCTTGGTTGTTGGCTTATCATCATAAATTTTATATTCGTGAAGGAAAGTGGCATTCATTTAGTTAAAAGAAAAGTTTCGAAAGCGGTGTATGATTAATTTAAAATCATTTAAAATCTGATTTCTTGACTTGGCCATTTTCAAAATGTTTATTTTTTTAAAAATTAATCACCGTTCTCGCTATTGATATTATGTGATTGTCTTTTGTCTTTGTATTATCTATTAAAATTTACTTTGAATATCGCGTTTTATTTGTTTAAAAAATTACATAAATAAATGAAAAACCCCCAAGGTACTCGTTTCGTGCACACGTCCGAGGGCCGGTGCCTGATCACGCGCGTGGTGCCCTGCCCCGGCTGCTTGAGGGAGGCCGTGCCACACCAGCAGCCGCCGCCGCCCTGCCACGACCTGCCGCACCACGACCACCACCTGGCGCAGGTACGCCTTACGCCGCCACCCGCCCTTATTGCCCGAGGATGCCAGGCTTTAATAAATTAACAACTCTAACTATTTTTGCGGATTTATCGCCTTTGGTTTTACTTTCCGACGTTTTGTACCCTTTACAGCGTTCATGGTCACGGGACAGACTCCCGGGACTCCCATTTAGAAATAGAGCACGTACTTGATAAAGCATTCTTACCGGTTGCCCGTTTGAATAGACCGCCTTTACCAAGTTTCATCATAACGAACGTCCTCGGATCAAGGGATGTTGCGGTCCTGAACTACAGAAGTGATCCCTTTTATTTTACTTTGAAAAATTCTGTCGCCGCCGGCGGGAGGGGTTATATTTAACAACTCACGTTGCATCTGTCTTTGTCGTATCGGCCGTGGACCTCGGCGCGACTATGGCCCCTTGATAACTCTTCTCGTGTGCACCACACCTTATCTGGCTAAAAGCCGAGGATTTTAAGATCTGAAGCCCCTTCTTTTTGGGGCACCACACCCGGTCAGGCCAAAACTCAGTGTCCGCTGTCGGCAGATGGTGCGCGGCCTGGAGCTGGCGGCGGAGCAGCGGCCTCTGCGCCTCTCGCAGGAGTCGCGCGCCTCCGACGGGGACAGCGGCGTCGGCGCAGAGTCCAACGGTACCTCCGTCACTCACTCTCTCATTCACTCCTTCACTCACTCATTCAGTTCTAAACTCTCGTCAGGGATCAAACTCGAGCTGTCACGTGTTTTTACCGGCTATTTACATTTAGCCCCCCAGTAACCGGGCCCTATACGAGACAACGACTTTACGGTATTCTGTGGATCGCATTTAGAGAAGAAGAAAAGGGAGGAAGAAAAAAACAGTGTCTGGACGCTCGCTTTTAGTTTCGAAATTTGTCAATTTTAAACGCTGACTTCTAGTCTTAGTTTTAAATCTCCTAATCCACAATGGGGTCGCGTGGTGGGCCACATAGGCTGCTACTTCACTCTGCTTTTCTTTTTATGTAACTGGAAAATGCGCAGACGCCGAATCCCATCATATTAGGGCCTTCGTCAATGTGGGAATCATACTGGACCATCACAATTGTGAATCGGCCGTTCTTGACCAGCGTCTTCCCGCATCGGGTCGGTGGAGGGCGTGGCGAGCGCCAGCCTCCCACTGGCCACGTGCTGGACGCTCGAGGAGTGCATCCTCGCGGGCTGCACCTCCAAGCAGCTGCACTGCGCCCAGCACGGGGAGGTGGAGCTGCGCGAAGTGGCCCCGGACACGGTGAGTGGGCTCTGGACCTCTTCAAGGTGAGGTTGAATGAGTAAGCAGCTGAAGAGGCTCATGGCTGGCTGGTCGTAGTCATCTTACCTTCGTCAGTACCTCCCTGGTCTTGACAGGCCATTTCTATAACATGAGAAAGTATATGGCCCTACCGCACAAAAGTTTCCTTTTAGGTAAATAATCTCCGAAGTGTCGATGTTACTTGACGGTTTGTTCACGTTATTGTATGACCACACCTGCAATATTCATCATTTCGACCATCCTACTAACGAAAACTATTCTTGCTCTGCACGTGTCTACAAACTGTGACAATGTAATCTCTCTTTCCATTTCTTCCCTCGACAGATTTTAAATTTTGAAAACCGCAAACACAAACCACAATGACGAATGTTATTTACTCTACTATCACGTGTTCTTGTGTAGCGCTAGACTATTTACGTCGCTCTCTATCCGCCTTTCATCTCCCTTCTCTCTCTCTCGTGTAACGAAGCGTGCTTAGACTCGCCGCGTGCGAAGTTTCGAGTCGATTGGAGGAGTGAGTGCTAAGCGTCAACGTCGCAGCTGCTGCTGGACGTGGAGGAGGAGAAGAGGGCCCGCTGGGAGCAGATCCAGCGCGGCGCGGTGGCGGGGCGGGGTGCGTTCGGCACGGTGCTGGCGGCCACGTGGCGCCGCCCCGGCAGGGAGCCGCTGCCCGTTGCGCTCAAGGCGCTGCAGCCGGTGCCGCCGCCCGCGCCCCACCGCCTCAGCGCGCTGCAGGCCTACAAGGTGGGGCCGCACAGGGTGCAGCTTTTTTCTTTAAACGGATTCTCCCGCTTTAAGCCGAGCCAATTCGCCAGTGAGTACAAAGTGTGTCGTGGCAGGCGGCGGTGTCGCGGTGGGAGCGCGAGCCGACGGCGGCCGCGTGCCGCGCCTACTGCGGCCTGCGCCAGGAGCTGGGCATCCTGCAGCGGCTGCGCCACCCCCACGTGCTGCCGCTGCAGGCCGTCTGCGGCGCGCCGCTCGCGCTGCTGCTGGCGCTGGCGCCCCTCGTACGCTGACTTTTTCTTTTAGTAATTAACCACCTTGGGTACGTTTGGAGGGACTCCGGGATTCCCTCACCGTGTTGTAACAGCGCGAGACCACTCGGCATCCCCTCCGAGTCCCCTCTTAGCAGTGCGGTGTGCGTGCGCAGGGCGCGCTGGACGCGTGGCTGCGGCAGTACCGCGGCTGCGGGGCGCGCCTGGGCCCCCGCGCGGTGCGCGCGCTGGCGCTGCAGCTGGCGCGCGCTCTGGAGTACCTGCACGCGCACAGGGTGGTCTACCGGGACCTCAAGGTACCGCCTAAAATTAGTAACCGCCTCGGAAATTACTAGCTCACTACTCCATAAATCTTTTTAAATATACAAAATAGAAATCGCCTTCCTTCAAGCGCTGGACTATTCGGTTTTCAAAAGATTCTGCCCACGATTGACTCTTGAGCCAGTTCTCTGTGCAGCGGAAACGGCTTGCTGCTTTTGCCACATCCAGATCCTTGTGTGTACCGCCCTGATCCTCGTCTCCCGCCGCAGTCGGAGAACGTGCTGGTGTGGCAGCTGCCGCGGCCGCAGGAGGCCTCGGCGGCGGAGCGCGCGCCCGCCCCGGTGCCCGTCCACGTCAAACTCGGCGACTACGGTCAGTTTGTCGCAATTTACAACAGTCTGTTCTACTTCGTCATATCTGTTCTTCGACTTGGCCACAGACGTAGAAAATTATGTCCCGGTGGCGAGGAAGAAGTAAATAGAGTCTCTTAACGACTCTATTATTCTTTTATCACTTAAGTAGCAAATTAATATACCCCAGTCCAAATATTCAAGTTAAGACCTTTTGAAGACTTCTCTCATCAGGCATCAGCAGGCTGGCGCCGCCGTCGGGCACCAAGGGCTTCGGGGGCACCGAAGGCTTCATGGCGCCAGAGATCATGAGGTACAACGGCGAGGAGGAATACAACGAGAAGGTGAGACCAGTCTTCTCTTCTCTTCTCTCTGTACTCATATCTAACCAATTGTATGATAGCATTAAGGTGAAAATAATAGCATTAAATGTTTTGTTCTAATTTATTCACATCAAATATTAATGTCTTGGGCTGAAGTATAGCGAATACGTTTTCTATCCCTATTTGAGGTTGTTTCTAGTCCCAATTGTTTCTTTCCCCATTGTGGGCAGTAGCCGCAGGACGTCTGGATGTTATCGCAAGTTAGCCGAGTGATTCCACTATAAATTGGTAGACTTAGCATCTTGGAAGACAAGTCCTTATCTCAAGCGTCATCTATTTATTAGGGGATGATGACGAGTCATAACTAAGATCTCTCTGCAAGAGCCTGAAGGTTTTTCTCGTGTCAGGTCGATTGCTTCTCGTTCGGCATGCTGCTGTACGAAGTGATGACCCTGCGGCACCCCTTCGAGGGCCACGAGGCGGTCAAGGAGGCGGTGCTGGAGGGCGCCAGACCAGCTCTCACCCCAAGGGTGAGTTGAACTTATTTTTAACAGGAGTTGTTCATTGTAAGGTCGCGTTTTAGCATAAATGGATAGGTTCCTCGCGGGAAGTTCCACCTCACAGAAGACCGGTGCGAAGCGAACGCTTACATTTGAAGCAATCGAAGCTTTATCAGGCGTCGGCGACACATATGCACCTCTACGGGTGTCTTTCAACATCAGATGAACCGCCAGCTCGCAGGAAGGAGTTATACCCTGACCCCCCTATCCCTGCAGGACCTGCAGTACCCGTGCGGCATGGTGGAGACGATGCGGCGCTGCTGGAGCGGCGCGCCCGAGCTGCGGCCCTCGGCGGCGGCGCTGGTGGCCGTGGCGGCCGCGCCGGAGTTCCTCGCGCTGGCGGACGCCGCCGCGGCGCGCGCCTGCACCCACGCGGCCGCCGCACAGCGCGTGCGCCTGCCCACCGGTGGGCGCCCTTTCACATTCCCAACACTGCCCACATCAGCGTTATCGTCTTCAAACTCATTGAAATCGTCTACATAAACTACATGGTCATCTTTGTCGTGTCGTCATCGTCATCAACTTCTTTATCTTTAACACCGAACACGTCTTCAACACTACCCACATCGTGGTTATCATCCTCAAAATTATTAAAATCGTCAACATCAAGAACATCACCATCATCATCAACATTACCAACATCTTTATCTACATAATCAACATCATTATCAGCATCTTTGTTTCCCTAATTTTCACCATAACCAACAACATCTTCTTCCTCAACACCAACATCTTCTTCCTCAACACCAACAACATCTCCATCATCAACATCAACAACATCTCCATCAGCATCAACATCATCATCTGTATCAACATTATTATCCGCCGACCCACTTCCACTGTTGGAACAAATATTCCGTCTTAAAACACCACAGCAAACAACGACATTTTGGCATTTGCATCCACCGGTTTCCCACCACTCTCATAATGGCTTTCACTCCACCTAGTAGGTATTTCCAACGCCAAGTCTTACGGTAAAACTAATGAGTAATTAACTAGTTGCCATACTCAACAAGAGGCTTTAGTTCTACAACATGCAAGATTTGTTTTATATAACGAATTACTCAGTATCTTGTAATCAAATTAGCTCAAAATCGATGGTTCTTTTCTCTCAATTGTCTAGTCTGTTTAAAAATTATTAGCATGAATCATTAAAGATGTAGTTTTAAATAATTACACGAAGAACTTGCGACTTTGGCAGAGGACGGTGGATTGGGCTGGGAGATATGGTTCGGGGGGGCAGAGCCGGAGCGAGCGCACACGCTGCTCGCCAACCCCACCACCTTCCTCCACCAGCATTCGCTCAGGGTGCCACCAGGTTAGAGCCTACTCGTATATCTTCCTTATATTCCTTCCATCAGTGTACCAGAATTGCTATTAATGGAGCGTAATGATGTGTAAAGATTCATCCTTATTACAATCTTACCTACGAGTACATCAAAAACAAATATTCGCTGAGGGAATCCATCTCGAGAGTAACACGAAATACTTAAATCTATGATAAAATTAAGTAAAACACAAGTGACATTCACATCACAATGAAGAAACTTGCCACATCTTCTTAGTCCCCATCTCAAAATAATCCGCTGTATAATGAATTAAAGGCGAGCGCCCGGACACTGAGCTATCACGGCTCTTGTAGTAAGTACACTTAATTTTTCACGTTTCTACAAGATTTTGATGAACGCACAGACAAGGAGGCGGCGGTGCTGGTGACGGCGATGTGCCGAGTTGGCAGCACCATGTGGCTCGGCGACTCCATTGGCCGAGTCTCCGTCTACTCGTGAGTACAACGGCGATAATGAAGTCTGTTGGTCTACTGTCAGACGAGCCGAGCAGCTCTTGCTTTTGGGCCATCGAGGTGAATGAAGACCTCACCCTTTTTGGGATTATAATCAAAATATTATTTTTTTGAAGATAAATAATATCCATCCTATTGATTTCTTTATTATTTATTGATTTATTTATTATTTTAAAGACTTTTTGAATAGGGATTTCATCAGGGTTCCTTCTTAGGTCCCCTACTTTTCACTCACTTTATGTCCTAATTCATGTGTAAACTTAGATGCTTAACGAATCGCTTACTTTTAAACGTGTGATTTGGCTTGCACAACGACTTCGAACACCTAAAGTGGTCGAGGGGCCGGATTGCCGGATTGTTGTCGGCCTGCCGTTGCGTTACTAAGCGCGGCGCATTGGGCAGGGCGGCCACGTGCGCGCTGCTGTGGGGCGCGGCGGTGCAGCGCGCGGTGGGCGGCGCCGTGTGCGGGGTGCGCGCCTTACGCCACCTGCCCAAGCTGCGACGCGTCGCGCTCGCCGCCGCCGCCGGCAGGTGCGACTCTCTCCCCCTCTCTACCTCTCTATCTCTCTTTCCTCTTTTCCCTGTCCCCTCTCGTCTCTCCCCTCCCCACTGTCCCCTCTCCCCTATCGCCTCTCTTCTCTTCTGTTACCCTCTACTGCCAGTGTTCATCACTATTTCAGTTATTAACTCTAGTTTCATCTTCAACTATGCATTTGTATCTTTTACGGTTCAACTTTCATCTGAATACATTTTGTATGACGATGCACTTTTTTACCCGACTGCGGCGACGGTAAAAAATCGCTGTGTTTGACCTTTATGCAAAATTATTTTAATCAATGTTATGTTTTTGGACAAGTTTTTAATGCGCGCGTGTCACTGAACACGTTAATGTTATAAAAATAAAAATTCCTCATATTCGGCGCTAAAATATGTATTGAAAAAAAAATCACAACGTAGTCGGGGTTTAAGATCTATTAATTTTTGACTCGTACGTAAATAAATTGGGACTTATCTTCATACTTCCTATCACCAACTATGAGCATTTATAAAAAAAAGAAACGACGTGCCGCCAGGCTGTTCCTGGTGACCGCGTACCAGCCCGAGGCGGAGGGCAGCTTCGTGCTGACGGAGCTGGGCACCGCCACCGAGCTCTGCTGCCTGGCCACGGTGCCTCTCGGCGACGGGTGAGCTCAACCGGCGATAGCGATTTTATTGGTCCTTCGAACCGGATTTCATTTTTCTGTTATACATTTGTAGTATTTGTAAATGGGTATTTCGATAAAAAATAGATACGTGTTCGCGCAATGATTGTAACGAGCGTCAGATGAACATTAAACGTATAGAAATCCATTACCTATTTCTTTATTAATATTCTCTTGTTATAAACATATCAACACATAATGTTTGATGTAAAATTTGACGATTCATAAGAGCGCGCAAGCGTCTATTTGAATAAATATATTCTTGATTTGATTTGAACATTAGTTTATTTAGTTTAAAATGTTTCGCGTTTCACGTTTCCCTATAATTTCATGAAAATCCGTGTCTTGTGTAATCTTGTAGATGTCCATTAATAAAAATTATTAAATTTGTATAATATGCTGCTGATACAACAATATTTCCTGCATGTGGCACATCATATGTGCATTCGTCACGTGCTTGGGTAGCTGATGGGAAGATCGGTACGGTCTTCCCAGGCTACTCGACGTGAATGCGTGTGCCGTTGCGCGCTGCTTTAGCGTGTAACGCCTGGATACACATTATGGAGGTGCGACGTCTGATGGAGATGTCTAGGCGACCAAAGCACACGTAATAGCCTTAACGTTATCCTCCTCCAAGATGTGGACTCGGAGGAAAGGTTCGTAGCGATCGATCCTCGTGTGATATGGGCCAATAACACGGCGTAACTCTTTTTTTAAACATTGCCATTACTTTAGGATAATATTATCCTGTGTTGTAATGACGTTTTACAAACATAAATTTCACCCATACAAACACCCAGTTGCCAAACAACTATCTGTGGGTCACACCAATAGTTGTCCCGTGTGGGAATCGAACCCACGACCCCCGACGCCGAAGCCAATACATTGGCCAATGCGCCACGGAGTCCTCAAGTTATCACAAGCTCAGCGGTGAAGGAAGACATCGCGAGGAAATCTGCATATTTCGGAGTAACAACAAAAAAAAACATTTCTAAGACATGTGAAGTCCGCCAATTCCCACAGTTCAGAGGAGGCCTTTGCTCAGCAGTGGGACTTTTATAGGCTGTTTCTTCACTCTTTACTTTTATCTGTAGATTACGTGGGAAGAGAAGACTCAATATACGACTGACTCATTACATAAAACTTGTTAACCGTTAATATATGGTAAATAATGCGTCATTCGGAGGTATTTAAATTGAATATTGGATAGGTTGCGATGTAGATGTTTGAGTTAGAACCAGATTTGGCGAACCGTACCAAATGCGGACGCGTGAACTATATTTTATAGGAATAATTATATGTCTGTCCGTACATTTATACAGTTAAAATCGGCAACTTGTTATTTATTATTACTAAACCCTTTAATGTGGATACGATATAAATGTTTTTATATACGATTACTATAGATTGTTGGTTTTTTGAATTTAACAATACAAACATTACTTACAACACTTACAACCTTTTACAAACATAAATTTCACCCAGACAAACACCCAGTTGCCAAACAACTATCTGTCGGTCACACCAATAGTTGTCCCGTGTGGGAATCGAACCCACGACCCCTGACGCCGAAGCCAATACATTGGCAACTGCGCCGTGGAGTCATAACTGTGGCTTGTGTGTGTAATAAAATGTTATACGAGTCGGTGGCGCTTAAAAAAATCAAACTCCTCTAAACTCATAAAAATCATCTCACTAAAATCCTATTCAGCTGAAATCGTATTGTGTAATCCTTTAAATGGAGGGACCTTGTCCATTGTCGCATCCGCCGCGATGGGCCTAGAGTCGAATCGCGTTGCAGCGCGGAGCTGTGGGCGGAGCTGTGGGCGGGCGGCGACGGGCTGAGCGCGTACACGGTGCGCGAGGGCGGCGTGAGCGCGGCGGAGCAGCTGCCCGCGCCCGGCAAGGTGGCGCTGCTGGCCGCGGCCAACGACCACGTGCTGGCCGCCTGCAGGCCCGGTAATGGGGACGTCGATCTCCTCATCTATCTACGGCCGTTCTATTGCATTTGTATTTATAGTACGGCTGGTACTGCACTCTCAAATGCATTAGCATTAAAATTTTAAATTAATCCTTATATTACCGCTTAGATAATCTATATAATAGATAATCTCGCTACGGTGAAACAAAATACTTAGCTTAGATAAGATACCGGGTCATAGTGATGTAATTATTTTTTTAACATTGAGAACATTGGTGGGAAATGGAACATTGAGATATCCCTCAAAAGTCATACGTACACACGAATGGGCAGGCGTGTTCGTGTACCAGTACAGCGTCAGCAGCAAGCAGCTGACCGCGAGGCTGGACTGCAGCAAGCTGGCCCCCTGCTCCGAGAGCCTGCAGTCCATCGCCATTGACGAGCGGCTGGCGGAAGACCGCTGCATGGTGAGGAACAGTCTACCTGCGTGTGCGTTTTATGCGGAAAGTTGCGTGGCTGTTGGCCGTATGAGGAAGCTCAAAGTCGCACATTTATGTTCGCTATGTAGAACAAAGGTAGCCGACATAGTTCCGAGGCTTAGTGAGCAGAAGTGGCAATGATAGGCAAGAAAGGTACTCGAGTGGCAGCCTAGTACTGACAATTGTACTGCAGGATGACCTCCCACTAGATGGAGTGACGACCTGTGCGGGAAGATGATGTATGCAGGTGGTTTAGGATCGTATTTCGCGGTGGTCTGTGGTGGAGACCTATGTTTGACAGATTGAAATGATGATGACGATTGAGAGCTGATTGGCAACCTGAATGTCTTCTGTTAATAGGTTTCCTTCACCACCGAGATCAAAGCGAATCTACTGCTCCTAATAATTCGAATTGCATTCAAAATTCCATTGGTCTCGACACGCAATTTGACCTCGTTGATCTGGCGTACCTCGCATAGAAAGAGCGACTCGTTCCAAAGTGAGCTCAGCGTTGGCCCTCAGATCACGGCGCTGTGCAGCCTGGGCGCGCAGCTGTTCGTGGGCACCGCGTGGGGCTGCGTGGTGGTGGCCGACGCCGCCACGCTGAGGCCGCTCACCGTCTTCCGGCCCTACGAGGAGGAGGTCGGTTGCGGTCATGTTTAACGCCATCTGTTGTACAAAACCCGAGTAGCTTTGTAACTAAGTTGTTACGGACGTCTCTCGTTTGGAATTCCAAATATTTTAACACGATCCGAAGAAAAAAAACACCACATTTTATTGAGAACCCTTTCTTTCCCTTTTTAAATATCGCACTTGCCATACTGCCTTTTTTTGTTTTTTATGTGAGAAAGTGGCAAACGCGCTTGCAGTATAAATAAAGTCGAGAACTAGGCGAGTGATATAGGTTTTGGGTTCAGGTGCGGGCGATGGTGGCGCTGCCAGCCCTGGAGCCGGGCGGTGGCAGCATGCTGGCCACGCTCGGGGGCGGCTACCGGCCGCTGCTGCAGCGCTACGCCCCCTCCCAGGTAGGCATCACACTTTCTCAAACCAACAATTTTATCTGCACATTTTAAGTTTCAACTTCACTGCAGTGATTAGCACTGAAATCAAAAAAGAAATCGTCATTGATTTAGGATGTAACGACGATTTACAAACATATATTTCACGCGGACAAACACCCAGATGCGAGACAATTAGCTATGGGTCACACAAATAGTTGTCCCGTGTGGGAATCGAACCCACGACCCCCCACGCCGAAGCCGATACCTGTGCCACATAGTCATATTTTGAGTCATATTATTGTTGCAATCACCATTTCACTTTATCGCCGTGCATTTCGAATAACTCGTCAATGCCTAGATGAAACAAACACTGCAATTAGTTAAAGAGAGAGATAGGCGTATATTGTTGTTCCTTTCTATTTTGTTATGTTCTACTCCCGTCGTTTCAGTCCAGCAACGCGAGCACCTCCCAAACGGGGGTGTACTGCCTGTTGTGGAGGGCGGAGCATTGGCTGCCCGACTAGGTCCTCAAGACATACAAAGGCCCCAGTCCTCTTACAACCCCACGGAGGAAAACGAAAAACGAAACTGATATCAGACAGGGGCGGGCAGATGTCGCCTCTGTACTTTCTGTAATCAAAGAGACGGCAACAGTCTAGAAAGAGACGGACGACATGTCTCCTAATATTTGAGACAACGGTTATGACACTGCATTCGGCTCTTCTATAGCATTCCTGTGTTATACTTTATTTTTATTTTAAGAGCAATAGTCACAACGAACAGTTTTCAGCAATGGAACGGAAGGCTGCTAAGTCGATCTTTCCATCTCCAGATCACGAATTAGATGCTCGGTAGATGATGTGAGTGAGATTTTCTCCACCTCAAGAATCGCTTCCCTCTCCGATAAGTGTTCGGTGGCAAGGTTATTTTCGGACGCGCTTTGACCCCAATAATATTGAACAACTGAATCTAGCGTGATTTAAAATTAATTCTAGCAATGTAAATAACCAACTCTCCTATGAACGCATGTACCATTTTACGATGTAATCAACGATCAAGTTTTATGATTTAGATTTAACATTAAGGTGACTGATTCTATTTTTCAATCTGAATTATTTCAACGGAGAGAGTGGTTTTCTATACTGTGCCAAATTGAAGGAGGTACGGCTGCAGCTATCGACAATCGCGTAGACATCACTTTACGAAATAACCTTCTTGTAAAAGCGGACATATGTCGTGTTATTTTTTTTATGTGAAAAATTGCCAAGCGACCGAACGGTTCACCTGATGGTGAGTGAATACCGCCGTCCATGTACATCTGCTACACGCGAGGGTTACAGATGCGTTGACAACCTTTTGAAAATTGGGCTCCAGCCACCTCACTCACCAGACGAAACGCGAAAGTATTTGTCATACTTCCACTTTACGCTGGTCTCCTGTGAGGTCGTGGTACTTACCCGGGCGGGCCTGCCCATTCGTGCAACAGCCGACGCTGCTGCGTAGCCCTACCACCGTAAAACTATGTATATATGTAGTGTTACTATAATTAATCCACATTCAATAGAATCTGATTCTCAGATCGGTTCACTTGATAAACTCTAAATACAACATTCCGTTGAAATATAACTCCACAAGCAAGCAACTTGTATTATCACTGTATTCTTCGTAAACCAATTAAAGTAGAATAATTTAAAACAAATCAAATTTTCTTCATTCAAAGTAAGATTTGTTGAACCGTTTCTCAACGTCATACAATAATCTCAAGTTAAATGGTAAAATGAGGTATTTGCATGTAATCAAACGAAATTTTAATTAAGTAGACTACTTAGCGAATGAAGTTAGAGTTGAATAAAATACTCAGACATTCTTATGTTTTGTTCCAAGTTTTGGTTGTGCTTTGGTTTGTGATTTTTGTTTATTTTTAATTAACGAACGAATTTATCTCCTAAACCTCGTGAAGAATTTTATTTTTTATATTGCAATCATTGAGTTGCTCATTAATTTTCAATTTAGTTTATTTTATTTATATAAGACTGCACACTGTATTTAAATTACTTTTAAGACTTAATTTCTCAGACGTGCAAACTCAAACCCATTTCTTTAGTATGTGTGTCTTATAGGACACATCGATTCATCAAACACGATAGTTTGAAGTGACAAAGTTGACTATCTAGACGTTAGGCTTTTATTAGCCTTCTCCACATTTAATATGTCAGGATCGAAAGCCATTACCAAGATTCCCTTGCCCTATCATACCAATTACGCTTCATAACGAGGTAGTTCACGCATTGCCACAAATTAACTTAATTTTTCCATTTATATTGTTATCTGTAGTATTTGAATTGTTATTATTAAACTCCAATCTCTAATATTTCACGATTTGACTAAAGATTAAAATAGAAACAAAAATACTTTATACAGTGAATACAATTTAAATAGCGACGGGCACATGACAGGTCCTTGAGAAACACCGCGCTAAACAAGCGGCTTTAATACGCCTCTGTGAATAAAAAAAGATTCGCCCTATAATTTTCCGAGTCCTAAAGATAAGTAGACTTTATATAGACATAATATATAACTACAAAGTTGTCAAAGAAATAGTCTTCTCTCAATCGCACATAGCATTGCTTACTTATCTCTAACAATATTACACGAAAAAGTGAAGTGAAGAGATATTTCGTACACTGCATAACAATCCCCGGGAATTAGATCTGACGGTACTTGTCAAACGCATGCCGTCTCTTTCTTCATTACAAACAGCATTGTCCACTTCTATTGACTGCTTTGAGCTGCGGTATATTTTTATAATATAAGTAAAACTACCCGTTTGAAGGTACTCTATGTTATAATAGCAAATTCGACACAATAATGTCCGATCACAGAAGCGAACGGACCGTTTCTTGGCTCGGATGCTTTGGAAGTTTTGCGAGAACCCACGTGTCGTCTGCAGATTTGACCTTTAGAAAGCCTAAATATAACCGTTTGGCTAGTCATGTCATACTTATGGAACCGGAAAAGGGATAAGTCAAAACAAAGGAATGTCAGCAATTATTATTAGCGTAATAGTTATCTTAAAATATAAATTTGAGTATGAAATGCGTTTTTTTTAATGTGAAAAGTTGCCAAGCGAGCTGCGGTTCACATGATGTTAAGTGAATGCCGCCGCCCATGGACATCTGCTACACCAGAGGGTTGCAGATGCGTCGACAACCTTTTGAAAATTGGGCTCCGGCTACCTCACTCACCAGACGGAACGCGAAAGTATTATACTTTCACTTTACGCCGGTCTTCTGTGAGGTCGTGGTACTCACCCGGACGAGCTTGCCCATTCGTGAAACAGCCGAGGCTGCTGCGTGGCCCTACCATCGTGAAAATTTCGTAATAGAATGAAAGATATGATGTTCACAGTAGCATTAAAACTCGGCAATTTCGTACGGTAAAAATGTGTCTATCTAATTAGCCCTTAAGCAGTAAAAGTAGTGTGGATTTGTTGCAGCTTTCCTAATCTCTTTTTGTATATTTTAATTTGTTTTTATTTAAAGTGTACTTATTTCAATGAGCCGTGATAGCTCAGTGTCCGGGCGCTCGCCTTAATTCAATATACTCGAGCAACCTGAGTTCGATCCCCGGTGCCGGCACCAACGAAGTTTTTAACTTTAAGTGCTGACTTATCACGTGCTCCGCGGTGAAGGAAAACATCGTGAGGAAACCTGCATATTTTCGAAATAACAACAAAAAAATATATATATTTCGAATATATGTGAAGTCCGCCAATCCGCAGTTGGGCCGCGTGGTGGACTATGCCCTGATACCCTCTGTATAGAGGAGGCCTTTGCCCAGCAGTGGGACATGTATAGGCTGTTACTTTACTTTACTTTACTTTTTATTTCATTGTATTAGTGCCTATTTAACTAAAGTTTCAGTCCTCAAAATTATTTATAATGTGAGGCAAATGTATATGGCACCATAAATTTTTGTTTGTTTGTTTGTTCTAGTATTCTCATGGCCCTTTTGTAAAATAAATGTTATGAATGAAAAGATATGAAATTTACGTTGCTGATGTCAACTTAGTTTCTTTACCAGTCTCCTAATTCAAATCTTTAATTATTAATTTAGAATTAACAATTATATCTTAAAAATGTAATGTTCCTCCAATTGATATATAGACGTTGTAAACAGTACTTGGTTTGATATCACTTGGTTTTATAGTAGATTGGGGCTACTTATGATTATTTCAGTCAAATTCCTTTAAAAAAAACCTTATAAGATATTCTTTTCGTCGTGTTAATTTTAACTGTCTCTTAACAAACATATAATAAGGGATCATAGCTGAGTATTGTCCTTCGTATTGTCCAAAGCTAATTAATGTATTTTACTTTTTATGTTGAAATAAACGGTTAAAGAAAAGTCTCCTGTATCAATTAATGAATTTAACTGCATCGCTCTCAAACGACTGTCTGCAGACGACACGGTTCACTATACCAAAGATTTGAGGATTTGTAATAAACTTTTAGTACCGCCTTGTTCGTGTTTTATTTCACCTCATTCAAATTGTATCCCAAGGTGACAACAATTTCATCGGCTTGGAATCAAAGATGTATCAACATGCTTTGCTGCAAAATTAGAGCGATATGTACAAGTAAAGTGACAAGTGAGCCTCGAGATTTGTCGTATTATATTTCCCACGCTACGTAATGGTCTGAGGCATATAAAATATAAATTCGTGTAAATTGAACAAGTGGTTTAAAGAAATTTTAAGAATTAACGTTTAAAATGATAAGCTGCAGTGTTATGTTTCATTAAATTGATTTGTGAAAATTTTTCACGTGCGAGACAAGTATTTGTGTGACCCATAGATTGTTCCGGATCTGGGTTTGTTTCCCAAGGAGGGTTGACGTCAGGCAGACAGCCTGTCGTAAAAAATCTATGCAAAACGACAAAAAACATGATTTACACGTTGTACCGAAACCACCGATGTAGGGTAAGGGCAGGAGGATGATGAAGATCCTATTTTATTTGCCTTAGTTGTATGAATTATTTATCGAAGTACCTATATTCTTGGGAGTCGCAACACATCGCTTGTAACATTGTTCTATAGTACACATGAGCAAATCTCCCGATATCATACACCCAGTTAATCACACAAAGCCGATAATAATAAAACAAAGCCGATACATAATTCGTAGCTTACGACGGCTCCGTCGATACTTTTTTATTGGTCTGAGGCTGTTACATGATAAAGTTAAGTTATATATATAGAAAACATCTGAGATGTAAAACGGTAAAGTATTTTATAGATTCCAAATTTATAATAACAAAGCCAGAAATGACTATCAAGCTTTTTTCTTCGCCAAGAAACAGATTCAACTCAATTTACATGCGGTAGAAAAGCGGGGCGGGGCTAACCGGTTCCACGGCAGTATTGCCAACTGTTCTAAAACCTGTAAAAAAAGCCACCTATTTTATTAAATTACTAAACAAGGTAAAACAATTATCTGATAAGATTAACTGTTTCATTAAA